AATGCTACAAACGCAACAAAATTACCGAAGATAAGGGCAATTAGCGTAAGCAACGTGGCCAGTTAATAGAACATTATTCAGGTAGGCAGAACAAACCAAATAAAGTGGAATGAAATTTATCCAGCTTATAAGGACCAAGTTTAAGTGTAAGTGCGGTGAAGAAGCATCAAGAATGCATCAGCCTCAACATAGGGCACACAACACTACATATTCCCCCACATATGCGCCTCGAGGACTTCGTTTTTATAGATGTGCAACTGGATAATAGTCACTTACTCCTCGGGTGTGTACACAAACACCCCAATTCCAATTCCGCAGAAATTAATGCATTGCAAGATCTACTCTGTTACCTAGCGGTTCAAGCAGCCAAGCACAAAATGATAGGAGGAGATTTCAACATGCCGGACATCTGGTGGACCTCATGCTATGTGCTCACCAGGTAAGTAAATCTGATTTCACCTTTATAAACATTCCGGTGTACCCAACATGTTACGATTCCCACTAGAAAAAAAACAACATATTAGATCTTATATTTCCCACTGGTCTAATATCAGATTCCGCTGATGTTCTGGAACACCTTCCTGGCAGTGATCACAGGGTGGTCTACTTTGCGTTTACAAGTAACGCCCGATTCCCAAAAACTAACGTGTCTAATCTACAAATGCTCTCAAGACACTATGAATCTGTTGATTGGGACTCGTTTGCCAAGTTGTTTAATCAGGCATGTTCAGTGGGACGTTTCTTTCTCACCGACGACCAGCAAGCTATAGCTGACGCTCAGTATAACTAAAACAATCTCTGTATCGACGCTCTGCCTTCTATCAAACACTTTCTCTCAGATCGCGAAGTCTATTTCACGAAAAACAGATGAGAAGAGACTGTTATGAATTACCTCTGGAATCGAACACAAAAAACTAATCACGGCATACCGCACAAGGAATAACCTCATTCTTAATGCAACACCATAATTTGGTCACCGCCGAAGCTGGCTTACCACGCGAAACGAGTCACTGATGCAGAACGGGATCTCGACAGTCCATTCAAAAAGTGTGTACTGATCAGTCATTTAAATCGCAGAGCTATCAAGCATATCTAAGGCACAATCTCCCTCGTAACACTAGAAGGCTGTAACATAACAGACCCTGCTTAAATTAGCGTAATGTTTGACCAATATTTTTGCGCCTGCTTCAACGTCGATAGCGAACCCCTATCCAGTCTTGCCACTAGTCATGGTTGATCAGCTCAACTGTAACAGATTTGAGCTCCACGATCTACACAAACCTATCAGGTGCACAAAATTAAAATATATCTAGGGTCCAGACAGTATTCCAGCTGTAGTTGTGATATTGGGCGGGGATGACATCCTCCTGATAATGCTGACTATGTTCAATATACCGTACCAGCTCAGTGAAGAGGAGCCATAGTTCTTCCGCGACATAAATCCGGCTTATTTTTTGAGCTTAAAAATTATCTTTCAATAAGCCACACATTAATCTTATCAAACATTATGAAGCGACACAACAAACCTAAAACTATCGAATTTTTACCATCAATAAATCTAATAAGTAACTCTCAACACGGCTTCTTGAACAATCGGTTTTGTATTACGTGCCACCTGTAAGTTCTAAACAATATAACTGCATCGCATGATATTAGCATGTCGGCTATTATAATTTACAGTACTGGTGATTTTGTGAGTACCTACTTTTTGTAGAAAGTAGAAGCCACGATTAAACTTTGCACAATAATCTGCCTCGACGGCGAATCGAACCGAGGACATGCGGATCACTGGTCAGCTGCTCTACCAAGTGAGCTACCGAGGACTGACGTTCAGGTGCGCAATTTAATACATGACTTCTGCTTGGTTCGCGACGTATTGCCAATAAGCTCACAGTATCTGTCCTGGTGTCGCCGATTGGCTCACTCACTCGTCACTTCCTAATGAACCGAATTATCTGTCCTTCAGAAGTTCAAAGGGCGATGGCAGATTTACAGTACTGGCGATTTTTGAGTATGTAATGTTTCTGTAGAAAGTAGAAGCCACGATTAAACTTTGCACAATAATCTGCCTCGACGGGGAATCAAACCGCGGACATACGGATTAATGGTCCGCTGCTCTATCAACTCCATATGTACAGGGACTTTGACCGGGTGCCTCATGAAAAGCTGATAGCTAAATTGATGTCATACGGGATCATTGAACCCCGGCTTTCTTGGTTCAGGTCATAGCTTACAAATAGAAAGCAGATGGTACAAGTTCGAGAATACAAGTCTGAGCCTACACCTGTCCCCAGTGATGTGATCCAGGGATGTGCCTTTGGGCTGCTAGTGTTCTTAATTTATAGTAACGACAGCTTCGACGAAGTAAAATTCGGTACACCACATTTGTTAGCTGATAACATTAAAATTGAGTACACTTTCAGTTCGGAAGCCTTCAATGATACTGTCAACATAATCCAAGCCGATCTCCATGCGCTTGAAACCTGGTGCTCAGTGGAAAACGTCTTTCTTCATTGACACATGTTGCGCAATGTCCCACAAGTGCGATTTGTCTCAAAGTGGCCGGAGCCTTGATGGCAAACTACTTAATCTCAACCCTACGGTTAGAGACCCGGGATTGCGGTGTTCATGCTCACTTGAGTTCCATGAGCAAGTAGGCTGCGTCACCGCGACAAGACAGAAAATTAAATTGGTGTTCAGGACCATTTTCCTACCTGAATCAATACGTCATTCCTACAGATCAGTTGTTTGACTCATGTTGGAATATGACTCAATGGTGCATAGCAGCTCAAAAGAGCGCGATCACATTCACAAAGCGCATCCTTGGTACTTCATAAAAAACTGGAATATTCCGAACGCGGTGAGAAGCTTAAGCTTGATGCGCTCTAGCTGTGGCGCATAGAGCATAGCCTGGTTATCTTCTTTAACACCTTGCACAGAAATATACATGTTTCTAACCTCAACATGACTTTAATGCAATCAGCAGTCTACAACACACGAAACAAACGGAACTCAGTGGAGGAATGCAAGTCTGCCAACTTTTGCCTCAAGATGTAAGCCAGTCTGGAACAAACTACCACCCAGAATACGTGCCTGCGCACATGAACGCGATTTTCGAAAAACATCAGCAAGTTTTTGCCTGTACAGAATGTGATCAAACTGTTTGACTGTTCCATAGCAACAAGCAAAGCGTACGAGCAGGGTCTAGGTTTAATATGAGCCAGTGTAGATTTCAGCAATTTACCATCTCCCATGGTTTAGCTGTTTTATATGTGGGAGAACAGTTAGAAGCCAGCGAACATTATTTCAATTCAGTAAACTATATTTTATTTCTTCTTTGTTATCCTAATCGTCCTTCTCTGATTTGATATGCAATTTTCCTGATCCGTCTGTGATCAACGTTCTGTAAAGTACGCACATACCCGATCATGTCGAGGTAGGTGCGCCTCACATTGTCGAGAATAAAAGTTTATTTATTTATTTATCCCAAAAAGGTACATTTCGATCAGTGTGCCTAACAACTGTCTCCACAGGAACATATGAACTTGTATAGGCAACGGGATATGTACTGCTTCAACACCGGTGTCTCCAAGCAGTGGCATTGTGGACACGAGTAATCGTAGCTCATTGTATGCTTTTTCATTGAGGCACTTATTCGTTTCGCGGTGATTTTCATGAACTTGTCACCATAGAAAGGCAACTCAATGAAAACTGGTTTCTTTTGAACAGTTATCTCGTGATTTCGTTTCATGGTATCACTGCAGCGGTTTATGTGCTGCAATGGATAAGCATTAGATTATAACACGAAAGACGACAGTTTTTTCTCTGCTTTCAGTGTATCTGCGGTGTAAATGATGTTAACCCAATGGCTTAAATTTTGAAGGAGCGCTTCTGCTTTATCGATGACAAGCTCATGAAATGCAACTATTGACCCGTCCAGGTCGCTTTCCGATAGACTTGACCTTTGGATTGGACCATCTGGTCGTCGTGTGAGCATTATGTCTAAGTAAGGGAGACAATTTTCGTGCTGTTTCACATATCTCAGTAAGATTCTGATGCACACTATTGAACGCTTTGGTTACAAGTGCAATGTCTTCATCTGAATCCATGACGAATAGTATGTCGTCAACATAGCGTTTGTATAGTGACTGATCTGATGATGCTATTCACTTTCTCTTCAATCATTTCCATGAATAGGTACGCCAGCAAGGAGCCCAATGGGCTGCCCATAGCCACGCCATCGATCTGCATCCCTTGAAAGTAAAACGGCGTCTTTTGTGCACAATAGGAGCATGTTTGGTAACATTTCCGGGGGCAGATGCAGTCGAATACTTTTGTGATAAACTTATGTGATAAACTCACATAGATGGTCGACCATCTCATTCAATGGAATGTTGGTGAAATGCTACCACGGTAGCGAGTAACGTACTAATCAGAGTGCCACCAATCGATTTCGCAACCTTATTTTGGTTACTTTGTTATTTGCATATGCGTGGCCGACGAGAATGCACGAGATGACAGTGTTATCCCACAACCTTATTCTTATGGGGAATTATAAAACGGAGTTCAGTCAGCAACCGTTGTGCCAAGCGTCGCCCGTCGCAAATCGGTGCATTAATGATAGAGGTTTCGGCTAACATAGCAAAGACTCCGGGTTTCAGTGCTTACAATCACTATCTGGTGAAATGAAATCAGTTCAAACCGATCATGGAGTGCAGTGTTTTCAGGCGGGCCACACTCATCCAATTGCGTACAGCAATCTCACCAACACGCGCTTCAGTTTGTTGATAAGTCGCTCGTTTGAATCTGTCAAACCCACCCAGACCATCCTACAAAACTTGTCAAGTATAAGCTCACCACTAGTAAATCCATCGTTCCGTTGTGTCTGAAGCACTCTGTGAATGCGTGCTGTGGTGAGAAGATACAGCATTCACGTCCATGACCAGGCTTCTGGCACCAAAATATTTATCCCAGACAGCGTCAAATCATTATCCAAAGGTACTATTTCAACGTGTATTGCACAACATGAACAGTCGAAGGGGAACGTACAAAATAAAATGTCATGCAGAAGCAGTCTGTTATCAAACGATTGGTTCAGCCACAACAAGATGCAAGATCAAGCAAGTGATGTGACAGTTCCCCTCTGGAAGACGCCGATTTCGGGGTGGATAACCAACGTAAAATATGGCACAGATTGTCAGACGATGAACAGATTAGAAAGATGGATAAAAAGTACCCAAAAAACGTACATAATTCTGAGGGAAGTCGTCGGATGAAATGTGTAGGTACAGTTCGTTGTGAACTCTGCGGGGGAGTGGGGCGGGGAAGACAAGTTCAACTATTAGGAAGGAAACAACAGTGATCAGTATTGGAAGCTCTCGGAGAGTGTTACCCGCCGGCGAGCACGTGGACAAGGATGAAGGATGGAAGCGGGGTTGGGACTGTACATCAACAATTGGAAGGGGGTGTGGTAACTTGATCAGTGGGGACGATAAGCAAAATCCGTAGGAAATGCCTGATGCGTGGGGGACTCTGTATGTGAACGAGGAGTGTGGTCCACCGTGTCGTCCGTCGTTTCCACATGACAAATGCTGGGGACGGGCTTTAAAGAGGTGGATGACTGTTGTTCGGGGACAAGCCGCATACAAGCATGCAAGGAAACTGCGACTAGACGATCCAGGTGGTCCATCAGACCACGCTGTAGCCATTTGGGGATGGTAGTGCGAGCTTTTTGAAACCCGACTCTTGCTAACAAACGGTCGAAAGCCGGAACGCAAATGTTCGAGGCCAACAACCAACGACAGACTGGGCTAAATGACCAGTGAATAACCTCATAAGTCCGGGCATCTTGGACCATTGGGGAACTGGTGCTGGCCAATTCCCGAAGGCATTTGGTCAGGTCCGCATCTTGAGAAGTTGGATCGCCCGATGTCCGATATGAGGGTGTCGCAAAAGTAGAGTCTGAATGAGGAAGGGGTTGGGAGTTCGAGGGAAAACATAAAGAACAAAGGTATAGTAAAGAATATTGTTAGAAACGACTATCATTCCGGTGTAATGAAAATTAGGTATCCGAGAGTTACAGGAGCACCGGGCAGAAAGTCCTAAGGAGCAATCTGATAAGTCGATCAAAAGATTCCGAAATAAACATAGCACGCTTCAGACAACCGGAGTGCAATAATCCGTGTTTTGACTGACTCCGCGATAGAGTCGATTGTAAGTCGCTCTATCCAGTATGATAGATAAATCTAATCGGGTAAACGGACCCGAGGTATATGTTTATGTTCACAAAAAAACTCAAAAACCGTGAATGCGGAATGGACAAAAAGTTGCTTGTTTGCTTTCTTCTTTTACTCCAATCCTGTCTTCTTATTCCGCCATGGTTTCGGTGGCGCAATATCTGTACACAGATTGCGATATATATATATATATATATATTGCCGACTCAGTAATAAATGCGGTAGTGAATACGTTGGGGACTTGACTGAGAGTAGGCTGTCGACCAACATTACGAAGAACAAGGTATATTGAGTGTTCCTAAGTTGTTTGATGGTTCAGTCAATGAGAATCTTTTCGGTTGCCAATGCCTGCAGTATACGAACCCCAAGTACACTCGATAGGCTGAGGGTGTGCGGTGTTGGTGTCTCGTTGCACCAATGGATCAGGAATTTCCTAGTTGATCGAAAGTAGAGGATCCAGGTGGACAACCATTTAACCGACTGGTATCCATCGAGCAGTGGCGTGCCCCAAGGCAATGTACTGGGTCCGATTTGGTTTCGCATCCATGTAAACGAGGTGCCTAAGCTACTCCAATCACCTTGTGCGTTGTTCGCAGATGACTTGAAGGTGTGGAGAGTAATCCGCACACCCAATATTGGCGACCTGCTTCAGCAGGACCTCGACCACCTCTCCACATGGTCTGCAGAGGTCAACCTTCCGATCAACCCGGTCAAGTCGCAATTCATGAGGTTGAGTAAGTGTGAGCACAGAGCAAGGCTGTATTTCCTAGCTTATCGTCGAATGCGGGTTGACCACATCATGACGCACCGGATATTACATCTGGGAGATTACCCCATGTTGAGACCGCTGCTTCATCTGCTCACATCAAGCAGCACACCAGGACAACGGTACAAGTTTGTTGTGCCGGATTTGAAGCGGGTCGCTCACCAACTCTGTTTGGAACGCAGAGTGCTGAATGTATGGAACGGCCTGCCGCAGCACGTTGTTGAGGCAAAGTCGGAGGTGGAATTTAAGATTTTCCTGGACAAACACTTTGCCGATGCAAAGTATATTGAGCGCAACACATAACATGTCTTTGTCGCTAAGTGATATTAGATGCAGTTACACAGAGTAAACTACTTTCTGCTTCCAACCAGTAATCAGTAATCAATCATAACAGCGGCTGCACAGGCCTACTACCGAACATCGTTCTTATCATCCTCTCCTAAGTGTTGACGCAACCCGTCGATGACTGTCTACGTCACATTCCTGGATTGTCTAGTGGAGAATCAGTTATGATAGATATCTGAGCGTCTGGACTGCATATCACACTCCTATCTCGTTATGTATCGATCGGATATCATCCGCCTCATACCAACAAATGTGGAAACATTCAGGCTTTGTAGCTTCAATGTTGTGTTCTAGGGTCGATGTTGAATCCGACCGTTACGTCACTCAACGCTCTCAACATGTTCTCGGCTGAGAAAAGAGAGGTCTGGGAACGATCGGTTCTAAGTGTATTCCGAGATTCTTAGCAGAGTTGCATCCGATTTTACATGCGCCACACAACTATAGCAATGCAAAAGGACTCTGTAAGGTGCGAATGGAAGGATGATTTAGTCCTCAGGTCGGATTGTTTATTTGAGGGTATGATATCCCTATTCTCAAACACTTCTGCCATTCGCGTGTAGTTTCACGCTGTGCATTTCATCTTCGACAGACTGCCGTTAAGCGAACGGTTACATAGTACCGTTTCTGTACGCTCCCTGCGTCTTACAGAGTTTGCTACTTTTATTGCGATTGTGAACATATTCGTGAGTCTGACTAGCTTTAATACACATTGTAGAACCACGGATACACCCATCCAAAATGTGCGTAAAATAAGAGTTTACCAGTGTACAGCTTTGCGTTTTGTACAATATATTTAGTTTAGGATCCGCGTCCTTGTCACCGTATTCACGAAGCGCTTGAATGCCCCCACCTCAACACCTGCACGGTGGGATTCCACACAGTGGAACACTCCATGACGAAGTCCACGATAAAATTGACAAAAATTGGGAAAATGAGACTAATCGGGGGCAGCAAGCTAAAACGTGACACGGTTTCAAAACGTCTGTCATGATGACAAGGGTTGCTACTCGGCCGGTGGTAGCACGGCTAAGTCAAGTAGGCAGATGATGAAACCAGCCCGTCAGCATGACACAGGTTGTTACGCGACAGCCGTGAGCGAGCGCGACTACAGCTGGCCAGTGCGGAGCGCTAGCAGGTATGGAAGCCGTCCAGGCAAGTGGCGTGAGTCAACTCAGAACCAGCAGAAGGAGATGATAGCAGGTGACCTATAAAATTAACCATGTTCTGTTTCTAATAGACTTCGGTCTAGCAGACTTCAGTGTTCTGTCCCTGGCTGGATTGGCAGCGCAGAGAGCAGCGTTACAACAGATATACGGATGAGAAAGAGTCCGATAATCCACTGCAGATGCTGATGCGGCTTGTGGTGTTTGAGAAGGCGCCAGCAGTACGCCGGTACGCAGCACCGACGCTCCGCTGCTGCGCAGCAACTACCAGTTGCACGTAGGCTTAAGATACTGCGAGGGTCGCCCAGTCCCCTACACAGGCTCGAACTCGCACCCTCGGATTATCAAAAAGGCTTGTGATCCTTAAGGTTAGAGGCCAGCTTTCTAAAAAGATAGAGAGAGCATGTACAGTACTTTACGGGTACACATTTCGGAGCACGTATGCTCAACAGAACTGAGTGATTCAACGGTATGTGGAACGCTGCTTTAATTCTTGAAGCAGAGTAGAAATTTGACCTACGTAGCCCGATCCAAGTAGGAAACCTACCTAATTTTCGTGAATATAGACCAACGTTCCGCAATAAGGTGGAGGAGAAGGGTAGGTGTGGGTAAATCTATCATCACCGGCGTCAACTGTTGAAAATGATCCCTGCTGGGTGGACACTACCATTTCTTGATTGATTGCATCCTTAACTCAATCGCTATCGCTCGAAGCGCAGCAGCTTGCATCCTTAGCGCAAAAACTATAATCCGATGGTCACGAAAATGGCATTTCACTATGCCGTGAGTGAGTCAGCTGTTTTCTCGTCCCGAACGGACATCTCGTTTGCTTGCTCAAGCCAGACGCTCGTCTAAGTACGCACCGGAATTGGACAATAAAGGGGTGGAAGTACGGGCTTGCTCACGAACTGGTTCTAAACACCGAAGCCTGGGATATAAAGGTAAGGCGAAGGCGGACGAACGCAGACGTGGTAGTGAACACGTCCGGAACACGGGATTACGCTCCCTAGTTTTATCGAGTCAAAGCGGTCTCATAAGGACAGCTTGAGCGAGCAAACGAGATGTCTGTTTGAGGGGAGGAAACAGCTCATTTACTCAGGGCGTCGTGAATGCAATTTTCGTGACCAGATGATAGTTTTTGCGCTAAGGATGCAACGTGCTGCACTACGTATGAAAGCGATTGCTTTAAGGATGCAATCAGTCGAGAAACGGTATAGTGATTGAAAACAAAATTTAACGGGCTCAACGACAAGTAGCCACTGTGAACGGAAGAGTAGCATCAACGGAACCGCAACACTGTGGCCGGGACGTGGTCCACGGAAGTGGTCGTATAAACGAGGTAAGGAAAACATTGCAGAGGGATTCATCGCAGCTAAGACTCATTCAGGCAACTATCACAAATTGGGAAAAGTGTTGGATGGTCGTTTCCATACATTGGGACTCATTATCATTGCGCGTCTACTTCAAATCCCTCGGGACTGGAATCTACAACTATCCTTCTCTTACGAGGAAGCGTCTTAAACCACTAAGTCATCGGTGGCGGTGGTAAGTTGCCATGTTGGACACAACCGAGCGTTTGTACTCAGCTAATCAACGTTGGAGAACGAGATATTAATTGGACTATTCCGCCAGCTGTTCCGAACCCTTGGAGCTTGACCTACCGTCCCAATCTAGTAAGCTCAATAAGGGAGATAAGACAGTTTGATCCGCTGTGACACGATGATGAAACCACATACAGACGGTGCTCAGTGAGATCCGGAGTTCCAGAACGAATGTTGAGAAATAAAGCACAGTGATACGTGGCAAAAGAGGCATAGGCCTTAAATAAGTACCTTCATAATCTTGGAGACGCTCCTTCAGATAAGAGTTGATGAGAGTGGGGAGCCAAGAGACATCAATAAGGCCGAGTTGTATGAATCCGTGAAAATCCGTTTGAAAGCTGACCTTAACACTTGGAGCGTGCGTAGCGACTCGTTTCCCTGGCCCGTCGTGCATCTGTCCTAGTGAAACCGGTTCTGATTCATCTGTTGAATCTGGAGTGGTTGCGGCTTTGTGCCCATAAAGCCAAGACCCAGTACTTTTTGCGGGGGTGGGTGTCGAGTGGGGATGATCAGGTTCATCGGTGAATGGAGACGGGGGAGGAGACGACTTTTTCTTTTCAGCAGAGATGGACGAGAGGGAAGACAGAGTGGGTTGCGCCATCGGTTGTCGTTGGTCCGTCGTGATGCGCAGCGATATGGACGGGAGTATGAAGATAATTTCTCCCTCTGTTGGCGGCTTAAGTGGGTTGGAATGTGTCGGTGGCTGAGCTTGCTTTGTAGCATCATCAGATGATCCCTGTACAGATGCGCTAGGCCAAGGCGGCTTAGAACCTGATCCAGGAGGATGGACGGTAGACACATACCGAGAAGGGATATTCTCATGTACCGTCTCTAGATGCTGGTGTCTGGAGAAATGTGACCGCTCGACGGTCATGAGGGGAGATGTAGCAGGAATGGAAGCGGGAAATCGCGCCGGGAATTGCGAGACTGAGATAGGAGCGAGTAAAGAGCAGAGACAACACGTTATGAAGTGTGTAAACCAATTAAAATAGAAAAAGTAGAGCCAAGACAGAAGGTCCAAAAAGTAAGAAGTAGGGGAGAGTTGTATACCGAATAATTCACCCTAAATTGAGAAACATACGATGAAACACGGAGCCTAAAGTAGAAGTGAAAATTTCAGATTGGTAAATGACTGCTAACACAGTCGGTGTAACAGAAATGCTCGTTTTCGTTAGTTCGTCACCAGCTAGTTTGTTTTCAATTACTAATAAAATAAATCAAGTGAGGGTATGCGGGTGTTCTCCGAGCTGGCTGATTTGGTTGCAAACGTTTCATCGTCAGACTAGACGACATCATCAGTGCGATTTATGCGGGCCACTTGCAGATCCAAGTGATTATTGATCGTTAATCCCCTTGTACTTGCCCATTGCGATTTCACCCATATGATTGTACAGGTCTGAAGATGAATCATCGAAAACAATTGTTCACCCTCGGTCTTTCGTTCTTGATTATTGATCGCTTGATTCGAACCAGAGCACAGACCCATTGCAGCACCCCACAGCTGAGAAAAGCGGAGGAAGATCATCTGTTCGAAATGTTTGCACGGAATGGGTATCCTAGAAATTTCATTCTACGTTGTTTAACACCAATACAACGACCGACACAAGAACGAACATCAGAAACGGATAAAAGGACAATTACTCTACCATACATCAACGGCATCTCTGAGATGGCGGCGAGACTCCTACGACCTTTTGGAATCAGAGTTGCTCACAAGCCGACGGAAACCATCAGAGACAACCTCTTCAATGGCAAGGACCGGCTTGGCATAGAAGAAACAAGTGGTGTGATTTACAAAATCCACTGCAAAAATTGTAACAAATACTATGTGGGCCAGACAAGAAGAAAGCTCGGCACTAAGCTACATGAGCATAGCCTAGCCATCCGCCGACATGATCAGAACTCTCTGATGTCGGTACATATGGACGCCGAGAATCATCAATTTGATTTGGAGAATGTCAGGATCATAGGCAGAGCAAAAAGTCGAAAAGCACGCGAGTTCATCGAGGCTTGGTACTCGGGAGAGAACTCAATCAACAGGCACTTAGATCTAGACACTGCCTATGAGACACTGAGGGTCAAAAGAATAGTCCGCCCCAGATCAAATGGACGAAGGAACATCATTGAGGCGGACTCTAGCCAACAGTACGGGAGAGCTGACTACACGGTCAGTTCATTTGGACCAATCGACTCCTGACGTTCGAGTCAAGTGATCAATAATCACTTGGATCTGCAAGTGGCCCGCATAAATCGCACTGATGATGTCGTCTAGTCTGACGATGAAACGTTTGCAACCAAATCAGCCAGCTCGGAGAACACCCGCATACCCTCATCCGCATCCCGAGCTACAAATATTCTCACGGATTTCTAAATCAAGTGAGTTATTGTGTCATTTGTTCAGGACTGAAGGCGAAAGGACACTTGTGGCAGTGAGATGTTCACAGTGACCTGAGTTGGCAAATCGAATAATATGAAATATTTACGTGATGACAGTGTAGGTGGGGGAGGTGCTGATAAGTTTTAATAGCTCCAGCAATTGACCAGTTTGGGGCGGAAGCCCACATTTGACAGGTCAGTCGGAAGGCTTCCGGGAAGAGGACAGAGCGGTTTGTTGTGGTCAAATGAGCGAAGTGGACTGCTGTAAAGGTGTTGTTCTTTAGATGCCACCATTGAAGAAGTACAGACAAACGTCCTACAGCTCATCCCACAGGGACAAATGGTGAACTGGTACACAACTAACGAGGAAGTGTGGATGTGATAAGTGATAACCTAATGGCTCTCAACCTACATCAGATCGTTCCACATCCACCAATTCCTTGCACTTCCACATAGAGAAATGCCGCTACATAGCCACGAACAGCCCGAAGATCACCTAACCCTTCACGACGGAGAAGCGGAGGTTTATGAGTTGTCCACCTTCCCTTGATGAGTTAACTAAGTGAAGAAAATGTGTGCCGCAGCTTGTGGCTGAGAAAACTAAAACAGAACTTTGCGACTAGATGGTAATAGAAGATAACAAATAGTTCATATGGCAGAGGCACAACATCGTACTATGCCGCAGTGAGGCCGGTAATTCGTTGCGGATCAGCGGAGTGACCACTGCGAGCTGATGACTTTTGAGCGTTGAGAACGCAACGCGGTGCATACGAGTTATGATTTCAACACGCCCGCTCGTTTCTCTCTACTCATTAGTAGTGCATCAAAATTGCACCACATATACAACTGGCAAACAGCGCTTGCACAGAACAGTTGACATTCGAGGAAAACACCGAGTGGGTAGTACTACCAATGTTTGGTGATGACACGCGCTTCAACGTCGCAGCACGATTTGTGTAGTCGAACGAACCACGCTGGTTAGGTCATCGGTTACGTATGCTCGTCAACAACCCTAATCCTGGTGTGCTATGGGTCCAGTTAAATGAGGACTCAAAGTGACAACCGCAGTACGAAACCGGTGACAAAATGGAGTGTGTCAGGCTTCCTTCCTAGAGAACCGTAACGTCGCCGCTCGTACTGCATCCGGTTTCTTGGAACCACAAGGCTGTCCTAACGTCTAACCAGACGATATTTTGTTGAGTAATGTTTGCCTTTCGACTGTTTAGGCTCCATGATAAACATCGTTATGATGATCTAAATCAAAGCCGTTGAACATACTGCAACCTGATGCACGGATAATGAGATGAAACTGGTGATTGTAGGAGGCGGAGCTAGCGTCCTAGCATGGTAAACTAACGGGCGGTGTCGAATTCGATTCAGACAGGCGCACATAAATAGTGATTACCGAGGTGGGTCGCTGGAGTAAGACAATGAAATGCTACTGCTCTCATTACTCACGGTATGAGACAAGGATTCCATCCGTTCGCCGTGCGATGAGTGGAGTCCACGGCGGAACAAAGGTCAAGTAAGAAGGAGGGATGTTACCTACTGATCGGTCGTGGATTTGAGCAACTCGCAGGACCCCCGGGCTAAAATCGATAATCAAAACCGATAATGGTCTGCGGTGCTATTTTGCCAAGGATTGGGGCGGAAACTTAGAGACTGACCTCAACGATGTCCAGACCACAAAGTGTACAACGATTCTTTTGTCAAATTGCAATCGACAGTCCAGCGAGGTCAAATCGAGGTACCAATCAACTGAAGCAAAACCAGTCATACAGGCAATTGAGAATTGCCTTCAGACGCGATTCAAAGCAAAGCGACTGACAGCCTAACCAATCAGTCCACAACATACCTGGGTACGTGACAAAATGAAGTAATTCACTGCGCGCAATACGCGAAGGTATGAGAAGTGATTATTAACACCCTAGTTCGAGCTGTAAGAATGTTAGTGAATGCGGGTCAACAGTATGTATTGATTTGAATATGCACCGAGAACAAGGAATAAGGCTGTAGTCAAAAGGGGAAGTGTGAATGTAGTCGGGTTCTTTCAACTAGAAGATTGGGTCAGGAACTTAAAACGAAGTAGCGAAGGGAACAGCGAGGTGCTTGAACTGGCGAAACGTCCGCAACAAGGGGTGCGTAAACACGATGACAGTGAGGGCTGAAGGGTTTGATAGGCTAGCTCAACTGCTTATCTCAGTTGACCTACTACAGCTACAGTCCTCAGAGCAGCGCCAACAAGACCCAACTGGATGCGCCACGACCTAGCAACTGACCCGTGCGAATGCCCGGTAGGTGTTCGCCTCTCTGAATCTTAAGCATTTGACAGGGGGATCTAACGAAGACCGATCTAGCATGAGTGAACTGTTCACAAAAACGTGCGTGTACCTTCTTCGAGATGTGCTGCATACACAGTGACTGAATGTAATGATGGCATTGGCACAGTGTCGTGAGGATTCCGTATCTGTTCATGCGCAGTGATGTGCAGAAGGAGTGTCAGCTGCCGGCTACGAGTCCATCGTGGATGCCACCCGCTCACCCCGGCCTCCAATGTTTGGTGTACGCATACCAAATATAGGGTGTCAGGAGAGAAACTAAAGGTCGTAAAGCACAAGATACCTGCAACCTATGTATAGGCGCGACAGGGTGGGTAACTGGTCCCAGTGATGGACAAGTCAATTCGATTCGGCAAGAGAAGCACAATTCAAGCACCGGGGTGCGGAATGAATCACGTTGACACACTTTGGCAGAACGGAAATGGGGATAAGGGAAAAGTTATAAAAGCAACCGAATTGGAAAGTTAACGCTTAAATGTAAGAAACCGACTACCTCAGCGATATTGACTAAACGGTCGCGTCACACGAGGAGAAGTCTTCAAGCACTGATGCGGCTTATCTCGAAGCCTCCGTTCGGGATGACAGCAGGTGACTCTCGAACGGATTCCTCATCCCCCCCACTGCTATGGTTTCACACACCTAAGTGCAGTGACAGCACGCTGAGAAAGGTGACTGAGGATATACGGAGGATGGGATCCAACCAAAGTGCAACAGATACAGTGGGAAGTCTCATTGCAAATACAGATAGGTGGATATGGGGATGGCTCACTTTGTGCTCGCCCCGGGTACGCAAGCGCTAGTGAGCAATGAAGACCAGTTTGTTAAGGTCTTCAATGTGAGGTGATCAGGATTCTGATCAATTGGGTAACAACCCTGCCTGCGATCTGACAACACGAATGATCAAAATTCGGCTTTGGTGATATATGAACAAAAACCGGTGCAGTGATGTGACCACTATTGGTAGTACAACTGCCTAGATAATAAACCGAGCAACTGATTCGAGTGGCGGTTTGGTGACAAACCGAACGGAAACGCATTTAGCCAAGTATGTGTATGTGTCAAAATTCCGAGAAGCACGCTGGGTAACCTGCACATCTTTCTAATCAGACACATGTATTGAATCCTGTGCTACTTGGTTCCGTAGCCAGCGAGGGTAGAATGCTTCCAGAAGAGAGTGTTCCCTGGCATTAAAAAGCAACTTTGGAGATGCAGCGTTGAACTACAAGGATTAGCATCTCTGTTAGGGACAGAATAAATCGCAGGGTTCCCCAAAGTTGTCTACTAGCGCTCTTTCGTTTCATTTTCGATTACGCCTATTGCATCCCAGAGGTTGCACAATAGAACAGTATCTGCACAAGGCATCCATGCACGAATGACAATTACGAAAGCATCAATGAAAAAAGAAATAAAAGTTCCAAGTTCAAGTGAATTATAGCAGATAATCACTGCAAAACTCACGTTGAACGACGGAAGGCAAACTGCCCGGATCGTTGCTACGAACAAAATTCGTAACTACAAAGGAAACGTATAGAAAACTCAACTAGACGGCGTCGAAATAAAATGTGCAGTAAGGACCAAAACAATTGTCACGTGAATGCGTTTAAGAAATTCGTTGATATACCAGTGGCTTCAGTCGGTATTGTCGTAGATACATTGATCTCGCCGTCGAAAAGCATACCCGTAAACAAGCAGATAAATAAACAAAATACAAAGCCATGAGTAAACAGCTCCATACTGGACCAACACGAAGCAAGTTGGAGTGGGCGTGAGTAAATGAGCAGCGCAGAGTATGTTGACCGTGAGGTAATCTACAAGCATGAGAAAAAAACCAACTGCTCCAAAAACATGCAATAACAGGCATGCACAACGATTCCATAGCACAATTAGTAGGAATTCAGCAGTTTCTAGAACTGGATCGGTAGACAACGCCGCCTAAGTAGGTGGCAACGGACTGCGGATAGCACGTAGTCTGTGTGGAATCATAAAACACAAATGGAGTTTATTTTCGAAAACTAAGACGAATCCCAATGCACGCATGAGCAGAATATTCCAAGTATTTATGTTTCGTTGAAGATGGGTTAATCAGGAAATAGCGAAACAAAAATTTGCAGCGTGGTTCCGATGTAAGCCAAAGACCAATGGCGCAGGTTATTCATTAATTGGTTCAAATGAAGCCATATGTCGCAAAATGACCGCGATGCCCGAGACTCAATATAACCACAACCTTGATTCAGAAACCTGTGCGCTAAGACCTGTAGCTACCGAGAAGGCTGCCGATGGACCACATACTGCAGGTGAAAGTGAGACCAAAAACAGATTGCATTCCTATCGAGATTTGGCAATTCAACCAAAAAAGGATTAGGTGCAGCCTATCATCGGTCGGCATAAATCCACATAATTCATGTGTTCCTAGTCAACAGTTTTTGACATCCAGAAGCTTTCCTGTACGTGTACCAACGCTCAAGGCTTACTGAGGAAACTTTGCGAAATGCGGCTGCGTCAAGAATCAATAGCCTGCAACCTCATCGCTATAACCTAGACATGGTTATGTCGTGACCTAAATGACATGGAGATCACACTACAAGGCGTGTCCATTGTTCGGCACGACCGATCCAACATAGGTGGAGGGGTGGCACTGTACTTCCACAACGACCTCCAATGTGATCTCATAGAGGATCCAGTCAGCAGGGTACAAGATTCCCTTTGGTGCCGTCTAGGTTTAAAAAGCGACGACACTTGCTTAATGGCGGTCATTTATCGCCCTCCTTCCCCCACGCCCGAGATGGACTCCCATCTGACATCCGCAATAAAGAGGGTGATAAACCCAATTTACGGTCAAATTCTCATTACTGGCGATTTCAAAACCCCCGCGCTGGAATCCCAAGCAGCTCCCTGAGAACAGTTTAAGGCCGATGTACAAGTGTTTGTCTCCAGTGACCCGCTGTATGGCCACATCAACACTCCTACTCTATTCCGAGAAAGTGATAAGCCTTCGGTACTGGATCGGACATTCAGCAACGAAGAACTGATGGTTGAGAGCGTGATCGTCGACATCTCCTTGGGCCGCAGCGATCGTGTCTTCGAATACATCTGCTATGAAGAATATCCCGTGGAAATTGCCGATGCAACACGAACAATTATACGCTATGACATATTAGCTCGAGTACGTGAGGTAGCCAACTGGACCTTTTTGGCAGACGAGGTGCCAAAAAATGCATGAGAACATTTCGTCAGCCAGTTTAACTCGCTGATTGCTGAACCATCAGCGACTAAGACCTTCCTCCCGAGAAACGCGGTCTCGGTTCTGCGAAGCAGGACAGGGAAGTGTATGGCGATGCGAAACGCAGCCTGGCATATCTACAAACTCTCCAAGAGCACCGAGAACTGGATGGTTTATGCGACCCAACGTAATCACTGTACTCAGCTTCTTCGCGAAGATAGAATGGCGTACCAAGAGAAGTTGGCAGTGCGTATGGCCTCAAATCACAGGCTTCTCTATCAATAAGTCAGCAGTCTACCTAAGGTGAAACGGGGGATTCCTCCTCTTTGAACAGCGGACAGACCCACACGGACACAGAAGGAGACGGCAAGTAGCCTGCGTCTGCAATATGTTCCAACATTTAAATACGATCACTGGCCACCAAAGTTGTGCAAATGGTTGTTTCATCCCCAAAACTCACTCACATATGCTTCATGGCAGATGCCGTTCTAAGAAGCCTGTTGAGTATGCTCAAGCACATCTCTTCTGGAGTCGACAATATTCACGCGAAGTCGATAGCAGAGGTAGGAAAGATTAGCTGAACCTTTGGCTCGATTCTTCCAACACTACTTTGACGAAATGTGCGCGTTCAACAAGTGGAGGCATGGGATGGTTACTCCGACTCACAAGAAAGGTAGTCGTTCCGATCCAGCCAACTACCGTTCAGCAACCTTACTGCCGGTACTTTCAAAGGTCATGGAAACCATTATTTCTGATGCGCTAATGGCCTACTTGAAAGAATTTACCTACCTCGCACCGGAACAGCATGGCTTCCGACGAAATCGATCGTGCACTACAAATCTACTACTAGCACGATCCGGCTGGACTGAAGCAGGAGTTGATGTAGTCTTTCTCGACTTCTCAAAGGTGTTCGACCGATTAGACCATAACGTTCTGCTCTTCAAACTCCAGACCTTTAGTATTGGTGATGCGCTCCTAGGATGGATCAAAAGCTTTCTTCTTCAACGGCGCTTGCAATTATGTGTGCGTGAATCCCTGTCAGATCCCATCCAAGTTGAATGCAAAATACCACAAGGATGAGTACTAGAATCGCGATTATTTTTGACGTATATTAACGATAGCACATGCCTCATAAGCTGGAACTGCCTGCTTTACGCCGATGACATCAAGGTATGAAGCGCGATCAATACACTAGATGATATCACAGTACTTCAGGCTGATCTGGATAGAGCATACGCGTGACTAATCCAGAATCGGATTCTATGTGGACAAATGTAAGATGCTGCACCTACGGCACAAGTAGGTGTATCCTTACAAAATCGGCAACTAGGAGCTTCAAACAACTTCTGGCGAGAAGGATCTGTGAGTCTTATTCCGTGCCAACCTTGGATGCTCGAATCAAGCTGAGACGGCGTCAAGGCGGAGCATCCAATATGTTGGCTCCTGAGGCGTGCATTCGGACGATTCGACACTTCGATTTTTCCACAACCTCACGGTTCATACATACGGCCACATGTGGAATGCGTAACAAGTCTGACAGCCATGGATGAGAAGAGATCTCACCGCGTTGGAGATATTCCAAAGTCAGGAAACCAAGAATGTCAAAAGTCTTTATAATTTGTCGTATGAATGTAGACTTCAAGTGCTCGGGGTGTTCTGCGGACAGTATCGGCGGCTGCGCGGGGACCTCAATTTGACTTACCAGATTTTGAGAGATTCCAACCACACGTGCCGCCATTTTCTAGAGCTGTCACAAGCGTAATCTGAGAGGCCACCATCTGGCAGAGCAACACAGTCGTTTGGAATGCCGTCGGAATGGCTTTTCTGTATGTGTTTGCAGAACGTGGAACGCCCTACCGGAATCTGTCATGTGTGCTCGCATGCCGGCAGAGTTCAAAGCGCGACTTGACAATGCAGTTATTTCGCTGCACCATCTTACATGAGCCATTACCAATGGATAAACAGAAAGGTCTAAGAGCCTTCACTACGGGTCTCAGATTTCGTTCCACTTTTCACATCCTGTACGATTATCCTAGGAGGAGACACGAGTTGTACCAACATCCCGTTTGCCGTCATTCCTTATGGAGTTACCTTGGATTTACACTTTATACTACGTATACTTCAGTGAGTTCACCAGTGTAAACCCAATTTTGCCGTTTTTTATAGTTTGAATTCTCACCATCACCGTCTTACGGCACCTGTTAAGCATTAGCATTTGTACCCGTATAAAACCATTGTTCACATATTACTGAAGCGCTATCCTTCGCTAGCATGTCTGTCGGCAATAAAACTATCTTCTGCTCTATCCCTCGTGCAGATCAACCGGTGGCCGAGGGAGTCTGAGGGGTCTGATCTGAAAACAAAAGGTCACGATTTCGAATCTGCGTATGTGCGGACGCTTCTGCACTATTCCTGACTCGCGCGCAACCAGGGTTGGTTGCGCGATAGTAAAGCGTTCGTGCGGCGGCGTGGAAGCGTGGCGGCCTTGCGGTCGACCTCGTCAATCAGAGAGAAGTATAAATCTATACATACCCGAACGCGAGCTTACCGTTCGTCAGTTATTCCTTACCAAGCGCGACGTTTGTCCGAAAACCAGATTATGTTATGATGGTATTGTGCTTTTGTCATGTACAAATCCACATTTTTTAAAGTGCATTGATATCATGCTGTATCACTGAAAGCTGGTGTGTTACAGCTGGATATTCTCCCGTTCCGGATGCATAAAGCACTTTCTTGACCGACTAATGCCTCTTTTCGGGTAGGATTCCCGACGCTGAGTGGAATCCGGAGTGGATTTGCAACGTTTTTAACTGCAAACCTGTACTTCGTTTTACATAAATAATGTGGGCGGCAAATGCGTACAAGACGTATAAGTAGGCTAACATGCTCCATTTAAGCGGGTTCTAATAAACGCTTTTGCGCCAATGGTCCGTTTTCTTCGCCAGTATTAGTGCAATTTTAAAAACGGGTGAGCCTCACCGAGGCAAATGACCTGAGAGGTAGCAAACATTAAGGTACTAGGAGTCTTATTGAACTGAGGTACATTCGACACCAGAGGAATACTTTCGAAATCAAACGCGCTTGGAAGTAATGTCCACCAAACGGATAATTTTGGTTGACAACTTGGTTCTGCGGTTCCGCTGGAGGAGAATGTCAGGTGAGATTTTCTCTGACTGTCGTCAGATGTGAAATCACAGTACCGAGAGGCAGGATATGAAAGGAGTGGTGAATGGTTTTGGGGAGTCGAATGTAAAAAGCTGATTGGATCCAGAGCATTTAAGACGTGTTAGTGCGTATTATCATCATTACACGTTAGCTAAAGGTAATAAGGGGTTCAGTTATTGTGAAGCAATACAAAAGGAGAAAATGTTTAAAGAAGCAAGATACGAAACACTACATAATGAAAAACAAATAATAGGATCTTTATTATTCTATTACGCATCGATAATGAGATCGCGGTTAGAGAGGAAGGATAAGCGGAGGGAGGGACTGTTACAGAAAGATAGCTTTCACTCAGCGTTCAGGCAGAGAGCAGTGGCGCAACAGTGAATCGATCTACAATTAGAGATCGAACTTGAGTACAGATCAAAATACGAATCTATGTGGAATCAACGGAAAATTGGACCATGGAGTTAAAGCTTTTGATTTGTGTTAATTAATATTAATTAGTATCTCCAAATTTGTTGTTAGTGGTTTCCCGCAACCTATTTATTGCGCCATGCTCTCATACAATAGAATCCCTTGGTCTGGCTGTTTTCTTGGCGTTCTCATTTCGTTGCGGGATTGAACTGGTTGGGAGCGGCACAACTGATTCAGACAAGTTACCCAGTACGTTCAGCGGAAACCACAACACATTTCTGGCGACGGAAGGTAAACTGATTCAAGATGGCTATCTCAGCAGAAGGGCTGAAAGCTATTTTCCTTTAACAACAGGAACAACTCGAGATGGCACAGCTGCATATGATCCAGACATTCACTCGAACACTGTCGCTCCAGTCTACAGACCTCCACAATGCTGAAGCCTTCAGTCAATGTGATGGTCAACAGTGTCAATGAGTTCGTTGTTTATCTTGCTTCAGGACTGATCTTTGAGGCATGGTTCAGACGTTATATTTTCAAGATGGAACTGGCAAATCTTGACAATGCAACAAAAGTGCGACTGTTGTTGTGTATACTCGGAAGTGTAGAGCATGACAGATACATCAATTTTATGTTGTCAAAGACCGCTCAAGATTTCAGTGTTGAGGAAACAGTTTCCTGACTCTCGGAAATGTTCGGCGATCAGGCATCGCTTTTTAACAATCTGTATAATTGTCAGAAGCTGTGCAAAAGGGACAGCGACAGTCTCATTGTCCATGACGCAACAGTGAAGCGATAGTGTCAATAATTCAAGCTGAAATCACTTACTGAAGATCAATTTGAGTGTTTGATTTTGGTGTACAGCCTACAATGTTCTAAGGATGCCGAGATACGGACCAGAAGATTGGGGCTTTTGGAGCGAGACCCGGACGTCACACTGCAGACTGTCATTGCAGAGGCCCAGAGAAGCATTAAGTTGAAACACAATACAGCTATGTTCGAGGACACGAAGACGCGTTCCAGTGATTCCGCAGTCTAGCAGGGTTCCAGGAACAAATTACCAGCCACTGATAACAATAACCTCCCACATGGTAAGCCACCATCAACCTGTTGGCAATGCGGTGACTGGCATTTTCTTAGATGGTGTCCATTCAACAAGCATATCTGCCAGAAATGCCGTAGACGTGGGCACAAAGAAACCCATTGCAGAGCCAAACCATCTTTCCGGCCAGTTCACGATAATCGAAAGAAGACCTACGGCCATTTTGCAAAGAGAGTGAACGCCAAGTATACCGATGATGTCCGAGATAGAAGAAAGTACATCTCCTGTAGCTCGGGTTGTCTGTTCAGGTTTAGGTATGTTCTACAAGCCGAACTATTTTGTTGCAGACGTTTCATCATCAATCGAGGTGACTTCGTCAGTGTGTACTAAACAAAGATTAACCGATGAGAGGGTGATGTTTGAATTTAGCCGCTTCAATTCACCTCCAGTGACTATTGTTAGCTTGCAGTTCGATCGCCACCTCTTTCAGACTGCAAATGCCACGCCTGAACCAACAACAACGAAACGGATCGCCTTGCCCTACATCAAGAACGTATCGGAAATGACTGCTCAAGTCCTCAAGTCTTACCACCTGCCGTTAGCTCACATACCAACCGCTACTCTGAAAGCAGCCCTATGTAGACCGAAGTGGAAGCCGGGAGCACATGAACGTCGGAATGTTGTCTACAGGATACTGTGTAAAAATTGTGATAAACACTATGTGGGCCAAACAGTGGAAAGTTATCTACAAGGTTACAAGAACACAAGCGAGCCTGTCGAAACCATTATTCATCATCATTGGTCTCGACACACGTTGACGAAGAAGGGCACATGTTTGATTGGGAGAAGACGGAGGTCCTAGCGCAGGGAGAGACAAGAAGAGGAAGAGAATTTCTCGAAGCATGGTTCTCTACGGAGAACTCGATAAACCTGAGCAATGACTTAGACCCGATCTACCATCAACCGCAAAAGAGAAAGAGGCGGCGATCGAACTGCAAACTAGCAATGGTCACGGGAGGTGAACTGAAGCGGCCAAGTTCAAACATCACCCTCTCATCGGTCAATCTTTGCTTAGTACGCACTGACGAAGTCACCTCGATTCGTGATGAAACGTCTGCAACAAAATAGTTCGGTTCGGAGAACAAATCTACACCTGAAAAGTACATCATCAGCATCAATGGAAGACAGGCGCGTTGGCAGATTGATACCGCCTCAGACATCACGGTCATATCAATTTTGGTTAAATAAAGATTCCTTAGGAGCCGCACATCTTAACGGCTATGACATAGAATGTGATGACAGACCTAGCTTGAAGAGGAGCAGTTAACAGTCCGTCTTTTGAAGATGCTGTGTGAGGCAAAGATATAAGAACAGAAAAAATGCGCACAATTATGTTATTTCATTCCATCTAAAAACAACGACTCTTCTGTTTCAGTTGGAACTGGTGATCTCCAGGCAAAACTAGGTATTCTACAAAAAGAAACCGTTTCGGACATCAATCAGTATGTAACCGACCGGATGCAAGCAGTTCTCAACTCCTATCCGATCAAATGCAAAATGGATTGCGTGCAATGATGAGATGATGTAGATTAGATCATCGCTGTTTACGTGCCAAAAATCCATACAATCAGAATATCCAAAACCAATTCATGGGCCCACACAGGGCGCGCACACACAATGCCATACATACCTGTGTTGTCGGCACCACGAAATGTGAATTCCAGCCACTCCTCAATGGTCAGTATGGGAGGATTACGAGTGATCGGCTGGCTACCGCGTCGAACACGAATCACATAGGCCATTTGAGGCTGATATTCCGGTCTGGAGATCAGATCGAAACTGAGCACCTGGCGAACGTTGATCCAACCATCAGATTCAAGGGGGTCGGGTGGAGTGACGCCGGATGCCAGAGGCTCTCGCTGGGCTTCCGTTTCAAAACTGGTGCGGAAGAAGAAACGTAGGCGAACATACACAGTATAACACAAATGATGCGTCAAGTGGAGTCTGTTATTATCCGCACAGACGGCAGGTAAGTCCAAAAGAACCACAGACGGCTGCACAAAGAGAGTGCGAAGCCACATCAAGAATGCCGAAGCACGGATCTTAGGGGAACTAAAGCGGCTGTGATTCATAGTGGCAAAGCGCGGTGGACTTGGTACAACAAAAGAAAATGTGCACCGTTACCAGCCACAGATAAATCGATTGTTTCCAAGGTCATATAGAAGCAAGTGGCGCACAGTACGAATCTAGGGGTAATTTTTAATTGGGTCAATTCGATATCATGGTCAAATGCTCACGAGGGAACCTGCTCAAACACAAAGGCAGCAGAATTTGGAATAAGCAGATCTAGTTAGTCAACCCTCACCACCGCGGAAGGTTCCGACAGCCGACGTGACTGAGAAACCGGCTGTGATGTAACAAGTGATAAATCTGTTTCGGCTACCTTGTGTGGTGCTGCAATACAGAGAATCGGGAACTTCCTGAACGCAAGCTGCCAAGTAAACAATAGCACCGAAGTGGTTTCAGCAGAACAGTGCCAAAGGTGACCGGGTTCATTGGGATGAGACGACGACGACGAGGGCAGTCCGCCGACACATTGTACCGGCGCATCGCTGCCATGTGACCATCAAACGTCGCGTGCGGGTCAAGGATACAGCGAGGTCGCCAGCACCTACGTGGCATAAAATCGGCAGTTTGTGTGGATTGCAAGCCAGGTGTCCGAACCACCTGACCAACGGCAGAGGAATTCCAAGCAAAGCATCCAACTTCACTAATCGGCCCTTTAGATTGGATGGGAATGAGAATGGTCAAATCTTTGTGCACAAATGGAATGAACTATGCAACGGGAATCGCCTGTCAATCAGAACATGGAAAGCAGCTTTTAGTGGTGCAAGCGCCACTCGACTCTGCCTAATTCCCCAATTATTTTCGCATTCACTTGCAAATCCCTTAGAATTATGCTGGTAAGATGTGACATCAAGAATTGGATCATCACTGAGTCGTCTCTGAGGCTGCGTGTGGATTGGTATGAACACCTCGGCTCGCCGAGAGCCGATCTCCAATTGAGCTCATTCGCAGAAATCAAGAGGACACCAGCAGATTCCATCAGACAGATACATTTGTTTAGTTATTGCGATTGCAGTTGTCGGGTGTCATAATGTAGCTACTAGAAGGCAGATAACTCTTTGGTATAGAGGATGGCAACCTGACCCCAGTGAAATTAAATGCGCAGTGTCTGTCCAGTAGAGAATTGCTTACGTATACGAGTTGATTTTGCTGGGAGGGAAAGAGCGATTTTCATGACCGACATGACCAAAGCACCGACTGTTACAGAAAATCATATCTCTTCGCTATGACGCATAAAGCAATCGTCCAGTGAACAGAGCCACCCCCGAAGTACGAGATATCAAGTCCTAGTTCGCTTTAACGAGCCCATTTGGCGAGCATAAGAAACTAGTCAGTATGTCAATTAGTGGGATCCGGTTGATGTGGCGACAGCAAAGAGCTGGGCGTATAAAACAAGACGAGACTCATACGGCGAACAACAAGCATCGGCAACAATTCTGCTCAGTGCTGTTAACCATTTAAAGTGGCATGGTAACGGCGCGTTCACCTCAGCTAGGGGGATCCTCTGGTAAAGATGAGGGTCACCAATGAGACTGGAGAGGTGGCTTGGAGGACGAAACCAAGTAACCTGCCGAATAACGTCGGATTTGTAGTAGTTATCCAGTGGTGGGGCATCAGTAACAGTCATTAGCCTGCGTGACACTGCGGGTGCATCGCCGAAATTCAATACCGCTGGGATGAGCGTTCGGAAGGCTGATTGCATCGTACCATATCGACCAGAGGGATGTAAAATGTGGTTTCCGATCGCAGGTACAGCAGGCAAAGAGAGACATCAGCAGTACGCCGGTGTGTCGCCAAGCGATCACGCCATTAGTCGCACGTGCACTAAGTATATTGTAAGGACGCCCGTCCCTATGCAGACTCGAACCGATGACCTTTGAGTAACAAAGCAGTTCAAGTACCTTCAGTTACTGGCCGCATTCTACCACATCTTTGTTCAATAATATGATTAATGGCCTTCCTCTTCTTTCTGCGCTTTTCAAGTCGCTGAAGGGAACGAACTACCTTAAAAATACCTCTAAAAAACTGACTTTCATGGAGGTTAGATTTTAAGTCATGAATGCCACGTCATGCTTGAGACCGCGCAGTACACAGATGGGATTCCCACAGACACAAACACTTCTCGCAGGAGCAAGTAGTTCATCAAGGCGGGATCTTTAAATCGGTGGTTGCCTTTTCACTGGAATATCGCACTTTATCTGTTGAATTTGACGCAAATTCAGCGTCAAATTCTAGAACATTGTCATGTCCACCGAAGACCAACAATGGTGGTGTCCTTAGATATCCGAGCCGCTTTTGATTCAGTTAGATAAGTCTCACTGTGGAACTGTCTGCTACGGAACGGCATTCCCGACAAGTTTGTCATACTCTTGTAAGAACAGTATAGTCACACCTCTGGCAAAGTTAGAGCTTATGGAGGCTTTCTTCTTTTCCCGTTACCATTGGAGTGCGCCAAGATTGTCTTATCTCGCCGTTTCTTTTCAACTTTGCCACCGAAGATGTCCTACATCGCGCACTGGAAGGAGCCCAGAGTTGTGGCGTTGAGCTTCTACCCGGGTGCAGAGTTGTGGACCTGAACTATGCTGATGACTTCGCTTTGCTGGAGAACGACTCGCAGGTTGTTCAAAACATTCTGAACCGCTTAGCGATATAAGGCATCTAACTACGGTCTGTATTTTTCTCCATCCAGGATTGACAAGCTCCTGTGCCTACGCTCACCATTTCGGATGTCAGCCTGGAGCTCGTTAACAGCCTTACTTACCTCGGGAGTTGCATTACGGCTGGTGGCGGTATTGGCGATGAAATTTCACAAATTGCCAAAACTGGTTTTCCATTTACTAACCTGAGACACTTGTGGCGTCGTCGCTATGTCAGTCTCAAGCTCAAAGGCCGACTGTACAATGTCACAGTCCGTGCTGTCCTACTGTACGATTGGGAGACCTGTCCTGTTCGATCGGAAGATTTGAGACGACTATCTACTTTCGACAACCGCTGCTTGCGTTCGATTGCTCGCGTATGGTGGCAGCACCATGTGAGCAACGCGGAAGTTAGAAGCAGAATCATGGGAGCGGACAGTCCTGGTCTCCAGAGCATAATCATCCAGCACCAATTGAATTGGCCTGGTCACGTACTGCGCATGCCGGCTCACCGCCTTCCACGTCGCGTATTATTTGCACTTACTGGACGCGAATGGAAAAAGAGCGGAGGCGGACAACCGATGACCTGGAAAAGGAGTATGAAGATCCTAACTTCGTGTCTAGCATCAGTTGGATCTGTGCGTCTTCCAGGCTGAGACCATGTGAAGCGGATTCCCAATGGTTGGAAGTCTTGGAGGATATGGCCCGCAATAGGAGTCAGTGGCGTCAATGCTGTTCTACCATCTCTTCATCCTGTGCTTTTTAATGTTGAACAAAACATGAAAACAGAAAATAAAACTCAAAACGGCGTGTGTGAAACTGAAAAACCTTTTCTAACGTTTTACTCTCTCTCTCTCCTCGTTGAACATTACATTCTCCTTTCCATACCACCATGGTTCGGATGGCACATTTGTCTGTTTACAGACTTGCGAATAAATAATAATAATATACTTTATCAGCTGCAGATTTATCGGCTTCCATTTTCTTCCGTTAGACTAGTTATAAGGTTACTAACGCTGTCCTTCGCAGACTTTTAAAATTATTGTGTGATACTGTAGTATCGGGCGAAGTTTTATAACATAAGAAATCCTTACCCGGATAGAGAAATTGCTCTTCAACACTGTACCGTCAACAGGATGCAGATTCGGGATCGTTTATTTGAGTGACACTTCACTTCTAATGTCATTTTTTCCAATTGTACAATTTAGCATCCCTAATGATATTGTTTTAAAACATCCGTAGTGCATACTGTAAAATGTTGATATGGTACCCTCTCGGGTATATAAAGCTTATATTGGCTTGACTTGACTTGACATATGGCAGTCACTGAGCCCAAGCGTGAAGCTAGCAGGGGTGGTTGGGAATCAGTGGCAAAGTGAGAAAAGATAACGAAAACGACCGGCTGCATAGTGGGTGTCCGATGTATGGTGTCAATAAACTGAAACCGTTTGGTAAGAGTAAGAAACGCACAGCCATTCCGATAGTAACGGTGTTCAAAGGAGATAGAAGACAATAACTCTGGCAGAAAGCGTAGTGAACGTAGAGTGAAAGGGAATGAAGCGTTTCCGTTGTGTGGAACTGACAGAAATCGCGTTGGGAATCACTAGTACGTCAGAGCGTAGTATCGACACTTCACTGCCGCGCAACCGCCATCAGTCGAACGTGGGCTATTATTGCGAGGATCGCCCGGTCCCTATGCAGGCTCGAACCCACATCTTCGAATTACAAGGCAAGCTTGGGATCCTTAGGGCTACGGGCCGGGTGTCGCGTTGGAGTGAGAGAACGATTCAAAAGGAAGCTGGATGACCAAGGGTAAACAGAACACCCAAGTAATTAGCAGAAACAAAAATAAGGAACGGTCCCTACCCGTGGATTTTATTATGGATTGAAAAGTCTTCCGCGATAGCGCCGGATCTCAATGCGGTACAATGGATGTGAGCTTCCGTGATTCATTGAAATACGCTGCGTGGCACTTTTGAAGTGTTACAGAGCCACTCACACCAGAGAGGATAGCGGGAATGATAAACAAGTTGGGTCTCATCGGTTTCCAAAACAGAGGTTTGGAACAGGTCGATGGACCAGTTCCGTCAAAACAAACATGCGAAGCTAATGGTCTTGGCATAGTGAAGTACGCAGGGATTTACAGAGGAAAAACAAGATGACTGATTCAGACAGATAGGACAATGCTAACAAGTGAAACTTACCACACGGTGGGATACTGGATGTTGAAGACAGCCCAATCAGGCGCGGAACGAAGACTGCCAGCGTAGCAAGCCACACCTAGCGATCGTCCGGACAATTGCAGCGAACCACCCATCACGGGAAACAGGCGATCGATTCCACAGGCATTCAATATGGAGAGTGGGTCGTCGGTGCAATCGAAGTTGGCAAGCTGATGAGTATAAAAATTGATGGAGTCACGCAACAAGCTCTGCCAATGTCGTTGTAGCAGTCTATCGATAAGATCGCGCTGTTGTTGCTTGCGGAATTCTTCGGTACCATTCGCAGCCTGTCGTCTGAACAATGGTTTAGACCGACCGGAGGTGCTAGTGGAGAACATCTGAAACGACCCACCCCGTCCAATAAGTGAGTTGCGGCCTTCACGAACTTGTTCTTCGAAATACTCACGAACTTTGGAATAGGAGTGAATCAGGTCCGGAGTGGTAGTGCGTACAATGGCGACCTGAAATGAGAACGAAAATCGAAGGAGAGATGGTGGGGGGGGGGCTGAGCACATGATGGAGTGGTTTTGCATGCTAGATGGAAAATTGAGTAAAAGTATGCTTTTTTTCGCCCAACCCAACAAAACACATAGGTGAAGATCTGAATTGCATGCCACTACAATGAGACTGAACATGAGCGAGGCTTGCATGACCCCGTGATCCCCTGGGTTAGCCTGGGTGGCACTTTCCTAGAGACTTCAAAGTTACTCACAGCAAACAAGTCATCAAAGCTCACAGTTCGATTGGCGCAAAGCTCGAGTGCAACGGACTGTCTATGAGGATAGAAGACCACTGTGACATATGCCCCGGGCGAAGTAGCCTATGGCTATAAAGCGGCGAGATCACCAGAGGCTTAGCCGCAGTTAATCGTGAGATCTCAAGCGTGTAAATTTCGACGATCGGAAGACACGATTCCGAATATCCAAAGGCTGTGTGTGGCGAGTATCAAGCGGGTCCTAGTGTGATTCCAACGACATTCCCGAGGAGAACGTACCATGCGTTCCGCTGTCTTGTAGTTGCGGGTGGTCTTTCAATTAAATCCTCGCTCATTCAACTGTCTCGTGAGACAGATCGTCGAATCAAAGGACAGTAAAGCCCCCTCGAAAAATCTTCTGCCGGGAAGCGTAACCGGAAAGCAAGTTTTCACAACTCCGTCAAGAACGTTTCCCTCTCTTCCGTCCACCACCTTTTTACGAATCCTCTTCGCATACTTTCTAGGAAGGAACCAATACTTACTATAGCGGTTATCTATGGCCTCATCTGACATAATTTTTCATCAGTGAACCTATGTAGGTTAAAACCCGGCGGTCACTTGGTGGCATGACAAACGAGTATCTAACGGCTAAGTTGGATTGGACCCTTGAAATTGAATAAAACACCGGACATGATGCAGACACAGTAAAAGGTGCTCCCCATTAGTCGCCTCATTTCCACCTTTTAACAAATTAGCCACATGACCTTTACTTTTATCTGTTTCTAGGGAATTATTATAATATTTTTTTAGCTTCATTAATAGTATCGTTAACAGTGTGTGGGAAGAGGTAAAATCTTTCAGGAAAACGAAAGTCCAAATAGGAAACGGGTTGTCAATGGTGTACAGCCAGAGCGTCAAGCCGTTTCAAGAACATGCTGTTGCACCACCTGATGTGACGTGGAACTGAGCTGACTAATTCCGACAGCTAACCCAGTTGCATCGGAACGGACGTTCTTAGGTTGACATAAATATCTAAAACAGTTAGTTCACTTCAAGAGCTTGAATAAGATGCTGAAAACGAACACTGGTAAATGCGCGCATTTCGTACTGACTTATCAGTACCGACAAAAAACTATCTTAAACCGTTCAAACGAATGTAGCGAGGTGAACGGCGGGCGTGGTCCTAGGACCAGGGTAACCGAAGTACAACAACTGTTTGTCTCTGCACACACACGGCAGGTTCTAGCTGGCTTATCGCCATAACCTAGGCGAACCACAACTGGGATGACGTAACACTATACGAAACGCACAGCCTGGATCAATCAGATGACGCGTTACCGAAATACGCCTGCCACTGATGACGCTGGCGGCTTGTGCGCACACGGAATATTGGTATCGGACTATTCGCTGCACTGGAATCAACGTTAAATTCATACAACATCGCACCTAAAGCATAACAAAAGATTAGACACAGGATCATGGCGGCTCTCAGTGATAAAGTTGAAACCAACATAGTCAGCGTCAGTGAACAAAAAGCTCTGATGAATCACAAAAAAGACAAAGGACCTCTTAGGATTCTAATGGACAAACCCGATTACTTGATGAAGATACAAGTTTTCAGCGGCAACAACACACATACAAACCGATAGGCGAAGGATCCAGCAAAACGCTCAGAAGGCAATATTAAGCGCAATGGAATAAAAGTAGAAACAAATGGGGCGAATCAAAAAAATTGGAGCACAAAATGACGAAACCCAAGTTTCGATACTGCCCGCGACGCTACAGTCTACCAAAAGTACACAAAAGTGGAGTGCCTTTCCGCCCCATCGTGTCGCTAGCTGGAGCACCAAACTGCAGTCTTGCAAAAGCGCTCTGGGGACGGATAAAACATCTAATTGCGAGATGGGAACACTCGAGTAAGTCGGCAGAAGAATTCCTTGGGAAATACAAAACTACAATTATAGAATGAGAAAAAATAATGGTATCTTTTAGTGTGACGGCGCTGTTCACATTAATCGACATCAATTTGGCGAAACAAAGTATGACTGTCCTACTGGAGAAACACCGGGACGGCAGTAAAGTTGTCGCCCACCCTTGGTAGCTGTAAATCCACACACTTACAAACAGACGTTAAATATTTCGGTTCGATCTAGTACAACCACAGCAGTGTATGGACACCTGACATTATTTGTGGCTATCCACCACTGATTGAATTCATTACTAGATAAAAGTAAGGATTGACCCGAATTCGTAAAGTCTACCATAAAGTGAGGCAGTTCGCAGTGAATCATCGCTCCATCTATTTTTACACAATCGCGATGATGATTCTCCCGAAGTGTGTTGTAGTGATTTCACGTGGAAACGTGTGTGCGGATTCACGCATGTACTGGAACCCGAACATTTTCCCACAGGCTGCCAACCATTCAAGGATGTGTTATTGCACAAGCCGCTGATGACTAGCAGTGAAGAGCTGTGTTAGTGTCATTCATCTTCACTAATGGACTAAATATGAAGGTGTCAAGAGTAATTTTCCATTTGACACTATCACTACAGCCGCATCGTTTGTCACATACTGCTCTGGAAGCGATGTGCCTAGCACGCTCTCCACTAAATCTATTTATCTGAACACATTCCATTTCTCACAACGTGTGCAGTGTACGCCTTATTCACTGCCGTGTCGTTCTGCTGAAGGAAACACACTTCGCCTCATAAAGTTGAACGTTGTCAGTAACGAAGTGTTTCTCGCATGTCGACGAAGCCTATCGGTATGGCAAATCAATCGATGTCTAATCTATCGGTTTTACGAACTTTGACATTTTGCTCAGTAAGTATCGTCCACATTCTGGTGTCGAGTTGAATCACTATGTTAACTGGGTAGGACCGACATGTAAAAAGATGGTTCCAGCGATTGTGGCTCAGAACAGTGGCGTAGCAACTACTTTTGCCGCCTGGGGCGGACGTAAAATTGCCGCCCTCCTAGCAGTTGTAAATTTGGAAACACACAATTGCGAACAGAACTTAAATATTTCGTTTCACATAACAGCAATCAAAGATCTGCTGCTTTAATGCAGACAGTTGAATGGTTACAATACTCGTGTAGAAAACGTATCGATACAATTTTCGTGCACTACTACACCATTTCCCGGCTAAGTTGTCCTCTTGGGCAACATAAATAATCTGAGGGGGCATTCAACATGAGTCTACTCAATTAAATTGTTCCGTGCGTAGGAGCTGAAGCGTCCCACCTGCACCCCTATGACTTAGTGCGTCTGAGGTCCAATTGGCTGAACCCGATGGGCTATACACGCACACCTACACACCTGCACAAGTGACTGGCGTACGCACGGAACAAATTAATTGAGTAGACTCATGTTGAATGCCCCCTCAGATTATTTCTGTTGCCCAAGAGGACAACTTGGCCGGGAAATGGTATAGAGACAATAATATTGATAACACTAACAAAATCCAGTCCATTGGGAAGTTCCCTTTGTATGGAGAGAAGTACCAATGCGTTCGCGTTAACATTTTGCGTTTTGAGAATGCACTCTCACGGCTAGCAGTACTAATAGGTCGAGTAAGAAAGATGTGCAGCAGGTTTCCCAAAATGATATTCCTATATGAAGCTCAAAAGTGCAGTAGATGCATTACTTTTGTCGTTGCCAGAAGCTTTTAGAAAATACTGCCATCTTTCGGTAAGGAATTCTCAACTTCACTAGGCGGATCAGCAGGTTTGACAGTGTAAGAAAAGCATATTTGTTTGCAAAATCATGTGTTCGCTGAAATCTATGGCATTTCATCAGTCAAACTGTCTATGACAGACAGCATCTCCCGTGTTAATTCAGCATCAAATCACATAGATATATCAAACAATTCTTCACCATTCATTCGTTTCTTTTGGCGGACTCGACACTTCATGCTTCTACCACTTGCAGCGTGGTGTTTTTTGGATTCATGCATTGCGATGTCCACCAGTTTCTCTCACTTCTGAAAAAGGTAAACTCTTAACATTGCAAAATTGACAGAAGCTTGCTGTAGATCCAGCCGTTTGTTTAGACATAGCTGTGCATTCTTAATCTCCATGGGAACAGATCCGCATGGGCTCAGAAACAAAATAAACGGAAACGGCAATGCCGAGATGAGAGTTGAAGATGCATCTGAGTTTGTGGTAGCATTTAATCCTTATTATGTGAAATGTTTCAGAACAGTGATGAGTTCCGAGTAATTCTTCACCACAACAGTTATTACATCTGCTGGACTATTCCATCCAGACTTTACAGTCACTTGGTACTTAAACCAGTGAATTGAATCAAGACATTCAAGCAAGCTTTGGATGAAAATATGGCGTAGATGCGGTCCATCGTAACAAAAGTGTAACAGAATGGACGGTCGCAGAAGCTGCATGAATACAAACCATATTCAGGAATTAGTCAGTGCATGGCACAAATGTGTAGCTTTGGGTTGATCTCGCAGATGTCACGGAACACTCCGATTGGTAGCACGCCATAACAGCAACATTGTCAAATGTCTGAGCACGGCAGTCAGCAATTTGAATTCGATCCTTCCGCCGGGTCTCTCAATACCTACCCAGAAATTTCCTCTGCTCGTTTGCCGTCGCTCTCAATAAGGCCGAGAATCGACTCCACTGCCGTCACTTCATTTTCACTCAGGTAATGTTTGTGGGATACATTGGGAGTGCTATCAAAAAAACGTAAACATACTTGCTTTCCTTGACCTGATCTATGAGTTTCTTTCTCCTCCGCTTTGCCAAAATGCTCGCTAATTCATTGTGAACGTGTGATGTGACAAGAAAAAGTTGCTGGTTTTCCTTGCCGGCTGAACTGCCACCAAACGGTTCGCTAAGAACAGGTTCATACTTGGTCAACAAATGCATAACTTCTGAAATATTTCCTCTATTTTCCTGGTCCCCTTTGTCATCCCGGATGTCTTCTCGGTGACCACACAGTGTTATGTGTTTCGTTGCGAGAAACCTGAAGATAGCAAGTATTCTACCTTGAATATCACGTCACCTGTTTTCTACAAGTGCCAGCTACATTTTTTATCAATTACCTTTCCTGCAACTAGTCGGATCGCTAGTTCCTTGGGTCACGGAGTGACTGAGCAAGCGATATACTAGATTCGAGTTCACATGTTGTTGGATTTTGTTTCAACCGGTTTCTGAAACCCACATGAATCGAAAAAATAGACTATCCCGCTGAAAACTACCTGCAGTCGAAACACAACAGGGCCTCTTTGGCAGGAGAATACACCATCCATGTTCGTAATCTTTACTCAGTTTAACAAATTCCGAAAAAAAACCAATGCATTTTTGGATTCTCAGCCTCAGCTTCTGTATTCGTTCCAGGTAGAAACAATTACTGAACTCATGATCGAGGTGCTGCACAATAGCAGATCCGAGCAGGATTAACACAGCGAGATTGTCATGGCCAATCTTAATAGGCAACTGACAGACATCCATAAAAGCGGTTGATGTGCGTATTATCGTGCCAAAGTGTGGTCGCATTTTCAATTCTTCAACTTCGCAGGTATCTTCTACATCAGCATTACACACATTTCCCGCTGCGTCAATGCTGTAAACGTTGCATTTTGTTGCTCGGATCTCAATGTTTGCAGGAGCAATTTCATCTTCCGTCTCAACATGAATATCACCTTCATTTTTGCCACTTCAGTCATGAAATTCTAATGAATGTACACTTGATATTGAACAATCATCCGTACTAAACTGCCGTCACTTGTCACATGCCGCCCCGGGAGGACTGCCCCCGCCCCTGAGGAACATGCAGCTTTTGATACAAATAGTAAAATCGACGCCGGACAATGACGGAGTTGCTGGAATTCTGTCTAACAATACCTTTCACCTTTAGCGTCCAAATCTAACAGCAGATAAAATGCAATGTAATGGGATCACCGATCTCTGGACTGGTAGCCGAAGCAGAGATACAGGCGCTAGAACGGACAGCACTCCCGATTATGGAACCGAAACTTTGGTACGCTATGTAGACGACACCATCGTAGTCATCAAACATTCAAAATTAAAGGAGACACATGAGCTAAGCAACAATGTGTTCGACGGCATCCAATTCACGAGGGAAAAGGAAAACAATGAGCAATTACCATATTTAGACATTATCAGGGGTAGGATAGGTTTTCAATCACTGGAAACGACGGTATCTCGAAGATTAAGGCATACGGATCAGATCGCAATCAGAACAGCAATCATCCGGCACTAAGCACAAGCGTGGCTGCATGCTAACCCTCTTCCAAAGAGCACAGACACAATGCAGCACACCGCAGCTGAAGCAAGAGGGAGAAAGACCTGTTCAAACAGAATTCGTACCTAAAAGGATTCGTGCTGTGCTGCTTGGTCTCGCTTAAGGCAACATAACACAACAAATGCAACAGTTGAAAAGTAGGCCATGATTCCTAACATCAACGGAATCTCTGAAATGATAGCGGGACTTTTGCTGACTTTTGGAGTCAAGATTGTCCACCAACCAACAGAGACAACTCGAAGTCAACTCTTCAAAGGAAAAGATGAACTTAGCAAGTGGAAAACATCTGGTGTAATCAGCAAGATCTGTTGAAGAAATTGTGAAAAATACTATGTAGGACAAACAGGAAGAAAGCTCGGCACATGGCTGCATGAAGATAGCTCAGCCATTAGCCGTCATGAGCAGAACCTCTTTGTGTTCATGTATATGGATGCCGAAAAGCACCAGTTTAATTTGGAGCAGCTCGACATCTTCTAAAGAGTCACAAGTCGGCAAGCACGTGAGTTCATGCAAGCCTGATATTCAAAGCAGAACTCGATCAATAAGCACTTAGACTTCAAAGGCGCTTACGAAGCTCTGAGAAGCAAGCCATTGAAGCCGCTTTGACGATGTTACCTAGTCTGGCAACGAAACGCCTGCAAACAAAGCATTCAGCACTGATAACAGTGTAAAACCCACATTCGTATCCGTTTCGGCAGTTGTTGAATTCTGATTTATGCTGAGATTGGAAGCTTGCAGAGAACGAAACCAGTTCAACCGCAGTCGCACAAGAGAATATCTAACAAGTATCACTGCCACTCTGGTGTTTTGAGCACAGATGACTAACCGACTGAACTGTAAACAATGTGGGCAAAACCCCCAACTCACTTGTGCCTGATCCCAAGAGATGTCGCCAACAACACGAATACATATGGGCGGCGCACCTACGTCGGTTTCCACAGTCGGTGTCTTCAACGCACTCCCAGATGCGACACCGGTAACTCCATCGTCACTCAATGTGAATTTCACGGGCGCAGACATATGGGTGGATCGCAACGCAGTCGATTGGCTTCCCGATTGTGCAAAATTCGTTTGTAAGCGTGCGACCAGTTGGCGAGCCGCCTCTCTTAATTGCCATTCGTCCTGTAAGCTGAGATACAGTGAATTCAATCGCATGAGTAACACATTTGTATTCATGTACTCCACGCGCAGTTGGAACCCATCGATACGGGCGTTCAGTGAATGTTGCGGGTCGCAGTCAGGGGCCTGGTTCAAATGCACTGGAAATGTGAAAGTAGTACATATACAGTGTGGTTGTCTAATGAGGCGTCTAAACAAGTGAGAGCGCTGACAATGAAATCAAGTGAAAAATTTTGGAGACGCGACGAGTGAAATGCAACCCAGTGCGGCTGCACGAACCGCTACACCATTACTTCGACTTGTCTACACTAGAATGGACTTCTCAACATGCTGGTTGTGTCAAAGGAAAGATACATTTCAAGTGCCTTCTAGCTATGCACATCGCCCTGTGGTGGAATGGGCCACCAATCCGGATCAACACTGGGTAGAGTTGACCTTAAAAGTCATGCTGAAGAGATTTAGAGTCCGAATCGCAATCTATCGACCCGATGGGAGCTCTAAAGAAACCAACAATGAACCGCAAAAGGAACTGTTACTGAATATCGCTTCGGAGTGAGAGCGCCCTTCAATATGTCTCCATCACCCTTAAAGGGATTAAGCTTCTGTCGAGACCGATGCGAATCAGTCAATGCGATAAACAGGTGTAAAGTTTGTAGCTGTGATGTCTAAGATGTATGACCAGCTAGTATCAGGCAGGCTTGCTGCATAATCAAGACATTTAGGTTGGAAAACACGATGATGAACGAATTCGGCAGACGGGTGGTCTACCTCAGCCAGATGAACACAGCGTTGGAAGAGTTTATGAACTCATTGAGTAAACTTTTCACCATCACTATGGAGAGCGACACAGCACAAGGTAATACTGACGCCTCGCTACCATACAACCATAATGACGCTGATACCCAAGAATAATGATAGGGAAGGTGCGGGACAGAGGGAGAAAACAAAATGTGCCGGCAAACATTTAAGGCCAAGGCCTCTATGCCTTGGTAACACAATATAGTCACGAATGGTAGAGAAAGACAAGACTGAAGAGAATGCTTCTTCGTAGCTTTTATTGACCAGCACGGGAGGAATTTTACTCCACGGGTTAGAGCTAACATAACCCGATTACAATCCGGGTTTTGAAAAACTGAAGCCAGAAGGGGTCAAGGAACTGTGTTCGAACTTGTTGTGTGCAACAAAAAGCGAACCAACTCTATGTTCTTGCATGCGAACGTGTTTAAGCACATTGGGTATTCTGCAAACACTAGTGATAGACAACGGCTCTGTATTCACTAACAAACAGTTCCAAGTTCCTGCAAAATAACGGTATCAGACATGTGAAGACCACCCCATACCACTCAACCGAAGGCTTAGGACGTGGATAGACCTACTCTTTTCCGACCAGATTACGCGTCGAGATGCAGCAAGAGAAATAAAAAGAGAGATATCATCGAAAAGTATCAGATCGAGAACTTCGCGTGGACGAGACAGCTTACGTCAAACTGCCCCGCGAATCGAGATGGCAATCTGCAGAATTACGCGAAACTGAAGGCCAGAGAGCGGATGTTGCACTAACGGACGACAGGGTACTTACCCATCATATAGATCACGTCCGCCGTCGTTCCGTTACAACCGAGCCCGTCAACCTAGTCAGTAGTCACGGAGGCCACACAGACAACAAGCCAGCCAGAATCTCAATCAATATGCCGTTCGACCAGAGTCCGTCAACCAGTTGATTGTTACCAGTCTGTCTAGAGGAGTGCCAAATAAGGGGAAGAGGAATGTGGCGCATGAGTTACCATCTCCAATCAGTGTTCACACCAGCATCGACTGTGTTTATTGATCACCCACTCACAAGTGGTTGGCTTCAGTTACTTGGTGGATGCTCAATGTACCCGTTCTGACCGGAATACACGTCTGCACATTGTCAGCCAAAGGTGTTCTGCTGCATTTATGCCGTTTGGCTAAGAGCCATTATTGCTTTACTTCCGCACGTGTAGACTTTAACAGTCAGTTAGGTTAATTACAAATAAACTCAACCAGACGGTTATACACTTATACGAAAAGTACCGAGTGGCTGTTGTATCCTTTGAGGGGATCATGAGCAGTGCACATTCCATCTGTTTGCTTTGGGGCTAGAACCCGCAGCTCTACATTTACGCACCTGTGGCTGAGGCCTATAAGTCACGGTGATTGGGTGGCAGCCGCAGTGACCACGTGACTGACTGTGATACAACGCGTGCTAATCATCCGCCACTGCCATGCGCTTGTCCAACGCTCTGGAACTGCCACAACGAAGGGCGACCAAGAATGTAAAGGGCCTGTTTCATCTCCCTTACCGATTGAGGCTGAAAACGCTCGGAGTCTACAGTGGACAATATCGACGCCTGCGTGGTGACTTGATAATGACTTATATGATCTTGAGGAATCCGAACTATTCTTGTCGTCACCTACTAAAGATGAGTCGCGATACAACACTCAGAGGACACCAACTAAAGCGGGCCACACAATATAGCCGGTTGGAATGCCGCCGGAATTTTTTCCCCTTCGTGTGTGCCAACACTGGAACGCTCTTCCCACATACGTTGTTTCTTCCCCCACGCTAACGGTATTCAAAAGACGTTTGGATGATTCGCTTATCTACCTACATTACGCTATATAATAGTCGGCCGGTGGCTGAGTGGTCTGCACGTTTGCTTTGACACCATAAGGTCACCGGTTCGAATCCGCGTAGGGGTGGGCGTCCTCGTGGTATACTCAGCCCGCGCGCGAATGGTGGTGGTCGCGCGGCAGCGAAGCGCCGTTACGGCGTACAGCTGACACATTATTATTATTACTACGCTATATGATCAGAGATGTCTACGTCAAACAAACGTGAAAAACGGTGCTCATTCTCAGCTTTTGTGCTTCACTATTTACACACTGCTGTTGTGGAATACAGTTTCGGATATATTACAACTGCATTCATCAATTACCTCAGTCCAAGAAAGCGGCGCACGAGTAAGCGTTAGTCGTTTCTTTCGTTCTTAAGACATGCCTTCCCCATATTACTTCCCATATTACTCTACAGTAACAATTCAGTACACATTCTACAGTGTTTATATGAATAAGGGGCACCTGAATCACTAGACGCTTAAATTGACGATTTACACTTATGTTTACCTTCATTTCAACCATCCTACGGGACTTGTAAAGCTAACGCTTTTTTTACCTGTAACATATCATTGTTCATTGTTGTTTATGTAGAGGCTAGGGTTGGCTTTCTGAGCCGCCATCCTTCAATAAGATCATAAGCTAGCTAGCACAGTTACTGATATGTAGAAGGTAGTAGAAGTTGGAAATTGAATTGAATGTTCGAAGATTCGTGACAGCCACACTCAGTTAGACAGTCAAACACTAGGCGACTGTTTCGTCCTTACGGAATTCGTTAGCGGTACGCGTTCCATCTGTCTCCGTAGGGACTAGAACCCGTGACTCCATGTATACCCGCCTGTGGTTGGGACAACTGGGCCACGAGGGACGGTAACACCCGAGGTGGCTGCTACAGTTGCGAAGAGGTGTTGATTACTTTCGACGAAGCTGCAAGTTACTAATAAGCAACAGCCCTTAATAAAATTATGTCATTACAAAGTCTAGGCTGTGCACTAATTACAAGGGAAAAGTGGGGGGTTTGTATGGCTACTCGTGAGTAGGGGGATTTTGTGAGGTCAATTTAGTTAATCGCAATTATAAAACTACCATCCTGAAAAGCACCAGAAGATCGTTTAATCCTAATGTTTACTAATGAGTAGACGGATTTGGGTATGATTCGATTTGGTTCATCGCAATTAGATTCCAATCCGCATAGGTAAGCTACCAATCCGGAAATGCACCAGAGGCGCGTTTCGCCCCATTGGGGTTCGTCAGTGGTGCGCATCCATCGGTTCTGTACTGGGGATCGAACCAATGACCGCTAGAGGCTAACGCCAAATAGTCAAAGGCTTATGCTACTGAGTCATGGGGAAGACAGCAGACAATTACGAATTGAAACCTAACTGCGATATAGCCCGACCCATCCTTCACTGCCGTGCAGGTTAGTGCTCGTGCAGAGGACAGTGGTTGACCGTCACGGTCTGGTCTTCCTTTGTCAGCGCCGTAAACCCACACAACAATTTTGAATACTGGTAGGGCTTAGATTTTTGATTACTAATGAGTAGACGAATTTGGGTATAATTCGATTTGGTTCATCACAATTAGGTTCCAATTAGATTCCTATTGTGTCACGTCCGTAGTACACATTCCCCCAGCCCTCTTTAGGGAACCGAACTAATGACCGCTAGTGGCTTCCAAAACGAGCCAGCAGTTTGTGCCACTGAGTGATGATAAATTAGATACTAACCGTGCTTTAGCTCGACCTATCCTCCATTGCAAAACAGAGGAAAGTGGTTGGCCCTAGTGTGTGAGAACTTCCCTAACAGTAGCAGTGAATTCACACAGCATTTTGAACACTGTTATGGTTAATTTTTGATCACTAACGAGCGGAGAGTGAGTGAAGTTTATTTGGTTCATCGCAATTGCGACTTGTAGAGCATAAATTGTGCTGAATACAATCCCGAGCGTCATTCAAAGCACACAGCCACCAATAAGTTCCATTGGGATTGGACAGAGAACAATTCATCCCTGAAGCAACAAGTTCGCCAGGTTCGAAGAACAACTGCACAGCTAAGAGAAAATGGCAGACGGATATAGGCGAACTATAACCTACCACGCGCTTCGACATCAAGTAGAGCCATTTCGCCACCAACGCCGCCGCCCTCGCTGACAAACTGGCAAGTTCCAAGTCCTGCAGAAAGTGTGGTGTTCTTGCGACCGCTGGAGTGCAAAGACATTCGACCATTGCAAAACAACTGATCCATGACGAACCTGAGGTGGGTAAATCCAAACAAGAGGCTCAGCAGAATAGACAGGCAGAAAAAGAAGGGAAGTAACAGTTGGACGTACTGAGCTAAGCCACAAATCATGTGTGTGTGTGTGTGTGTGTGTGTGTGTGTGTGTGGATCCAATGGAAAGTGTTCTATCAGTGGTGACTAGGGAATGGGATGTCCAACTTACGAATCGTAAGCATACAGCTATACTTTATATTTTGTAAGCTGGACTTTGTGGTTAGTAAATGAATTCGTAAAAGTCGAGAAAAGAGTGGTATGTGTATGGGGGTCAAAAGTATACACGGACTGTTAAATGTTGTGTATCCAGCCGGGAGGCAGAACAAACAATGTACCCCACTCGAAATTGGCTCTACTCCGTGGTGATGCCACAAGTAGACAGAACAGTGCGTTTGTTGACCGTGTAGTTCGATCCACAGGAGCGATGGCAGCGGACGTAGTCTGTGGCTGCCAGTGAGAGGTAGATCTGGAAATGGAAGTCGCCAAGCATGAAGTAGACCGCACCTCGATAGCCTAGTACATCTGACGGACATAGTGCGCACGGTGAACAAATGACAATGAATGGGAAAAACTGTAATTCTGATGGAACCGAACGAGAGACTACTGCGAATTCACCCACCTAGTTTGGCCCATGGCACTGCCCATGAACAAGCTGAGGTCGAACCGCTTCAAATGGAAACAGATGATGGGCAATGCGTGCCAAGAAGCCACTCGTAGACTCGCACTAGGACTTGTGTTCGGGCCACGCTCGAGAAGCAGTGTAGTGGACTGGGACACCAAGTTTGAAGAGTCAATAGGCCTGCGTTCCTTGGTGGCATCAGGTGGCTGCGGAAGCGTGTGTAGCTTTGTGCGCTCCACGGGAGGTGCGAAGGCATCGAACTCCATTTGCTGATCTGTAGGAGGCAAAAGCGAACGATGAAAGTGCATTGGTTTGCAAAAGAAATAAGAGCTGTGGATTTGTCTGTCAGCTGAACGAAACAGAATCAGTAGGGACATGGTAAATATAGATGTTTCGCTTGCAATGATGTGTCGTTGCAAACAATCCTGATTACAAAAACTAACTAAGAACGAATAGCGAGAAACCGAAAGGAGTGGACAAACGACGAAAATGAAGATGATGATGAATGAAACATGGTGTAAACAGGTTCGTGCCAACCTAATCGACGATGGGTTCAAGCTAGTCTTACAAACTAACTAGGAGCAGAGTGCAGGGGCGCATTCCAGCTAAACAACTGTGGTCCGTGCAACAAAGTGCTATGGACAAATATGCCATGACAGCAACGAGCAAAAATAGTGTAGAAAAAGAGGTAGAGCACAGCACAAAGATACGGGATGAAAAAGATGAGTACCACCCATCTGTACGGTAGTAACGTGTCGCTGGATAGTGGGCGGCGCTACAATACATACAGTAACTGAGCCACGACGGCCGTTGCCGTCCCACGCGTTTCTCTGTGGTCTCAACCACGGACTGGCAACAACCGAGGCATGGATTCGACCCACATAGGGGTCAGATGGAGTACGTAGTGCTGACGATTCCCGAAAGGGTGAAACGGCCGTACAGTGTTTTTCCGGGAGTGTGATGGTTGTCTGATTGAGTCTATGTGTGACAAATTTTTAGTTAAAACCAACCTAGTTGGAATATCAACCAAACAGATGAAGGGAACTGAACGCAAGATCACCACTGACTTCATGAGTGCGCCATATCCGGTAGGGCACCTGACCACTAATGTCAAAGTCATCAGCAGTATGCCGATACGCGGTACCAACGCTTCGCTGCCGCGTAACCACCACTAGTCTCATGCGGGATAGGGATACTGCGAGGGTCGCCCGATCCCTACACAGACTCGAACCCGCGCCCTCGAATTACAAGGCGGGCTTGTGATCCTTAAGGCTAAGTGCCGGCGACCGCTGAGGCGGCTCACCCCGAGAACCTCATACACGAAGATGACACCTAAAAGCCTGATGAACTCCCTCAAACAATTTCTTCATGCCTTTATGCCACGTCTTGGTTTTGCCCAACTTCTCGCAATAATAGCACACTGAGGAAGGCGGTCGATGAGCCTCTGAAGGATCTGACCCAACCAACGTATGCGGTCTGAGCTTAGTAAGCAATGGGCTCGGTTGCCTTAGTACGCCTCTCCATGGTGATGACAGGCAACGATGATGGAAATGAAGAAGAAAAAGGGTAAATGGACGAAAAGGAAGATCCAGGTAATTACAGGACCAAGGGCAAGAGTATAATCGACTTTGAGACTGTCTCACCGAAGATAAACGTCAAACATGAACGCGATCGATACCAACGTGGTACGCATCGACCAGCTACTTAGTGATTCGATCAGTTTTCCATTCTGACCACCCCAGGGATATCACTTAGAATGGGGCGGTGTGTACAGATCTGAGAAATTGGTTGGTAAGAATTCGAAGAACACATGTTCAGGTAAAAGCGGTGCTCCGTCGGTGGTCCTACTAAATATGAGTAACACTACGCAAGCATTGGCGGCTGAGGCCAAGTTGTATCATCATCACACAGTGGCCGTCTCTGATACGCATCGTAAAACTAACCGGAATGTGGCGAAGTTTAAGCTCCACTTGGCTGATGAGCTAATGTCTCGAGTAGCCTTTATGGTTAAGCGAGGCGCAAAGAAGGCACCAGGGGTTCACAGATGGACGAAACTTGAGGTTAATGTTGGAAGTTTGTGAGTAGGGTAAAGTTTGTAGAAAGTAGAAGTCACGATTAAAATTCACGCACCATAATATACCTCGACCGGGAGTCGAAACCCGGTCCACGAATTTCCGGTTCGCTGCTTGAGGTGCTTACAGGGTTCACCAACGCACAACCGCTTGACTTTTCATGCAAGGCACAAAGTGAACGTACCTGAATCAGTTGCGCTCAGTAATGGGGGTGACGTGAGTGACCAATAGTGTGAACGGGTCGGGGAGAAAGGTTCGGCGCTTGTTGTAGGGATGGGATCTACAGCTACGACGAAATCATCTGCAGCCTCAGGGGCGGCCTTCAGCGGACTATGCGGAAGGTCACCAGGTTCATTCGTCCTATCCATCTCGTTGAAAGCATCGGCTGAAAAGAAGAATAAAGAGGATGAACAAAAGTACGGGAGAGTGACTCAGTGAAAGAGCCAAACCAAAGTAACACTCATTGCAATGAGAATGTGCGCGTGCGCATGAAACGATTTACTGGGTTAGACTATACTGAGATTGTTGGCTTCTGATCACAGGTCGTAACTACCATGTACACTCACTGGCGATAAATTCCAAATCAAGGGTGGATAAATTGTTGAGTGAGCAGGGTGGGTTCCTCCGATCGAACTGCAATGGTTCCAACTACGGATATGTTTCAGTCAATGTTAGGTGCTTGGAAGATCAACTTGGAAAAGTTAACTGAAACGTGGTGCGAAGTGCGGATATGGAGAAGTGAATATGGTCAGGTTGGATAGTTTAAGGTCGTCAGATTGAAAACGGGAATTGAAGAATGAGTAATTATGCACTGATATGATATGAAGTTGGCGCAAAAAGGAACGTGAGCAACATACCAGTGCGCTGTAATGACGCTTCGCTGGCAAACAAACTCAAGTGGTTGTACGCAGGGGTTGGGATGATACTACAGTGATCAAACCTAGGTAATAGCAGAGGCTGGAACTTGATGTGGAAACTGGTTTTGCAAATCCTGTGCTCTGGGGTTCGAGTCCCGCTCGTGTTTAGGTTTGGGCGCTCTGGTTGCATAGCAGGGATGCAATCGTGCACAGTAAGGGTACACTGCTATATCGACATGTTGAAAGACAGACGTACCGTCTTTAGAATGTGGGTCCGCGGATGGGCTGCAAGTTGGCCGTAAGTGCGTCAGCCAGGATACGGGTAACACAATATCGAGAGGCAACGTGAAACTAGGGAACAAATCTGTTGCAAGATTGTCAACTGAAGGCAGCAAACGCATCTAGGATCAAGCATTCGTGTACAGCACCAGTGTTCGTGGTGGCGTGTACTAAGGATCAAGCACATCCATTTTAATTACTAGATTGAAGTCATACACATTCTTTGTAAATACACAGAAGTGTACCACGGATAACACTGAGGGACTTATATGTTGAAAGGCAGCAGCAGAAACGTACCGGTCGGTTCCGTGTTGCCCAAGAACAGTCTGCGGACGAAACTGCCCCGGTACCAAGCATTAGGGATGTCCAAAATCTCCAGCGTTCGCCGTGTGTCACAGGTGAACACAGCGACACCAACATCAAAAACGCCTATAGAAGAAACAATGAGAAATTAGCTACAGAATGAGCTGATTGGGTACAGCGATGTGGATGGAAAAAACGAACTGGTCACGATGGAAGTAGACAGCCGTGTGACAGCAGAAAACAACAGTGTGGACCCAATGATTCACGCCAATAAAGAACACGATTAAGACATTGCCTAATTCAAGTCGAACACGGTATGGTCGGTGGTTCCTTAGATTTAAATTTTTCAGGTAACGAAGGTAAACACGGTAGCCATTGCGGTGTTACGTGGAAGAGATGTACCAGTACATACTGCAGAGGATACACGGATGCTGTGATTACAAATCCCCTTAATATTTATTTTCCCTGTTCAAATATGTCAACCTTGTCCCGTGGTTATACTCAGTAATCTTCAATCTTCAGACCATTGCTCACCAACATAATTAGCGTCCAGCACTACGTGCAGATTCATATAAACCTTATGCCTAGTTCACGTCAACTATCAATGACCCTCTCACTTATGTCTACACCTTTGCTCTGCATCGATTAAGATTAGATGTCTACCCCATCCTCTGCAATTGTGCGTCTGTGACCTCAATGCTGAATGCTAAAAACATACTGATCTCATTCCATTCCAGGGCTTTCACCGCCATCGCTCTATTCGTGCCATTGACCAATCTCGTCATTTCGTTTGTCGCATAAGTACATTGTGCACTGTGGTTCCGTCACCGTGTATCCCGGTCATTCTGAAGCCTAGCTTGTTGACTCTGAGAACGAAGCGTTTGCCATCGTAGCTGACTTGAGTTGGAAGTGTTAGCATTGAGGTATGTAGTCGTAATGCTTACTTATTTGTCTGTGTTTACAGTTCGGGCCTTGCTGTTGATATGATCAAGGTGGAAATGCATTACTAGAACGTTCGAAGAGAATGTTGTCGCTTTTACATAGTACTGATGTGCCTCTGCTCAGAGTGACTCAGACCCCCAGCGCCAGCCGAAGTTGTCCTATCGTGTGCTTGTTGGCCTTCGTCGGCCGGTTGCCCAATGGCACTGGGCATCTATTCTCTAAGCTAAAGATCTCCAGTGCCAAACCGAGTGGGCCAAGGCGACTCCGCGACGAGTGGTGGTCGCGCAGCAGCGTAGTGTCGGTAAGGCGGCACGCCGGCGTGTTGCTGACGGCATCTTCTATTGGTCGCTTTCTCAGCCAATGTCGCTTGCGGACATAACGTCTGGTCATGTATGAACACGGTAAAGAGGCATGAATAAACCCACCAAAAACGGCCAGTTGCGCGTGGTGCCCTCCTAAAAAGGGATAACCCAAAAAGCCACCTAAATGACTATAAATTGTGTCTCGAGATGACAGGTTCTATAGAAATCAATGGAGCCCATTAATTAAAGGAGGCTACCCACACAATTATCGATCCGTGTACTCCAGTTTGAAATCATGTTCAGGGAGATCTTTTGCTCGTTACAGTGATATGAGTTATGAAAGCAACTGGCTCCATTGCATACCAGTGGAGGGAACAAAGTTGGTAAAATGAGATGGACTGCGATAGGCTGACTGTTACGTAATGTTGGCCATTTCATAAAGAATTTTCCCCTCCCAATTTTCTAAAGAGCAAGAAGGAATTACGTTGGTTCACATTCTCTCCAGCTGCTTGCACATGATCCGTGGAACGATTGTGTTGTAGGCAAGGATAAGAAAGGCGTGAGGTCGCGATTTGACAAGCTACCCACTTCTAATGCTGAACTTCACGAGAAGTGCTTAACAATGAAGATCAATTTGTTTAAAGAAAGGCAACCAACAACCGCGCAAAAACAAGGCGAAGTCGGTCACTAACTCCGTCTGGTAGCATAAAGTCGGTTTCAGCTGCGGGATCATTGAAACTTGGGCAAACTGAAGTGAATGAACTGTGCTCTGTCGGTTAATAAATTTCAATGAATCAAGCCGGTTCAGGTACGTAGACCAGTAGATGATTTGTCGATAAAGCGACTAAATGGGCAGGCTGAGGCAGTTTCGACTAAATTGTGTAAGATATCCTGAAGACCTTTCCCAGTCTGGCCAACGTAACTGCCACCGAAATTACATTAAAAACGTAGATAGTTGGGGCCTCAACATGAAGGCCAATCTTAGTAGCACATTCATAGCAGAAATTGTGTCAATTATGAAAATAAAACAGGAAATGTATCCCTCTCTTGTTAGTGCAACATTTCCAGTTTGTTTCCAAGTTGGACTTCTAATCGTCTTAGGTGAGGAGAAGGCTAGCATGGAATTGCGAAAGGATCACACATTTCCTTATAGAACATAGAATGCATAATACAGTCGAACCCACTTTATTGCCCCCCATCGAGATATTTCAAAAGTGAGCAAATAAGTGGGATGGGAAGTAACCGAGATTGCCTATTTTCCGAAAGTGAAACAACCATTTAATTATTGTACAGTATCTCACTTGAATTGTAACGTGTTAAGAAGGACAAAATACGTACTTGCAATCAAAACCTGCAAAAGACGTTTATTCAGCAGAGCATGACCTGTAATTTAAAAGTTATAACATAAAGCATCTTGGGTGCAGACGTTTCGTTACCAAATTAGACAACATCTTCAGTGCGCATATTCAGTCCTGATTCGCGGTCTCGCAAACCAATGCCAAATCCGAGTGAGTGTTGATTGTTGCCTGCTTCGAATGTCAGCCTTCGATCTGTTCACGTGAGTCGGTCGAGTGAGCACCTCTTCTCCTTTTCGATCTGGTGCCTAATGTTGGCTTAACCTGCAGAGCTCCATAGACACCCTCCAGCTCCAGGTGTTTGTTGATCGAGTTCCGACCAGAATGCCAGGACTCGAGGAACTCACCCGCTCTGCGGCTTTTTGCTCTTCCAACTATTTCAACGTTCTCCAGATCGAACTGATGGTTCTCGGCATCCATGGATGTCGAGCATTAGGCGCCAGATCGACAAGGAGAAGAGGTGCCCACTCGACCGATTCACGTGAACAGATCGAAGGCTGACATTCGAAGCAGGCAACAATCAACTGTCACTCGGATTTGACATTGGTTTGCGAGACTGCGAATCAGGACTGAATAGCCGCACTGAAGATGTTGCCTAGTTTGGTAACGAAACGTCTGCAACCGAAATGCCCGGCTCGGAGAACAGGACAATCCTCTCATCCACACCCCGAGCTACAGGTATTCTCAATAATAAAGCATCTTAACTGGAAAGCTATAGAAACCGGCGCTACTGTATATTTTTGCTGAGAGAACAATCCAACATCAGTTGTACATTATTTCGTGCAGATACCCCAGTTGCTTTTGCTCTGATGAAGTCCAATTTGGACAAGAAATCGTTTGGAAATTATTGAGAATACCTATAGCTCGGCATGTGGATGAAAGGATTGTCCTGTTCTCCGAGCCGGGCATTTCGGTTGCAGACGTTTCGTTGTCTAGCCCATGCAAATATCTGTAACTGTTCAGATCATTCACACAGTTCTGTGCTCTTGAATGCGGTACGCGCTGATTACTGTTACTCAAGGAGACATCCGGCACGTCGTCTTCCGAGTCGCTACATTCTTTCTGTTTTAGTCGGTTCTTTAACACTTAATTGACCATTTCATCTTCAACAGTTGTCAGATCTGAGGTACATTCCACATCATTGTCAATGGCGACGAACTCTGCTGCATTGATGACGGATTGTGCAAGTGCTGATCACGTTCTCAGCGATGACGGCGTCGTCAGAAAGTGCATCGGATGCCACTCGACTGAAGCCAGCATGCCGAAAGCATGTTCTTATTGTTGCGCCGGTAACCTGTCTCCAACTTTTTGAAACGAACTGTATTGCATCGAGCACAGAAATCTTACCGCTGACATCCACCACCGACGATGGGCAAGATAGCAGGTTGTTTTCGATGTGATAAAGAAATCGGTAAACAACTGCCTTCCTGTAACGGATTTCCAGATTCATAATCACACCTATGTCCATGAGTTGAAAGATGCTGGTCGTGTTCACCGGCAAAATATCCCATTCAAATGTTTTTCAGACCTTCTACCTGTGGATGCACTGTGCAATTATCCAAGAGTAACATAATTTTTCGGTCATTTTGGCCTAGCTTCTTGTCCCATTCGAGGACCCACTCGGTAAAAAGTGCTTTCGCCGTCCACGCATTTTGTTAGCTCTGTAAGTTACGGGAAGTGTGTTCACGTTCGTCATTAAAACATTGTGATTCCTTTTTCCAATCAAAACCAATTTGCGTTTATCCGTGCCTGACATATTCGCGCAGCACAGGAGAGTGATCCTATCCATGACTTTTTTCGATCCACTGAGTTTGTCAGCAGAAAAACACAAAGAGCCCTCTGGAGTTGCTCGGTAAAAATGACCTGTCTCGTCTGCATTGTACACATTGTCATCATCAAATGCATTAAAAAATTCAGGCAGTCGCTCTTTCAGATAATTTTCACAGACAGCTCTACCCGCGGAACTCTTTTCACCATGCGCACGTTTATACACACAATTTGATTTTTATTCTTCCATATTTAAACCATTCCACTGTGGCAGCAAAGGTTTTTCCAAGCATTTCTCCGAATTTATCTACCTTTTTCTTCAGAAGCAGGCCTGTAAGTTTTTGGTTGTGCTCATGAATCGATATCATCTGATCTTTCAATGCAGTTTCGACTTCTTCATTCTTTCCACATCGCATCCATTTCTGAGAACTTGCAATGCCATGCGACAAATTCCGTCGGAGTTCCTTTTCACTGGCAATCAACCTGGCTGGGGTAGGATGAGAAATGTGTAAATCAAGAGAGGTTCCTGGTGGATAAGTAATCCGGTAATCCGTAAGTCCGGAGTTCGAGTCCCCGTCGAGGCAGATTATTGTGCAAAGTTTAATCGTGGCTTCTACTTTCTACAAAAAGTTTTAATGTTGTCAAAGACGTGCAACTTTTCTGTCAAGGACAAATTCCATCTGTTACTCGCCATATTTGTGTGTAACCTATAGAGTACTGACAAATGTGGATCAGTTCGCGAGTTTTAAATAGAGCCGAGAGTTTGCCCGCAGCCGTCTGTACATTTAGCTTGCTCGTGTATTGAATGACGTATGTAAACTTTTCTGATCTGGCAATAAGGCCGCTGATATCTTTGTTGTTCGTGATCCGATCGGACTGGCTAACTGTGGGGTATTCGTAATAAAAGATAGTAGGAACGAAAGCGTAGAATTGACAAAGCAACAAGCAAGAGCACAGCACACGCAGCTGGGCAATTAAGAGGTGGTAATGAGCAATTAAAAGCTGAAAATTTAGCAGCTTTATGCGAAAACAATTTGTATTTTGTAAAACCGGGCAATAAAGCGTGGTGAGATATAAACCGGGTGGGCAAAAAAGCGGGTTTGACTGTATAACATGCTTATGGAAAACCCACATTTTTTAAAACATCAATATGATGGTAGTTACGATTATGTTATCAAGACGGCAAACCACTTAAGCATGGAAACCAGGGGACATAAGAGTGAAGTTCAGGGGTGTGGCAACGCGTCAGCTTAGTCAGTTTCGTTAGTACCGATTGAATCGCAGCGTTCTGATTGGCCAACAGCGTAACGCTGAAATGAACGTGTTTTCTTCGTTGCAACAGAAGGGAGTTATTCCCAGGTGAGCTCTGTCCTCGTCTCGGAACGGTTATAAGAAGCTAACATTGAAACAAACAGGAAGTATGCTAGCAGAGGAGCCTGTATAGACGGGTTTGCACAGCGACCAACTAGTTGGATGCAATAATACTAAGTAGTCCGCGTAGTAGCATTTGTAAAGCTTGGTGGAGACGATATTGAAATTTCCAATCAGGGTGGTTCGTTGAAATCAAAACATATTGTGGAAACAATGCGCTCTCATGCTGTTTTAAAAGAGGCAACGATGGAAAAAAGACAAGAGATCACAACAGTATACTAAAGTGGTCGGTTATACACAAATTACCCGAAAATTTGACATCTCGGTGAAGGCCCCAAGATTCAGCCAAGGGGGGTGGACAAGTAGAGGTTGCGGCCATGGCCCGTGATCGACTGGCCGAGGCTGAAGCATTCCGTGACAAAGCTGGTTTTGCATTTGGTTCTCCGGGCACACCACCTCCAGCCGGGTCGGTGTCGAACGAACGAGCGATATGGTCCAAGCGAACTAGTGTGGTTTCGACTCGGCGAGAAATGTTCAATCGCGCGTCATGCACGAGCAACGTGAGGGAATCCCCGGTCCATGTCGCACCCAGGATACGTTCAGACCGCGCGCTTGCGGAATCCACGTAGGGGTGGAAAACTGAGATACGAAATTCTACAGAATGAGAAAAAGGAGACGAGGAGGAAATGCATCAAGCGGATGGTATAAGAGAGACACATATTGATAGGGCCGGAGATGAACTACGGAAGTCAAGTTTTATGGATAACAGGCTTCCCGCAGTGTGAAATAAGACGACGAGTTGAAAACAGCTAGGCTAGAGTCACAGACCATTCAGCAGCATGCTGAAATAAGAGAAGTTGGATAAAAGCGTATCAGCCATACGTCGCGGTAAAGGCATGTTTCATGAGTATGTCAAAAGGAAAGGTGTTGTCTAGAGACGTTAGTCAGGAGTTATTTAGAGACTCTAACAACAGAGGCAAGAAAGAACTTTCGTACTGAATACACCGGTTTTGAATGCAGTAGCACTTGATGCTGATGAAAGCTTTCTTCGCAAATGATCATCTAGTGCAGAGCGACTGATATAGGCCCGTAGCCTTAAGGATCACAAGCCCGCCTTGGAAGCTGAGGGCACGGGTTCGAGCCTGTATAGGGAACGGGTGACTCTGGCAGTATATTTAGCCCAAGTGGTACTGGAAGTGAGCATGCGGCAGCGAAGTGTCGGTACTGCGTACCGGCGTACTGCTGATGCCTTGCCTTGCTTTTGTTTACGAGACGGAAACAGGCCGAAAGGCGCGCAGTAGCTAGACTCTGATGTCAAGCTATCCGAGAAAAGAACTACCCGCATGTCCTCTTACAATCCACACTCATGTGATCGGAAAAACTGCTGTACTGGACAAGGAATGCCTTGAAGTAACGACAAAAAATGCTAAGAAGCAGCGTGTTGAATTTCACTTACTCCCAGAGGCAGTGGCCAAAGCATGCTTAAATTGTGAGCTAAGCGGGGTAAGTACAGGTCTTTCAATGATCTTCAGCTTCTAGAATAGAAATATCAACTGTTCAAATTGGCAGTGCCATACCGATACGGCCAATCCTCAGGGCGTTGTGTCATCATGTGCAGCCTTAGAAAAAACAATAGTGTTCCAAAGCAATAAAACAATCGATGACATGCGATTAATCGCTGAAGAAAAGAAATGTTTACTTGCTTGTGAACACAGCATACACTCATCCGAAGGTGAATCGGGAATCACAACCTAACTCAACGAATTCGCGGCGCATACGATCGCGCCAATGAGGACGAGTCGAGTTCACCAGGCGGTTCAATAAGGTGCCAGAGGGTCTGCTACCGAACACCTAACGACAAAGCTCCTGTGTGCTCTTCACCCGGTTCTCCCGTTCGCACACTTAACGCTTAACTTGAGAACAAGCATCTTCTCAGGTTTTTGGTTTTATATAGTATTCTGTAATGTTTTGTATCACATTTCCCCTAAATACCCTATCTTGTTTGTATTGCGGCATATTAGCTAAAGTGTGTTAATTGATTGATTGATGATTTGATGATGATGCTGCTGCTACTGCTGTTGATGATGATGAGGAGGAGGAGGATGAGGATGACAGATTATGTGCAGGCATCGGTGGTCAAATAAGGCGAGTGTCATAACGTCATCCATAGGTAACGGCCAGTTCAGTGACCGATACAGCAGCATAGTGACAGCTGAGCGAGAAAGCTGATTACCAACGCGCGTGTGTTTGCCACAAAGCGTGCTTGGAAAAGACCTTGCGAGCGTGTTTCCAGGGCCCAGCCGAAAGCTGATGAAATCGCGCATCAGACAACAGGCGTGTTGCCAAGCCCTGACCGGAAGCTGATGTAATCGCGCGTCAGACATCACGTGCGTTGCCATGCACCGGGTAGGCGGACTAAGACTGGTGTGTCCGAGCAAGACGGTGAACTGAAAAGACGGAGTGGACAAGCAAGTGTGAAGTGTGGGCTTACATCCAAATCCGCCTGGTGATGTTTGGAGGGTCGGTGAGACCGACATATATCAGCGTTCTCTGTCCTAATACAACTCTGGTCTGCTGAGTCTTCTTCTGTCTTCCTTCCTGTCGGGTTTGTGAAGGCGTCAAACAGAGGAGGCGTAAGGGAGCAGATTTACCAACAGGCATGAATCAACCGGTCAATTGCGGGCTCAGCGTTATAACAATCGGTAATGCCATAGCGTTGTAAACGCATCTCACAATCAATGGGTATACCTATAACCATTTGCATGAATGGACGAGGCTTGGAAAGCAACATGAACCACACCAATGCGTGCGGCAATCTCCTTGCTAACGCGACCACCAGGGATGACGCACTCACTTAAATAAGTGCACCAATCGACTACTTCGAACGGCCACTTCAAGATCGGGGTGATAAATATAAAAGAGATGAAAAGGGTTCCAGTATGAATTTAGGGTGGTTGAATTCAATGATGGATAGAAAGTTCAAATCGACTTATCTGGTTCGGAAGTGACGGGAGTCCTAACAGCCCCACATTTGATGCAGTTTATAGTAAAATACGGAATACTGCATTGTGGGAGCAAGTGGAAATTGGAATCTGTACAACTGTATAACAACGGACTGAAATCGCCACATTTATCTGGGCACCAGTGTCATGAAATCGAGATCGCCAACTTGACGGCAAGGGATAAGTTACCAGCACACCAAAGAGAATGTGTAGAGCACACAAACAGAATGATGCAACCACATAAACGAAACGTGTTGGAGAATTTAAGGATGGTTCCAGGTGGGCGTAGCTAGGTAGATTAGATGTAACACAAAATACGTATGTGGCCTGAAGTAAACCGCCCAACACGATGCACACACAACATGGTTACGTCAATTGCATGTCGATGTGGCGTCAAAATCGCCCTATTCAACATCTGCTTACGTGCGCGGCAGTATGGAATCAGGCCGTCCAAACCAGCAGATTGAACAATTCGAAGCACTTAACTAAAGTATAAGCATAGTTAAGTGCAAGCTTTGGCACAGTTCATGAATGTGTTGTAAACAGGTGGCCCAAAAGACCGTACAAAGGTGTACGGAGAGAAAAACAGATTAAAAGAGACTATATGAATTTGTCAACTTCCTGGTAACGCAAGCTGCACCAGTAGTCAGAAAGCGAAAACATTGTTGATTGCATGCAGGACAGTAATGTTAGTCAATCAACAACAGCAGTACATCAGCCATTTGAACTGATGCCGCGCTGTCGCACAATCATGATGATCTATGATATACAGAATAATAAGAGGGAGAGAAGGGGACTAACCGGAAAACCCTAATGCGCTAAGCAAACATGCAAGGTCAAGGCGCCTACACCTTGTGGTAACAATATACCATCACTAACAGCTGGTTATCCTGCAAAGATAAGGCGGCATCAGCGAGACAGATTTCTTGCAGCATTCACTGCCCCCGCCATAATCAGCCATTACCCTGCAGATAACTCAGCACCAAACACACGTTAAACAGGCAGTCCAACTAGGAGACGGCAGCAGACGCACCACCGGTGCCGACTGCGAGTCATGTCCTCTAACGTCTCAAGTCAAGCACAAGGTGGGTCACGTGGACTCTAACCTCGAAGGTGAGACGGACCGAAGGGAAGCAGCTTGGTTGTCAGTGACTTCATTTCCCGCTGCCAAGTCAACCTTCTGTCCACCTCGAGACTTTTGCCACCCTACATCTAGCAGACTAAACAAAGCCCTCTTAGGTAAGCGGTGACCAGCCATCCGTAGTATGTGCCCAAGCCAACGCAACTTATTCAGTATTATGTTGTTCTAAGGAACTAGCTAACTTATCACTGCCTAGTACACGCCTAATCCCACCATCGTTGCGGACACGCTAGTGTCACCCGACACCAGCAAAGCTTCGCAGACAACGATAGTCGAAGACCAGTAGGCGTCTCAGATCTTAAGACCGAAGGGGCGAAGTCACAGTCCCAAAGAGCAGGACACCCTCACTGTGGCTTGGTAAACACGACCTCTCAGACCGAGGGAAACTTCCTTCTGTCACCAAAGATGTCGCAGGTTCAAGAAGACAGCTCTGACTTTTGCAATGCGCGAAATGACTTCAGTTTCTATGCACCCATGGTTGTTGACGCAGTGGTCAAGGTAAGTGAATCAATCAACCAATTCGAGTTCATCGTTATCAAGGGGTCATCAAGTGACTGATGATCCGCCGGCACACGTTGCACTTGGAAGGTGGGAAGCACATATCCAATGATTGGACCACTCCAGACAGGCTATTCAGGGTTGATGGTGCCACCTCAACATCGTCAAAAAGCAAGATGATATCCTCCGCATAATCAAAATCAACTGACGTTTCACCAAGCAGGATCTCAACGCTAGCGTCATGAGTCTCTGTAAGAGAACACTCCATGATGGAGTCCACGACGGAATTGAAAAAACGGGGAAACCGGACAACCTTGACGAATGCCAATTGTTTTCGGAAAGCTATCCGACAGGTCATCCTACATCGTTACGCGGTCTGTAATGTTCGAGTATAAAGCACGTAAGATGTTCACATGGTTCGTAGAAACATATTTCCGCGCAAGTATTTCGAACAGAATCGATCGATCGACGGAATCGAACGAATCTTGAAATCGAGGAATACAGCTATTGTCGGTCTACGGTATGCGTGGTGCTGCTCTAGCACGTGCCCCAGAGTGAATATATGATCCATACAGCCACGTCTTGGGGGGAAGTCCGCCTGCTGTTCCATCATCCGTGATTCTCGCTCCGCAGTGAGGCAACAAACGAGAATCGAGGCCAGTAACTTTGTAACTATGGGCGTTAGGCTAATACCCCTGTGGCTAGCACAATCTGTGCGACTGCTTTTCTTGCCATTATAATCGATTCACTCCAGTTAGCCGGGACACTCTCTTCCTTCCAGATATTTCCGAATAGGAGGGAACAGTGCTTTGCAAAGGACCTCGCCTTCAACTTTAAATAGTGCAGGTGGTAGGGAATGCGGGTCAGCAACACGAAAACGATTGGGGGCTGTGATCACGTTTCCGACCTCAGCCTCCGATGGATCCTATAAACTAACCGACCATGGCTCGTCCTGCATCACCTGAGTAGGAAGAGATTCGGGAGCAGCTGGAAGAGCTTGCGGTAATTGCCTACTGCTCCTGCCTCCTCCATTTCTTAAGCCCTACTGGTCCACCAGGCTTCCTTGTCAGCATGCAGGTTCCGCTTTAGTTCGCGCCTTATAGTCCGTCTGATCCCATTGTGCTCAGAGTAAACTGGGAGCTTTCTTCTGAATTCCAACAGGTTCACCGACTTCTCGGATATTCAGTGACTGGTGCGGTGACGATTGATAGTGCCGCAAGCAGATATTGCTGTGCCGTGTATGGCGACCGAGATTCTATTCCACTGAAGATCAGTGTCATTAAGACCAGACAGCGGAAGTTCGGTATGCAGTGCATCTTAATAGGCTTGCCTGCCTGAGGGCTGGGACAATTTCTCCGTTGCCAAATGGAGGAGACGCTTGGTGCGCCTCCCGGTAAAGTTCATGGAGAAACGACAGCGTACCAATGCATGATCAGAGTCGACGCAGGTATTCCAGTACGAGCGGCAATCCAGGATGGAACTACACCACCTGTAACTTATGACTATGTGGTCAATTTGGGTCCATCGCTTGCTAACAATAGGAATACGCCAAGTGGCAATTCGGCGTCCGCTGTGTCTAAAAGCAGTGCTACTAAGATACAACTGGTACCCCACTAACAGTTGCAACAGACGCTCGCCGTTGTTCGTCTGTTCTGGGTTAAGCCCATAAGTACCACCTAGCTGAGCTTCTGATGAGCTCAGACGCCCTACTTGTGCGTGTATATCCCTTTATGTAAGATGATGATTATGTAAGATGATATTTGAGCTAGTAGCACTGCGTAGTAGCACATTCAGTTCGTGATAGTATGTGGTAGAGCAAACACAGAAAATACACCATCACCGTACAAGATCGGTGACTTACCTTTTAGTATAGCGGTCACGCACAATCCACCTTGGCTGACAATATCGCCGACCTTTGGATTCGGAGGAAGCCGCAAAGTGCAGACAGGGCCAACAGTGTCTTCCGTGGCCTGAAGAGCAAACTGATGAGAAGTCCGGCCAGCAGGTAGAGCTTAGAGAGAAATGGAGTGAAGTAAAAATGCGACGATGATAACGGCGAAAGTGCGTGGGAGGTGTATGCGGCTGAGGTGTAGGTGATCTATCTTGGGGAATAATAGGCTCGTGCGCAATTTGTATAAAAAATCGTGTAAGGCAAACTGATGGGTAAACAAGCAGTAAACAAACGAGTTCCTGCAATAAGGCACTTAACGACAGGGGATTTAGGGGAACCTATGTGATCAATCAAACTAAACGTAAGAAATGGCCGTAGTAGGTCGTCTGCATATGTGACACTGTCCACGTGACCGTAGTGGGATGCACACGAGAAGGAGCTTCGTTGTTTGCCTGGTGGCGTCCTATAGTCGCCCGTGGAAATGGGTATGAAACTCGACAACCACCAATTTGATGATCTCTCCAGAGTACTGATCAGAGTGATCAGACCAACTGCGAACGAGTAGACAGTGTTGCAGCAACGATGTTCAACACTTGACCAGCGCCCCGGGCAGATTCAAGTGAGACGCGAGTGACGATGAAGAGTGAGAAGCCGGGCAACCTGATCGGATTGGGAAGGCTCACATAAGGCTGAACAATGAAAGCACAGCTCGTCATCACAGAAGTCAACGAACCGGGTGCCACACGCTTTACAATTCGCATGGGCCCCGGCGCATCTTTGGTGCGGCCGTGCATCTACGTGTTCCGGATTTAAGCCCCTGCGGGAGCCAGTTTGCCTTCGTACTGCGCATCCGTGCACTCCGGTTGATCCGATAAGCTCAGGGTGTGAGAGTTGCTTCTGCAAACTGGCAGCAGTACGTAAAAAAATCCAGTGAAGAGTTACACCGTCCCCATTCGATGTTTCGATACCCACAGGCGATAGCGCGGGGCATGGGATGCGCGTCGCTCGTTCGCAACTCGGTGGCAAATGGGCAGGCAGCAAACAAGGTGGAACAACCACACCGTTATGACGGCTCCTGACGACCCAATTGAGTTGTGTGGACGGTGAAAAAGTAGATCGTGAAAGATGAAAAAGCCGATCAACTAAATGACAACTAACGTTGTTAGCAAAAGAACGCAGAAGGACTCAGAGCAACACCAACCGTGGTGTGCGTGTTAACGTGGTAAAGAAGGAACAATCCAAGGTTACGAAGTACTTACAATAATGCTGATCAGGATCGTTCGTTTTCGGGCCACCGTCCTTAGAAGGTGGGTAAACCTCACTGGTCCCTGTGGGCTGATCGGAATCTCGATTCGTGGAGAAAACGACGTCCATGAAGGGAAGAATGAGGAGGCACTGCATTCGTGAGGTTGGAAGACACAAGAATCTGACGGACGAAACAAAGTGGCACAAATGAATAAACAACAAGCGCACAATGTCGCACTCCGATGAGTAGAGGGATGAACAAAAAACAAGGCGATCGGATGAGTTCGCTAGAACCTGTTGCCAGGAGAACTGTTCAGCCCAGCTCCATTTGTGAGCCCTGATTGGTACACCGTGAAGTGTGGGCGTGATCTAGTTGCCTTGACTAACATCCCCAATAATATTAATACTAAAAGTACTACTACTACTACTACTATTATTATTATTATTAATAATAGCCACTTCATGGTGAATTTCACATCAACACTGGCTTGAATTGATGGCCAAATAAGTGAAGCTGACAAGTGCCTTACCGTTTCGCTCTATTATGGTTCCGGCTTCATAGCCGATTGACTGACAACTCTTTCGTGGCGATGGATACACAGCATAGTCTCGGTAAACGTCACAGTCAGCTCTGTTAGATATTGACCCCATTTGTATGTCAAACAATGACCCGACACTTTCGACCAATTTAGATACACCACTCAGTGGTACCGTCACACGTAGACTCGCTGTTTGAAGACTGTTTTGCTGGTAATGTCAGCGCATTACTGATTGTTGTCGCTGTTGATTTGAGCGCGCACTGTTGAGGTGCGTAATGAGTTACCTTGTAATCTGTGCGAATAATACGATCTCCCAACTCAATGTGTGTTCTTGGTCTGTATACTAGAAGAGAGGCGGCTGTTCGTAGTTTCCAAGCTAATTTGTTACCTACATCCGGTGTACGCAATCTGCCTTCTACTTCGGTTCATTGTGCGCAGCGATGAATATGTTGCCTTGACAGTGCCAAAATCAAGGTAACAGTCGAAGGGTAAGCGAAACGCATTTCTCCGCTCCGTGTGAGGATAAATGTATGGTCAAACAGCTGGATGGGATGTGACCCGCCAGTGGTCAGATGGTTATGGCGTCAGGCTTACGTATTTCACAGGTCACTGGTTTGAGCTTGTGGAGATGCAGCGGCTCATAGGTGTTCCGGCCTGGATACAGTCAGCGGTGGTTGTGCCGAAGCGAAGCGCGGTGTGGGATACCGGTGCAAGTTCTACTCAGATGGGAAGCCTCTCGTTTTACTTATGAGGTACATCGTTGAAAGCTTCGTGAGTAGCTGTCAATAATGGGGATTAAAAAAGACCGAAAGGAGACGCGCAAAGGGGGGTCGATTTTTGCATGAGTCACCGAACAGTTAGGAGAACGCTAACCCGGTATGCTGCGCAGGTTTGGCACTCGGGTGGTGTTTGTGTAGGAAACCCGACTACTGTAAGCGAGAAATTATGACGGTGGTTGGCTCACCTTACTTCCGGTGTTGTGAATGGAATTCAGAATGTTATATGCTCTCCACAAAAGGATCCTTAAACTTCCGTTTAACAATGATCACAGTTGTCGACGGTAAGTAGAGTTAAAAACATTGAATGGGAAATTACCAATCCGGCGGCACCCTACCGAACAAACTGTGGGCCTAAAACAAGGCACAAATTCTGATTAATATTCCAACGACGGATACTATGAAGTCGGAAATGGTGAATCGGGACAGAGGAAGAGGAACACGCCAACACAGGTATGCGCGTGGTTAAATAAGCATTCCAATACCAATGCAGGACCGAGAAGCGAGGAGGCGCCTGAGATCAGGGTACAGTCATATTCCGACAAATGTATTAGTCAAGCCAAACGGATTGGCGCTGTATACGACCATTCCACACTATGCTCGCTTCTCTTACTACAAGAAATTACAAACTTTAGTTAACAATTTGGAGACGTAAACCCGTATACGGGGTCTATCGGGACACTGGTATGTGGTGTCGGAGCAGTTCATGGTGGTGTGAACGAACATGGTTGTAGCTACAGAGTCAAAACAGATAACACGCTCCGGAGTGTTGTCATGGCCCCGCGTAAATCAAAAACAAAGCCTGGACCTCAATCAACAAATCTATTGTTCAAAGAGGACAATATCATTTAAGCCCTCGCGTCAATTTGAGTCACTTACAAATTGGCGCATTTCATCCATTTGAATGTTATTCCCGCCATTTTCAGCCAATTATCCACTTGGGGCAATCGACATGCTTATTCGGGGTCGATTTGGAGTCAGCAAATGAGAGGTTAGTCTGACATGCATTAGCAATACGTTGATACGCAGTACCGACGCTTCGCTGCCACGCAACGCCCCACCAGTCGCACGTGGGCTTTGAATAGTGCGAGGATTACAAGGCAGGCTTGTGATCCCTAAAGATACGTGAAGGCACTTTGGGGTCATTGCTAGTCGCTCGGCAGCTAACGCAACAAAGAGGACCAAGAATGGGCAGCTACATTGCCTCAGTGCCCGATGCCACCTTTCCTCTTCAACTTCGCTAGTGACGAAGTCATGGAGAGTGCATTTGCAGGACATGACTTGGAAGGTGTGGAACTACTCCCAGGAGAACCACTTCTTGATATGGAGTATGCAGACAACATTGCCCTCATCTGTGACATCTCCCAAACGTGCGAAGCCGCGCTGGACAGATTAGCAATGGCTGTCAGCCGCTTCGGGCTTTGCTTTGCACCATCGAAATGCAAAGCGTTCCTTCAAGATTGGCAAGGATCGTCTCCTGCACTGACCCTAAGGGGCCATCAGCTAGAAATCTTTCAGAAATTCAACTACCTGGGAAGTTGTATCAGCGCCCGTGGGATTGAAGATGAGCTCACGAACCGTACATGAAAAGCTCGAAGTGATTTTGTTAACCTTCACCATCTTTGGCGGCGGCGCGACATTAATCTCCCCCTGAAGGGTAGAGTGTACAATGCAGCGGTACGTTCGACCTTACTGTACGGTTGCGAAACCTGGCCCCTAAGTTCGGCGTACTTGAAGAGGCTAGTTACGTTCGACCACTAGTGCCTTCGCAGTTTGGCTCACATCTGGTGGGAACATCGCGTGAGTAACTAGCGTGTTCGACGCCTTGTTTACGACACAGGAAAAGGAACTGAACCGCTCAGCACCGTTATTTCACTCACCAGGCTCCGATGGCTGGGCCACGTGTTGCGCATGCCAGCCCACGGACTTCCATGACGTGCGTTGTTTGCGCGTCGGGGGTGTGGATGGAAGAAGAGGAGAGGTGGCCAAGCGATGACTTAGTCCAAAGGAATGAAGACCCTCACTTCGGAGCTGGCCTAGGTTGGAGTGTCACGGCACCCTGGTTGGGGTCCAAATGACAGTGAACACGTTTGGCTGGATACACTTGCTGACATGGCAAGGAGCCGACCTCAGTGGCGTTCGTGCTGTGAGTTTCTTTGTCCCTCCCCATCCCTTTTAGCCTCCCCCTCCACCTACGATCTCATTTCGCGGCGTAAAACATAATACTTTTCTTTTTGCCTAGTAGCCGGCTAGTAGCTTACCGGAATGATGCCTATCCGTTGCTGGTATCTCAGCTGGCATGCAACTGTTGTATTTATTTTCCTTTTCTTTTATGTCTTGCGGCACAGTAGCTGAGGTGTTTTCCACCTCTAGCTGACGTTTATAATGATGATGATGATGATGATACACTGCCTCAGAAGACTATTGCTTACATAAGAAATGCGGTTGAATCAGCAAACGGTATCGGTGCAGTCTAGTTGGTTACTGAAAGTACATGGATGCCATCTAACTTCTCGAGAGAATTACGGACTGGCTGAAACAGCGAATTTATGGCAGGTACCCTGGCTGTTCCATTCATAGAACCAAGGTTTTCGCAGAGATGCGCTGCGGTCGGAGATTAGTCAGGATCGTTAATCTAAAAAATTGGTATAACTCCACTAGACACTAGTTTGTGTTGGCCGGAAGAAAATAAAAGTTCGAAAAACTTGAAAAAAACGGTATCGGTTAAGTCCACAAACGATGGAGAATGCTCGATCGGAGGTAGAGGTCTGGTATGTTATCAACGGGGGAGAATCTAACAGAAAACAGTCCTGAGAATACGTTTATCCTTGACACGACCGGTAAGTCATGGTGCAGCACTCGGAAAAACGCCAAGTAAGAAACTGCAAGAAGCAAATACTTCAGCGGAGATTAAATGACAGCGATGCAGTTCCAATCCCCCTTCAGAGACTGTAGTGTGAGAGGCCTCTAGTGGAAAGCACGCGGTCAATAATGATAGATGACCCGATAGAAATGTAACCCTTCCGCGTCTCTCTGAAAGTCAAAGAGAGCATCATGCAACATAGTATGTGTATAGCACATGAAAAAACGTACCGTGCGGTGAAAGGTTGCATGCGAAGATGAACCACGGCATGCACTGGGAAGGTTTCCCAAGCGGAATCATTGAAAGACAATGAGGAAGTGGATGGTTTAGGATCTTGATTCAAGGTATTGTTGTCTCCAGTGGACGGAGGGGCTTGAAAAATGAAAGACAACAGGGAAGCACTGTATTCAAGTGGAAAGTCATAGTCAGGATACACATGAAGTGTGGAGGAAGGGAGAGGAAACAAAACACACCATTTTCCACATCCACATCGGCCACAAACGGGAGATCTTCCAAAGCTTGTTCAAGAAAATCTAGCAAAGCTGGATGCACAACCCATTCCTGAAAGAGCGAGTGGAAAAAGTGGAAAGAGAAAGTCGTTGGCATGGTAATGCTGAATGGGCCTGTACTACTTAAAATCAGCAATTAAGGTAAAAGATTTCATGAGAGGGCAACTGGTCACCTTGCAGGAAGGCTACGCCCCTGGAGAACTACTAGTCAGCTGCAGAGTAGTGATGTTCATAGCAGTGGAGAATGAAGAGCGTTGTAGAGTTGCGGTCTTCATTGCCCAAGACCCTGGAGCATAAGTGGCCGATTTGCGAACTGCGCGGTCGCGGGTTCAAGAGGAGCAGGGTTTGAAGGGGGTACGCAGTGTTGAAGTGCCCCCCCCCCCAAAAAAAAACAAACAGCCGTCTAGTCTTTTCTCGGATAAGTAGTAACCGCGAAACGGTGATGAAGTTTCATGAGACATCCAAATACCTATAATCACTATACTTAACAAGCTTGTGGTTATCGAGATACCGTTGGCGATACTGACGACGCGTGTTTGCAGGAAAGAGCACTGCACCAACTGGGTTGGCGAGCGATTTCTTGCAATAAGGCATCCATCTGAAGCAAGGCAAGTGCATTAGTTCTGAGAGTACGTGTTGTCCCAATTGGGCGTTACTGACACCAGCGCTAGGTGCCCACGATGGAACATAGTAAAAGTGAAGTCAACAATGACTCCACAGTTCAAAAGATACGGTGACATTGCTGGTAACAACTCGAGAAAGGAAGGTTGTCTCAAATGGTTGGTGTCAGTAAATCGAGATAGTTTAATGGGAGGGGGAGGGAGAGAGCGATTAGGGCATCGTGTGTATCACCGTAGTGGTGAGGGAATAGGTAGTCATAAACTCATCTCGTTCCTTTGTTTGATTTCAAACCACAGATCAGAGAAAAGTGGGTAGACCTCAGGTTAAATTTTTGATGCTACTCCTCATATGGACACCATACATACTACTGGCAGACCCAATGTAGTGTCCAGTGGGAGATGCTGAAGACACGATGAAAGACCGCGGTGGATAAAAGAGAAAAAGCAAGCAGCTCGCTGCTAACCTTGGGTAGTTTCTGCAGAAAACAAGAAACGTAAAGATCAGTTTGCTTCTTGAGGCCGCCAGAGCCACACAGGAGTCGGGGATCATCATCTTCGCGTCCGTCGGTCACAGCTTGTTCATCGCCGATTGAGCCAGTATGGCCACCACGACGCACACATTCACTCTCATCCCCAGCGTCTCTCAGATGCACTTTCGTCGCCAAATGCTGAAAAGATGCTTGGCGAGAAAAGAATGTGGCGGACGGCGCGGCGTTAGATGCTCGTGGTGCGGACAAGGAGGGTAATGTGGAGGCGATCGCAGAATGGAAACCCATTTCGGTCATAGAATGGTAATGTAGCTAGATTGGTGAAATACAATAAACAAACAAGTGAGCGAAATGCTGAGAAACGAACTCAATTAGTAGCTAGTATAAAAGTACAAAAATCACCAGAACGCTGTTTGGTTCAACTGGAGATATGGATGTTCTGCTGACAGAAATAAACAATATACTCGTAGAAAGGAAACTGATGTGGCGGTATGCGCACCTATGCAATCAACGATTAGAGGTGACCTTGGTCTCCTGAAGCTATTGGTTCGGAGTTGGGAACGAGATGGCACCAAATTCTGCTAAAAAAATCGCCAAAGGTCAAGCTTGTGGCGAATGTGACCAAATTTTGAGGACAGAAATAATTGATGATGCTACTAGCTCCGCTACAATAGGTATGGGTGCCTTAGAAATAACGAAATCGGAGCATTGCTTGCATCGAACGTCAAGATCGCGAAGGCGAATGTTAAGTGGCAAAGAGCAGATCATCTCGTTAAATCATACACTAAGAAATCCATCTCAATGAGAGGGGCGCTGTTCTGTCTGCCTGGTGTAGGATGATGTAAACAGTGAGGAAAAATCTTTGAATTGGCAGTAAGAAATGAGTGTCGTTAGTTCGTCTCGCCTTGCAGAACAGGATAAACGAGACTCACTTTGTGAGTCTATCTCCGTAGATATGGCTCGCAACCGCCAGGTGACCTGAGTTATCAGTAGTAAGAAGCTAATGATAAAGTGGAACAGGGAAAGCCGAAAGGCGATCAATTCGCTGAAGCTGACTTAGCGTCATGCGGTAGCCAGTCCGTTTGCGATTATGCGGTATATCTAGCACCTTTATTGCTGCTACTGGTAGCATAACCGGCTGTAAAAATCAGAGATGGAAATTCAGAACAACTAGCTCAAGAGGGACCAGAAACATCAAGACAGACGCGAATGACGAAAGAGAAGAATGAGTGAACAAATGTTAGGAGATAGGCGAAGCGTCGAAAACAACAGCTTTATCAACTCACTCCCACGTCCACTGCTGGTAGGAGAAACACACTGAGGTCGGTGGTGAGATATTGTATATCTTCCAATAAATGGCGCTTGTAGCGTTCCAGGTAGAGCGGAAGGAAGTCACTGTTGGAGAATCGAACGCCCGAGTCTGAGCACTGGCGGAACCCGGTGGTGTTGGGAGTTTGAAAGCGACTTGACGGAGGGCTAAAATATTGCGGCCTGGCAGAGTCGATGGTATGAGTGGGCGGAAAAGGGTTGTCATTCCCATTTGGAGGGGTGATACGAGGATGTAAAACGCAGCAACCGGAGTCCACATGAATTTGAACATCAAGCTTGAGTTGCACCTGGGGCTGCGAGACCAAATGCGCTGTCTCATTCGGAGGAGGGACGTAGTTTTGTCGTGGTGGTGGCGGAGGTGGAGCCATCCGATTTGTATCAGGCCAGTTGGGTTCCATAATGGTCTCATCAGCCTCATCGGAACTGCATGATTCATCCTGTTCTTGACCGACCACAAAGTCATCCATATCGACACGGCGTACATCTTCATTTCCAGACGCAGTCAGTTCAAAGTCATTGGTTTGCAAAGCATTGAACCAAGAGTCTGGATGAAAGAAGGGATACGGTTAAGGGGACAAAAAACGTGAACTCACCGGTGCGCTTATTACCAGGTTGTCTGACGACACCGTCAAAGGTTTGGATAGTTCCAAGACTGGCGGTTTCGAAGGTCGAAGCAGACCCGAACTGCTGCATCGATGTGGACACGGTATTGCTGACGTCGCCGGCGTCTGCGTCGAAATAGACTGATCCGTTTTTGGACGCGAGCGAAATGCGATTCGAATTAAGTTCCAACAGACCAGCGGAACCGAAAGTAGCCGTTTCGGTTGTCGAATTGTGTGTCAAGTTGGCCGGGCTGGAGTAGCCAACAAAGCGTGAATCAGTCGGTAACCTGCCGCATCCAATGCTCATTGATCGGGCCCAATTGCTACTCGTGGTGGGCTGGGACTCGGAATCCCAGCGCTCATTTGCCGCCGCGGGTGGCGACTTCGTGTAGGTCAAATTTGGACTTTGTGGCTGATGAAAGAAGGCGTTGTAGGATAAGTTTAATGTAATTCAACTAAAGTAATCCAAAAGAGTACCAGAGCGACAGTGATAGCAAAGTACAAGATAATATTGGAGGAGGATTCGGGGTAAAGAAAAGACGAGCGGGACAGGTACACATGAACGGGGGAAGTGATGGTGTTGGAGATTACAAGAAATGTCACGTTGGTGTATCTAACAGAGTCCATGACCCAAGATCAACGTAGCTTGTCCGATAGTTTTGGATACAAAGGAGCCGATGTGAGAACACCAACTGGGCTGTAGATTGTAGTCCAAGGGCTACCAGGAAAAACAGGCGTATCCCATAAGTACGTGTGGCTTACACAGTGCCAGGTTTCACCATTTGTGCCTTCTATACTCGGCACTAACATGAAGGCAAGGAATGCGGAAGAAGCCAAGGTGTGTAAGGAACCTGTTCATAACCCCCCCTGAAGGCAAAGGCATCGGTGAAACGCCAGCATATCGTGCCGATGTTTCGCTGTCACGCGACCGCCACCAGTGGCGCGGACACCTGCAGTCATGCAGATACGAACATGTGACCTTCGGATTAAAAGATAGAGACTTTATACCGATAGGCCACCGGTGGTCGATATTTGTGGGGGACAGTTACGCGGTGTATGAAAGTACGCTTAGAAAGAACTAACAAGTCGTGCAGTAACATTGTACCAACACAACTACTAAAGCCCTATTAGATAATACATTGTGACCAACTCATAGGCGTCGGCCAACTTGGAAAGAATATAGAAACCAGTATGCAGATGATTCGGGGAGTGGAGCAAACATACCGCATTGGTCGAGACGGAGGCCGTGCCCTTCTTTCGACGAAGCGTGCCCCACTTCTGACGCTTGAAAGCTAAGCAGTGCTGCGCGTCCAACAATTCTTGTTTGTGTTTGTGGATCTCCATACTGCGCACCTGGGCCAGATCAGGAGCGAAACTCCGAGCGGTGGAAGCAGGCGGGCTGGAACGGCAAGTGGGTAAGGTAAGGGGAACAGTACAAAAGTGCAGATTAGTAATGCGAAGGTCAACGACACTTGAACAGTAACACGCAGATTAGAGATAGAAAGACGTCTGGGAAGCAAGGAGAATCCATTTGAGGGGATCTATATTGAAATCGTGGAAAAGTACTCTTGCTAGGTAAACCCAGAGATAGGAGGAGCTTTATTCTGTACGAAAAGAGTATAACAGAATTCAAACGATTAAATCCGGAAACGAGGTTTCTTAACGGAACAACTTCTGAAGAAGAAAGCGTGATGATAATGATGAAAAGAAGAAAGAACCAGTAAGAAATGGCACAATAAAAGGCACAAACTAACCAACCGACCGGTTCCAAAAGAGCCTGCAATAAGGCCCAGGACTTCATACGAAGTAAAGGTAATGAAATTGAAACTCAGGTGTTCGGTCCAGATGACAGATACATTAGACTGTTATGAAGTTGTGTAGTATCGCTAATTGGTGGTCATTAAGGCATTTATCCAGGTGTAGCGGAGGCCCGATGTCTACTTTTGTCAACATACTTCTCTACACACATCAGTTCTTGTAAGAAATTGACATCTAAGATACAAGTCATATCCTTCATAATGTTTTATCTGGATGTCTGGCGACTTTGTCTACTAGGCAGAAGTACAAGTCGGTCATCCCTTAACCTTACAAGTTTTTTGCTAGACCGGAACTCTGTCGTTCTAGACGTAACCCATCGGTTTGCAGTATTATGGCGTTCCCGTTTATCCTTTACCAAACAGCCTTTTCTGGTATTGTTTCGTAATTGAATTGTCACTTGGTACATTGCTGAGATCCTGTGTGGGTTTTGGCTGAATATTCACCCGCCGCCCAGGAGGCATAAAGCAATTTTTTGGACCTGACTTGATTTGGAGCAACAGCGACCGCAGAAAGGTGCTGGGTAGCACCACACAACATATGTGCGCCGGTGTCAAATTCCAAGCGCGATGAAAGGGTTTAGTTCACACATAGCACAGAAACCAGTTGGGGTAATTCGGTTGGAAAACGGTTCGACCAAGGTACCACTACATGTATGTCGACAAACCAAAGATTAAATAATCATCGCAGAGATTGAATAGACAACACGGGATTAGTTTGGCGTGGTACGGACGACGATGACGAAGAGAAAAGTCGTCAAGAGCAATGGAAAAACCGATTGGCCAAAACAGAAACAAATGGAAAACAAACTCCAATGAATGTAGCCAAGAGGAGATCCAAAGCCAACAGTCAGGATATGACAAGAAAAGGTGGTAGAGGCAGTGAGTAGATATAACTTCCTAAAAAAGTACCACTGACTTCTCAGGTTGTAAGGAATAAGTTTCGGTTATAAAACAGTTCTAAATGTACGAGGGCTGCTCAAAAGTAGTGAAATAGAAAGGCCTCATCTACTGGTGAAGTACCCATTCCAATGATTGGAAATAAAGGAAGGTAAGGGAAATAAACAACTGTGAAGCAATGAGAATAGGCTTGTACTTGGCGTGACACGAGGACATCGGCGAATACACTGAACAATGGGATACCGTCCTAAAACCACAGGGGACATTCTTTCGCTACTCTCAGTGTATTCAGGAGCATAAAGACAACGGACAATACACCGATGAACAGATACCAAACATTGTCATATGGGTGACATAATGACAAGCGACATGTGGAAAGAGCATATTGCCGCTTGCAGTGAAACATCCAGAGCTATGCAGCACCCGGGTAACTCGGCCTCAACGGAAAGGGTGACCTGTGATGCACCGCATCAGACTGGCATGTGCGACATGCATACGCGTAGCAAATGCGTCCAAAATCTTGTTCAGAAAATCCGGCACAATCTAAGTGGTCGACGATGAAGCAAAAGGTGTCAGTACTACGCTGGTGCGATGTGCGGATGCTTCCCTGTCAAGCAAACCGAAAGTGGCAGCGTGCGGGCTGTAATACTATCAAGGCGCTGGGAATTAGGTACGAGAAGCGGGGATCGAACTGGAGTCGCAAAGGATGCATTTCAGATGCCTGAACCACTGTCCCACGGATTCACACTACACTCCAGGAGGATGTGGCAAAGAAGCCTTATGTACTATGGTCTGCGTTATGGCATTAGTCATTCTATAGGTGCGTTGACATGTAGCGTAAAAAGTTTTTGTGAAAATTCGTCGCATATAGACTCAGGCAGACAGTCGCCACACACCCAGGAAAGCGCTAGACTGTCGTTACGTCCTATTGGGACTGGTCAGCGGCGCGCACTCGCCGAATCCTGCCGGACTCGAAACCAGGACCTTACCCTTGCGAGCCGGCGATTTATGCCACTAAGTCATGGGCGACAGCAGCGAACCACCATGACTGATATATCACTGCGACATAGCGTTGTTGATCCTCCACTTTCATGCGTCTTGGGAACGTGCAGACAGGGATAGCCCCCAGAGCAACGACTTCCTTTGCAAGCAGTCACCAAAAGAGGTGGCATGTAAGCTGCTAAGGCGAGTACTGATTAGTAGTTAATAGAAGGGGGATTTGGATATCATTCATGGAAGTCCACCGCTGTCACCCATGGCTCAGTGGCATAAGTCGCTGGCGCGTAGGAATAAGGTCGTGAGTTCGAATCCCGTGGGATTCGGCGGGTGCGCGCTACTGAGGAGTCCTATAAGACGAAAAGGCCGTCGAGCACTTTCTCGGATGTGTGGTGTATATCTGGCTGCGTCTAGCTGCGACGAATTTTCGTAAAAACCTAATAACCTCCTACTACTCATAAGTAAAAAGAGTTTCTTTTTGTCCACAGCGGAGTTATGTGGGTAATTACATCTGGTTGTGAGCTGTGGGTGAACTACCAATGAGCTAGACGCATGCGGGCACAAAATCTGACATGATCGGGGAGAAAGAAGACAACGAGACACATGTCTAGATAGCGTAGTAAATAGCTCATCACGCAGTAAGCACAACAGGTTCAACAGCGACGGTTACTACTAAGGCGAGCGAGCTAACACATGCAGTGTGGTGTAAACCTAGGGTAACGATTTGCTGCTCAGCAAAAGGACACGCAGCTGTTATTGAGAAACACGTGAGATCAACCAGGATCAATGTAACCAACAAATTCATGGGTGAGCCCAATAGGTGTCGATTTCAAAATGATTCGGAAAACAATGAAACTGTGAGAATCTCCTCACGACCGAAGATACTTTTGTTGCCAATAAAAGGCAATCTAGCCATATTAAGCACATATATGAAGCACATTTAATATCGTTACATATGAGTTTGGGGAAGTGTTGACAGGCGTACGTACATACTGGTCGGACAACCGCTGCATCCCACACCTTCCGTGAAGGATTTAGGCATACTCACACGTTGCGATTTGAAGTCCGTTGTCAACACGAACGAGCTATATGGAAAAGGACTGCGCATGGTTTGGGTGCTCAAACGCAGCTTTTGCATTTGGTCTGAAGAGATTGCGACGTGTCTCTTATCTTCCATCATAAGACAGATGTTCGAGTACGGATCACAAGTCAATTATTCAATCCCTCGTGGCGAGGTGCAAAAGCTGGAACATGCTCAGCATGTAGCTACCAGTCCCATCCCCAGTTTACGGGTTATACTGTAGGAAGACCGATGCAGACGATTAGGGCTGTACACCTTGTCATGTCGACGGTTTAGAGCTGACCTGATTACTGCGCATGGGATATTGTACCTGGCTGGGTCATTTGCTCATGCTGAGGCCACTGTTTCACATGCGCGCACCAAGCAGTACTCGCCGGCACCGGTACAAGCTAGTGGTACCGGATCTGAAGGAGATAACTCACACTCCATGCTTCGAGCGCCGTTCGGAGAAACATTGGAACAGTTTGCCTGCGGGAAATGTTGAAGCGAAATTGGTGCCGGAATTCAAACAATTCTTAGACACCCAGTTTGCGGAGTTCAGATACAGGGAGTGCATCGTACCCGAATAGCATATGGCGCAGCTATAATATGCAGCAGACGCTCAGAAATCAGTGAAGTAACTTTGCGCACGCGCCCGAACTAGGTACTTTAGAGCGACACAGACGCATGTCTACCAGCACTCAATTTTCAGTATTCAGTATTTGATGTTAATCTCCATAAGGAATGGTCAGTAAGTAGTAGTGTCCATTCTTGCACTTGCCTGATACAACGTTTCGCGACCAAGCTACAGCGATCACTGCACTGATGATGACACCACGGACTGGTGACGAGTTGACTGCATCTGAAGTGCCAAACTCGGTGAACAAATGAACAACTGGAAGTCGATCAATAAAACACACATGACCGATGTTTGTAAATACAAATAGGCCTATGTTCACGAACTAGGATAGACATACACAGACGCCGGAACGTAGCGATCCAGGGAGGCGATGTCTGAGTAGGCACCGCGTTGGTCATGGGAATCGGACAGCGCATGATGAATTGGCTCCGTACGGGGACGCCCCTTTGGTGGCTCCTGCGAAGGCGCTGCGACGGCACTGGACTCCTGATCGACCTGTTCCACCGGAGCGATGTGACTAGTGGAGCCCTTACCACAAGACTCATCTTCCTCTTCTGCGGAGGTCGGTAGCAAGGGAGCGGCCCCATTGTAGCCGGTGATACGAGTCAAAATGGAGACCAACGCTTTCAAACGGCGTCCAACGTTGTCATCAAAGTGAAAATCCAGCCCACGCATTTGCCATCGTATGATCAAGTTCCACTGCGCATATTTTTCTAAATATAAAAAGTCCAGATTGGGAAAGGTGGAAACGAGAATGACTCAGTGATGAGCTTAGTGCGAAGGGGCATATCTATGCTATAGAATGTCGTCGACCTCGATTAACATGCGAGTCGAAGACGAATAGGAACACTGGCCTATGCGATAGCGAACTGAGAGTCAACGACGCGCTTCCATTGCAAATATGAATGATGCGCGAGGTAAAGCACAAGATCGCTTTAGGATGAGGGTACCATTTGATATATAAAAATGTAGGTGTATACGTTGATAAAAGGCAGGAATACACCTCGAGAGCAAACAGAAAGGAATGAGTCGGATATCATCAGCAGCAGCAGCAGTGTGGTGGGCTAAAGGCAGACACTACTGCGCCGGTTATCAGTAGAATGAAAGCGCCAGGACGCAAAAAGGCAACCAGATACCAGCAGGCCGTAATGACTTCCCCGAATTAAGGAATACTTTGGAACCGCCGTTGTATGCGCAAGAGGAATGGACGCGGAAGAAATGAACACAATACAACCACTAGACCCAGAAAGAAACCTGCGCCATGCAACTTCCAACATGGAGTGCGAAGATAAGTGGAAGTTTCGTTAGTCAATACCGAAGCACATAGTATAAGCAGTTTGAAAGGATAAGCAATTCCGCTTGCACCTCGGGTTCTTACAGCAGCACATTATACAGAAACCGCTGCCGTATAACCACGGTGACCTACAGAACGAAGAATGATAAAACGGAGGAGGGGACCTAGCGTAAAACCCTAATGCCCTAAGCAAACATTCTGGGTCAAGGTGACTACACCTTGTGTAGACAACATACCGTTACAAACAGCTGGCTATCGTGCAAAGATAAGATGGCATCAGCGAGACAGCTACCTTGAAGCTTTCATTGACCCACGCCATAATCTGCCATTGCCCCGCAGATAACTCAGCACCAAACACATGATAAACAGGCAGTCCGACTAGGAGAAGGTAGCGGACGCGCCACTGGCGCAGGCTGCGAGCCATGTCCTTTAACATCTTAAGTCAATTACAAGGCGGGTCACGTGGACTCCAGCCTGGAAGGTACACATAGATGATGTTCACATCAAGGGAGTGGTCGGCAGATACCTAGCAGGGGGTACAAACAGAACTGTGCGGATTAGCAACCGTAAACACAATGGCCGTAGGTGATGAGAGAATCGCGTGACATGTGGTAGAGAAGATATCATACTAACCTGGATTGTGCCAAGAAACACTAAAAGTTCCGTTCGGAACCACGCAGCTGTTGAGGATCACAACGCGCCGTTTACCATGTACATCAATGCTGGCTCGCTTCCAATCGGGTTTCCATTCATCGGACCCCACATTGAATTCATCGTCAAAACGTAGGCAGAAATCTGAAAACAGAGTTTTAAGAAGGAACATGGGAGGAATGTACCTACCTGTAAATTCGCCCTGACTGACCAGAGAATCACGGTAGCAAGCGGATACTCGACTTTGGTCCAAAGTGAGCACCAGAGCGGTTCGAAAATCGGATTCCCTGGACGACTGCACGTTGGACTGAAGGAGATAGTAGGAGAGAAGCAATCAAAGGACAATGAACTACTCCGTTCATCAACAGAGTAGATGAAAGTTCAACGGTGATGGTGGTGTTGACATGAGGTGCATGCAGTAGACTTAATGCCGGATTCGGCACCGTGGTCACGTGTAGCACAGGACCGCAATGGCGGTGCGCAAACACAGTAACGGCCGATAGATCGGTCGATAGCGCAACGGATACTGGTCAAGAATAGTCACAAAAACAGAATGCACATGATTCGGAAACTCGAAAAAAACACGAAACGGGTGACATAATCGAATGGAGCTATCGTGATGAGATACACGAATGAACAAGGCAGTAATGCGAAGGCGGTATGAAGGAAGAAAAAGGCGTGATAGAACTTTGTAAGCACGAGTCTCGTGGGACGTCGTAAAAGTACGAAAGTAAGGACGGGGGAAGCAGGAGCCCGTCAGCGGAGCACATGACTCAGTAGCAGACGGCTTATATCACTGTGTTGCAAGTGACGTTGGTGGACCTTCAGGACTAATTACCAGCTCTCACCTTACGATGTCATGCAGGTTACCAACATACCGAGGATAGAGTTGACTCCAACAGTATTATTGGTAATGAGAAGCAGCCGTACTCTAACACTGACCTTGTATTAGGGAGGCAAAGAAGAGTGGCAGAAACTGTGAACCCCCACATGCATGCACAGTCCGTTACCGTAAAGCCTGTTCATATTGTCCACGGACTTCAAGTCGCAGCGTGAGAGTACACCTTTACGGAAGGACAAGCAACAATTTGCCGGAAAGGGTACAGATTCGGCCCTCACCACACTTCCCCAAACTCACGCATACGGAACTGGTTGGGTAGACGGGGATGCGGTTGAACGCCTGTTAAAGTAGGTCACAGTCGCGAGGGGTCTTACTCACTCTCTGCATCTTAAGGTAGACCGCATGTGATCATGGAGCAGTTTGGGCGTTTTTGCAACCAAACTCAGACAGATGGCCACCACACACTAGGATGACCGATATGTCCTGTTGGAAGATGGATCACATCACAGTATAGGTGGCATGACAGTTCATCACCGTTAGTCGTAGCTTGGTGAAGTAAGCCAGTGAACGTAAGATTAAAGAACACGCGATTGAACCCCAAGAAATCGAAGGCATTGCGCGCTGATGATGATGATGATGATGATGATGATGAGTATGATGATGATGATGATGATGGATGATGATGCGCCTCAGCATCATCATCATCATCATCCTGATCACAAACAGCAGTACATCAGCCATTCAAACTGATGCTTTGCTGCCAAACAACCATAACGACCTACGGAAGGAGATAAGGGGGACTTACCGGAAAACCTTGTCAACAACAACGTCACAAACAGCTGGCTATCGTGCAAAGATAAGGCTGCATCGGTGGGACAGTTTCATTGCGGCTTTCAATGCTCCGCGTCATAATCAGCTATTACCCCGCAGATAACTCAGCACCAAACACACGTTAAACAGTCCGACTAGGAGACGACTGCAGACGCGCCACTGGTGCCGACTGCGAGCACAAGGCGAATCACGTGGACTTCAGCCACGAAGGTGAGACGGATAGACGGCACCCAGTTTGGTCGTCAGCGACTTCATTTCCCGCTGCCAAGTCAAGTTTTGTCCACCTCGAGCCTTGCGCCATCCTACATCTGGTAGACTAAAACAAGGTCCTCCGAGGTAAGCGGTGACCGGGCGTACGCAATAGATGCCCAAGCCTGCGCAGCTTATTCAGTGCTATCTGTTGTCCTAGGGAAACAGCTTTGAATTTGCGCTGATAACGAGCGCCAGCAGAACGAAACTGCTGCCCTGCATCTCCTCTTAAGTGCATGGGTCTATCCAGCTGAATCTGACTGCGACGAACCTCCTCAAAATGCCTAAAAGTCACCCACTACTTGTAATGAGGAAAGGAACCAAACCAAACGGAGAGATGGAGAGGAAGCGACGTGTGGATAAAACGATGCATGAGGAGACGGCACTTATCTATCGCGCAAATCAAACGAGACACCAGAGTTATAAGTGATCACTCAGGTGTTGGTAAATCAAATTACAATGTAAACATTGAGAAGCAAACGGATAGTGGTCAGTAATATGGAGAAAGTACGCATGTGTTCCAAAAGTCAGCAGAACATCATAAAAAGAGGTTGAATGTAGGAGTAAGCATGTTAGGTGGAGTTCAGCACGCTGACAGTACTGCCGTCTACACACTAACGATCTGGTGAAACACTACTGTGGATGTGAGCAACTGACAACTCTACCGCCTGTCAGGATCGCTGTGGAACCAGATGACCAGCTCAAAAACCGCCGTACCCAGTAAACCACACGTTGGCCGCTAGATGCCGCTGGTGGAGACTACGTCATACTTGTCAATGTGAAGAAACTCTTCCCTCCGCAAAATACGGCCTGGAGAAAAGCGTGATAGTCTGCATATCCGAAATGCAATTAGCGGTTGCAATGCGGAAAAAGTAGGATTCTCATTCGTTTGTAGTACTATTTGCCTGAATAGATGGCGACACGCAATCTCAATCTAGATCGGGAATCACTTTGGAGTGAATCTCTCAGCCGGAATGGTTGCGTGCCCGTGGAGCGAATGTGCGCGATGGCAAAAGGCAGTCACATTGCGATTGTTGTCCCTTTGGACAGGTCACAGTAACAAAGGTGGAAAAAGCACTCACTTGTGTAATATTTATTGGTAGACACACACCGAGGTCCTCAACATTCAACTGCAGGAACAACGTCGAGGTCGATCCACTGCTTGAGGTCGACTTCGAGTGCACGGATTTGTGACTAGCATCAGAGCTGATGGGTGTGGCTGCGTGATCAGAGGTGTGTCCAAGAAGGGTGTCTTCAGCTCTCGAAGATACAGGAGAGACTGATCGCAAAACTTGAGAGCGCGGTTTAGTAGCATATTTAGTGGAAAGGTTGGTCGGAGGGGCACCCTTGTCCGAAACCATGGGACGATCTGTGTTCGCATCGGTCGACGTCTGCAGGATACATAAAACGGAGTACTAAGTTGTCAAAGTGATTGAACCAGGTGAGCCATCGAGATAAGTAGTGGAGGAAAAAGAAAACGTTGCGAGCAGGGAGACAGCTAGCACCAGCCAATGAGCATCACTCAACGACGACCGACAACAAAATGGAAGAAAACGACTGAGATAAGAGGAAGAGCAATTCACCTGGGAGGCATTTCTGAACAGGGTGGCAGTACTGGCTAACCAATGTACACCGAGGCATTCGGCCGATGCGCGGTAATTAGGTAGGAGAAACAGTGCGCATTGAGTACCGAAGTGTCCGGGAGGTAGTTTTGGGGTGCATGCGATAATTGGATCCATAATGCTATCGAATTCTTCCTTAAGGAAATCACGCTCTTCCACAGATCTCTCAAGATTGTCTTTAACGCTATCAAATTGCATCCAATAGTAGATGAAATGAATAAATAGAATGGGATGCAATTGGCTAATTTGGGATTGGTCACTCGACGAACAGTACGCATTTAGGGGAGTTCGCGCCCGTTAGATGCAATCTGATAGCGGTGAGGACCATCTTGATGGATCGATGGCGCAACATGATTTTCTTAACAAAGAAGCTGAAAGCACTGTGGATGCAATTGACTGGGAAGATATGGATATGTGCGAGAAGTGACAGAATACAAACAGACGGATGGTGGAGTCCTCGTAATAAAGCGGTCATGCCATCGATGTATGGAATAAAACTGACACATAGAAGCGTCTATGCTTACGACTGAGGCTGTGGAAAACCACATGAGACTTAGCGATGCGTACAGTAACGCCATCGATGGTCACACCAACATGGATAATACAAACGACCGTAGACAAAAGTGCCAAGTCAAGAGAATGTATGAGGGATAAGACCACCGCAGTGACCACAGACCGCTGGTGCTGTGTGAGTTTCGAGGTCAACACTCGGCAAACACGACCACAGTAGGAGTACCAATGTATATCATTAGCCTAAACAAAACGATAAAGAAGCTAGGCGCTGAGGAGGCAAAGTTACACATACAATATAGGTGGAAAAGGTTTAAAAGTGAGAGTGGTAAGAGTGCATCAGTCGAGGTAACATAATGAGCTAGGATCCGTTTACTGGAATGCACTGGGGACAAGTCGTCAAAAAATAATGCTAATAAAGAATGTGAGGAGATGAGGAAAGGAAAAAGTGTATTTAAAAGAAAATAACGGAAACATTGAAATCATAGGTTGGAAGAGTTCAGGGTCGAAGATATTTATTCGGTCACTCTAAAGAAGCTTTACTAAGGGAGATGGTTTCGATCGTGAAATTAGAGTGAAATGAAGAGACAAGGCAGCCCTAACGAAATCCATTTGACATAGTGGAGGACGCTGGCGATCATGATAAAACTAATACCAAGATGTCTGATGGGAATTAGGGAGGACTTCTTCCTCGCACTTAGTACTGCCGGGCAAAACGACCGGAGTAGTTGCCAGACTTATGGCAAAGTATGGAAGAAAGTCACCAGGACCTTGTGTTGGATCGTGTTAACAGCGGTTTCTATTGCATCAAGCCCACATCCAAGTGGGTTCAAGTGACTCAACTAACACTCATAATACACCGAACCGATAGAGCTGCACTTCCAAGCGAGCTCGGTATAACTGGTGAACTGGGAGTGAACCAAACGGAAGTCTTACTCAGTTGTTTCCAGAAGAGTAGTAAGGGGGAGTTGAATGGTATAGGTATAAATTCGTCACATCTAGACTCACTCAGACAGCCGCCACACGCCCGTAAAAGCACTGTACGCGCGCTTCATCCTTTCGGGAATCATCAGCAGTGCGCATTCCATCGGACGCCTGGTAGGGCTCGAACCCACAACTCGACTGTTACCAGTCCGTGATTGAGACCACTGAGTTAAGGGGACGGCAACGACCATTGTAAATAAGTTACTAGATGTGATACAGCGCCGCTCACTATCCACTGACTTACACGTTACTGCCTTGCAGAAGACAGGGTAGGCCCCTCACCATGCGACGAGCTTACCAAACTTAAGCCGCCAATTAACTTATGGCATTATAAGCAGTTTGGTCTGCGTAATGATTTCAGAAGAGTAGTAGGGGGAGTTGAGTTGTATAGGTAGAAATTTGTCACATCTAGACTCACTCAGACAGCCGCCACACGCCCGGAAAAATACTGTACGCGCGTTTCATTCTCTCGGGAATCGTCAGCAGTGCGCATTCCATCGGAGTCTGGTAGGGCTCGAACCCGCACCTCGACTGTTACCAGTCCGTGATTGAGACCACTGAGCTACGGGAGACCGTAACGACCATCGTAAATAAGTTACTAGATATGATATAGCGCCGCTCAGTTGTATTGTCTCATTATATGGAGTGAGTTCGAACGGCACCTAATGCGATCCAGTCAGCCACGGACGAGCAGTTGAAGAGAACTGCGGCCTGTAACCAATATTCTGGTAATCCTAAGAGACAACTGACTTGGGCATTCAGATTACCTGTTATGTTAATGCTATACAACATTTCAGCAATTCGAATAAGAAGAGATGCGTACAGAATTCTGGTTTGACTTCCCTGGGGCTACAGCCGAATCGAAAAGATAACCTAGTGCCACTTAACCATGGTGCCACTTTAAATCGAACATATGCGATTTTTCACTGGAATACACCCTAGAAAAAGCCTCCGCGCGTCTGCCGAGGGCAGCACCCATGTAGCTAATGTCGCGAAGCATGGAAATTCGGTATCGTCATCATTAGAACCAGGACCCAGTAGACACTGATAAATTAGGACGCGTGTGTTCAGAATTTGACTTGGAGTACCCGCCGTGTGGTTGGATTGCGACACGCATTCTCTATTTAGACCTGAGCACAGTTCGTAGTGGAGCACGGTCATTCCAATCACAAGGACCGTATCAAAATTGGAAGTGGTTCGGTGTTGCTGTTGTTGTTGGCAGGCGCAACACGGAAGCACCTCCAGAATGAGTGTATGTTTTTGAGGCAACACACATGAATTTTCAGTGAGTGCGAAGCCAAGAGAGTGGTGACTGTTGAATGATATCACACACTGAAGGAGTCTCTAAAATGGAAAGGTGATCTAGTGTCCTTGTTAGTGAGGTCTATCAAGACAGAAGCCATCATCTGAATGGTACAATAAGGGGCGGCATCAGCAGTACGCCGGTACTTAGTACCGACGCTTCGCCCAACCACCACCAGTCGCGCGTAGAGTAAAAATAATGCAAGGGTCGCTCGGTTAATAGGCAGGCTCGAACCCGCACCCTTGAATTACAAGGCAGGATTGTGGTGCTTAAGACTACGGGTCTATTGGGTACAAGAAGAAAGTTTAAAAAAAACAGAGGATGAACAGTGAAGACCGCTTATGGACGAACAGTTCAGTTCGTCAACTTTGATCTGTGTACCAAGGTGCAATGGATCTCATTACCTAGACATACATCGACAGATTCCTGGAAAAGAGAAACGGACAAGGAAAAATTCCTAGTGACGGGATCTTGTAGGCAGTTGATACTCTTCGGCTGAATACTCTAGGAGCGAGTTTCTATTCGAGGTGGCCGACTTTTAGCCTGTAGTTCAACAGCCTGATCCATATGTCAATGTAGCAAACGGAGGTTTGCTTGAGAGACTCCAACCGAAGCATTCAACCCAATAGCCTAGCCCACAAGACAGTGGAGAGCAAGCACAGCTCGGGGTCACAACTGAAAAGTTCCTCTGGGATTTTGTTGAGGCCTGTAACCCCGTTATTGAAGAATGAGAATAATCCACGTGTTTTATGCCACCGCAGTATGTTAAGCATCTGTGAGCACGGCTAAGCGCAGATGGGAGTTGGTGGGCGGTTTGCATCAATTTGACCAACAGGGGTAGTGATAAATCACTGGGAGCACAGGGTACTCTGCTCTTCCACCTTCACAGGCAATACATGTGACACTCCTGCTCTATGTCAACCGAACTGTGAGCTTATAACCCCTTCACCCGTTGTCTCACATGCTTAATATTTTAGAAGAAGAAGAGGGCCACATACGCTACGCCAACCTTCAAAGAAGACGGTGACTGAGTTTGTCTTATCCCTAACCTCTGAGCCGACCGGAGCGAGTGGATGTAAAGGTCCTAAGGAAAGTGTCAAAACGCAATTTAGTAGATAAGGGAGGGAAGCAAGCCAAGGAACAAAGTTTGGATTTCGTTACAATGGGTGAACAGACTACAGAATTCAGTTACGCATTCCGAAAAAGGAATTTGTTGAAAAGTACTTTTCGTTTGACTCAATCATTTGACTCCCAAAGCAGCGGGGAAACGGAGGGCTAATTGAGATATTCCACTTGGAGACGCAGCAGTTTGGTCAACGAGACAAAGGACAGTAGTTTCAAACAGAGAGCACAACTGCAGAGTTCCAACACGACCCGCGAAAGATCGGTTGCTTGTTCAATCGGAAAGATCAGAACATTAGCTTGCAAATCAACAGGTATGTATGCATTCATTTAACGCAGGCATCTAAGTGGTGAATGAACTGTGCAAAAGCCGACCAAAAGAAGTACAAGCAAGTTGGGCGTTGAAACTCACCATGGATGACAGATAATCCATGTAGTCTTTCCACTTGGCAAATTCGCTCTTGTACACCATCCACATGAGAATGGCTAAAGTGAGAAGGGGACAAACGCAAAACATCAAGTAACAGAGGGGAAAGATAATGAGAGGTGCGTACGACAGGTAGGCGCTAAAGAGAATGTAGAAAAACGGGGTTCACTACGAGTACGCTTTGGTGAACAAGTAACGAACACCAAAAGGAATATAGGAAATCGCCAGAAGCGACCGAAACCAACCCAAGCGGTGAGAAGTGACACGTATGACGGTAGGTAGAGAGCGACATGACGATCACCCACTCAGCTACATCAGCCGAGGGTGCTCGCTCCGTGGAAGGGTGAAAAAAAAATTCACAGAGGAATGGTTTTAGTGCTCACAATAAGAACCAGGTTAAGAAGATGAGAGCATCGACCTGCCTTGGTCATCCACTGGCAGAGTGAACAGCGCAACACCGGATTGCTGTTATCAATTGAAATGTTTGGGGAAACTTCAGAAGAGCTGAGGCATGGAGTTGCTCCGTAGGAGGTGTAGCGTATGTGAGCTCACTAACCAGTGAAAACAATGTCACATGACATGTGGCACATTCTAGAAGAATAACACATACGCAACAAAGAAACTCAACCCAGCCCCAGCGAATCAAAAGGACCGGGGGATGATTTAGACACAACTCGCCAGTTTCAGTTCAGTTCAGATCAGTGGAACAACTGTGACCGGCATCGAGATGCGGTGGATCAAGTTGCCACGACGCACATCGCAAGAATAACAATAAAAAACGACGGAAAGATAGTGGGGTTGAAGGGGAATAGGATGCACAGAAAATGAAAGCAACGAGGTGCGCTAGACTAATAAAAACAGAACGAGAAATAAAGCCAGATGCAAGAAGCATCATCAACAGCACTACATCAGCCATTCAAACTGATGCCTCGCTGCCATACAATCGTGATGCATTACCGAACAAAGAATAAAAAGAGTAAGAGAAGGGGGAACACCGGAATACCTTAATGCCCTAAGCAAACATTCGGAGTCAAGGCGACTACATCTTGTAAACAGCATTCCGTCACAAACAGTTGGCTATCGTGCAAAGATAAGGCGGCATCAGCGAGACAGCTTTCTTGCAGCATTCACTGCTCCCGCCATAATCAGCCATTACCCCGCAGATAACTCAGCACCAAACACACGTTAAACAGGCAGTCCAACTAGGAGACGGCAGCAAACGCGCCACTGGTGTCGACCGCGAGTCGCCCTGTCAAGTCTCAAGTCAATTACAAGGCGGGTCATGTGGACTCCAGCCTGGAAGGCGAGACGGATAGACGGCACCCAGTTTGGTCGTCAGTGCCTTCATTTCCCGCTGCCAATTCAACCTTCTGTCCACCCTACAACTGGCAGACAAAACAAAGCCTTTCTAGGTAAGCGGTGAACAGGCATACGTAGTATGTGCCCAAGCCCGCAACTTATTCAACTCTACCTGTTGCTCTAGGGAGCAAGCACAATTATCTTTACCTAGTACTCGCCTAGTCACATCATCGTTGCGGACAGGCCGGTGCCATCCAACACCAGCAACGCTCCGGAGACAGCGATGAGCCAAGACTTGGAGGCGCCTCAGAAATTCAGACCAAAGGGGTCAAGTTTCACTCCCATAGATAATACGGCCCTTACTGTGAGCTTGTAAACACGGCCTCTCAGACCGAGGGAAACTCCTTTCTTTCCTCAAAGATGTCGCAGATTCAAGAAGACAGTTCTGGCTTTTGCAATGAGTGACCTGACTTCAACGCTTATGCGCCCATCGCTGTTAATGCAACTGTCAAGGTAAGTGAATTGATCAACTCCGAGTTCCTCGTTAACAAGGGTCAACGGGTCATCAAGTGGCTGGTGATCCTCCGGCAATACGTTGCACTTTGAAGGTGAAAAGTACATACCATATAATGGGACCACTCTTGAAAGGCTATTTAGGGTTGATTGCGCCGCCCCAACATCCTTAAACAACAAGACGATAATCGTCCGTATACTCAAGACCAACTAACCTTTCACCAGGCAGGACCTCAACGAAAGCATCATGAGTCTCCATGACGGAGCGCACGAGTAAATTGAACAAAAACGGGGAAATCGGACAAACTTGGTGAACGCCAATTGTTGTCGGAAAGCTAACCGACAGATCACCGTACACCCTGATGCGAATTGTAGTGTTCGAGTATAGAGCACGCAAGTATAGATCATGCAGGAAACCAAATACAGGAACGTCAGTGACGGCGTGACTGCGCCATGTCTGAATAATAAATAATGTGTCAGCTGTACGCCGTAACGGCGCCTCGCTGCCGCATGACCACCACCAGTTGCGCGCGGGTTTAGTAAACAGCGAGGATGCTCACCCCTACACGGATTCGAACCGGGGACCTTATTGTTGCAAACCAGATGAGCAGACCATTCGGCCACTGGCCATGTCTGATACAGTCTACGATTATCGGTGTGGACCATCCCGAGGCCCATCCAGAAAGACGGCGCGCATCCGCCTGAGCAAGTCTCTCAGTCGATTTCTTCAAGCTTCTATGCCACATCATGAACTGGCCACCTCGCGATTTCGCCCAAATTGGTGCAGTCAAGGCGTATAATGCACGCCGAGGGAACCGATCAACGGGCATACAGAGGACATGGGCTAGTCAACGTAAGTAAAATGCACCAAGCACTCGAGTGAGACACCAGAAGGCGTGTTGCCAAGAACAATTTGGTGGACCTCAGCTTGCTCACTCGGTGTTCGCACAAGTTGTGAGCAATGCTTCGCAAGCACCACTCGTTCGATGCTTCTATCATATACGATGAGTGTTTCCAAGGTAGCGTAAGGAAAAACGCAGCAGTCGTTAATGTAAGTAACAAGCGGTTCCGATGGAGTATGTGTGGCTAGAAACAGGAGGCTCAATAAAGTGACGTAACGGATGCAGTTGGTAGACAAGCTCATCTGGCCAAATCATTACAACGATAACCCAATGCGATGCGAGCAGGAACTACTGAAGACACGCTGAAACCGGAGTCTGTGGAGTGAATCCCAGTAAGTTCATTTGTCAACACACACGGAGAACGAAAATTTGGAAATGCACAAAGAAATTTTCCTACGACAGAGTTTGTAAACTATTGTCTTTAAAAGTATGCTAGCTACAATTCTGACAGATATTTCGGTTTCCTAACCTTCCAGATTTTCGGGAAAGACTTACTTGTATCGTGAGTAGATTTCGCAGCTAAGTTGTCAGTGCAAGTTATGAGCGATTAAGAAGCAAGATAATGAAAACTGGGCAGAATGACTACGAGAGGTAACAACGGCTCTCAGTGATGTTGGTGAAACGGTAGAAATTTGTGCACATGGAGAAAGAAGACCACCTTCCGAAAACCATGACGAAGGAAAGGTGGCAACAGCGAATAAAGGAACATGTGTCCAGATGGATTCAGCGTGAAATTGCCCAGACCACTTACCCCCTTCGACTACCGTGCTTGCGTAGGCCGCTGGATTCCTCGGCAGACAAACACCTCCTGGTTTTGGGTCAGTGGAAAGAGTTAGGCTCGATCTCCTAAGATGCGTAATGCAACGCTCATCCTCGCCTCCTTCGGCTATCATAATGAGCCGTATGGAGCCAACTTTGTGCGTTCAAACAATTATTTGTTAGGCTAAGGCTATCATGGACGTAGGGGTGAACTTCCGTCATTCACCCTGCACCTCAAGGTGATCTGGTCGTACCCAAGGTTAGCTATATCTATGTATATCGGTTATTGTTAACGGTACTGAGGAGACAATACGAAATGTATGCATCTACCAGCCTTCGTTAATTTTCCGTGGCTTTCAAACTTTTAAAGAAAATTAACTGTTTTAACAAACGAATAGATCACATGCAACAATGGTCCCAAAAATGCTGAATATCGAATGTTTATATAATGTAGGGGGGGATTAAAATGAAGGAATGTAAAAAGATGAACATGTTCAGTATGGTTTATTAAGTATGACATGAATACGAACGTGTGTCATCACAAGTTGTATTGGTTAGCAGTAGATAAAGAACAAAAGAACAGACAAAAGAAATCTGAAAGCAACCGAAAAAAATACAGTGAGAAAGAATAACGGTTAGAACAGAGGAACTGAAAGGACTGCCACGGGATTCTCGACCACGCCAAGCTGCAACTAAGATATCTGGGATGGTGCCACGAACCAGAGTGAAACACTACTTAGGTCAGCAGCTTCGCACTTCGTTGCAACAGTCATCACAGGAGGCTCCTCCACACAATCGGTCCACAACACACTTATGGAAGAAGAGGCTGGTGGGTCCGCAGAGAACGCGGCGAATTGGTTCCGAGTGTCGAGTTGGCTACAGAGAGGTTCTTCTGGCGCCTTTTTGAATTACCTTTTGAGTTCAAAACGTCAAAGGTACCCACATTATTCAAAGTTGAACTTGGAGAATCCGCTGGTGGTTGGGTTGCTACAAGCAACCTCTATTGAGACCTCGGTTCACTTGAGGTGGACCTCGGTCATTCCGATCACAAGGACCGTAAGTAAAATGGAAATGGATTCTCCAAGTCCAACTTTGCATTCGTTTCTGCTGGACCAAGCGTTGTTCGCGGATCTCAGTGGCATAGTGCTTATGGCGTCAACCATGAGCCACTAGGCTCCTGAGTTCCAGCCCAACTCAGGCTATCTCCAACTGATGAGTCCCAACCAGGACGAAACCGCGGTCTGGAGTGTCAGTGTTGGGATGAGCAACACTATAATGTACCCATATTATGCTCCGCATTAATGCAAGTCCGATATCTGGAGGTGTATTAATTACCAATACCGCACCAAGTTGGGTGGAATCTCGATATGGTGACTCAATGACATAGAAAAAAGCTCTGAAGAGACACACCAAAAGGCTAAGTTGGTTCGGTGCTTGTCGCTTTGATGGACGGGGCTCTCATAATAGACCCATTCCTTTGAAATTATCAGCATTAGTACTGACTATTTTCGCCACACGAGTCAAAGAAACTAAATTCTCTGCATTTTATTGAGAGGGCTATGGCTGAACACCGGCGTGAAGTGGATTGAATGGATTACAGCAGGCGTTCCGGCCGCGAGTCCCAATGAGAGCGATCACGTTCACCATGAGTGAGTCACCAACATGAAAAAAGCATCAGCAGTACGCAGGGAAGCAGTACCGATGCTTCGCTGCTGCGCAACCACCACCAGTCGAACGTGAGCTAAGGAGACTTGCGTGGGTCACTCGGCCATTACGTAGGCTCGAACCCGCGCCCTCGGATTACAAAACAGGCTTGTAACGAGCCTTAAGGCTATGAGCTGGCCGTAGCGTAATATTGATTGGAGTAGGCCATTGAGGCACAGCGCGATGCTCCATTACAGGAGAACCAACTCGCGCCTGGTTTCAGCGATGCTAGAATTCGTGACGGCGGTCCCGTGGGACGTGCTTGGACGACTCGCATACAACAGAAATATACACAGAAAGAGGGGCGTGAGAATGGATCGACTAGAGAACGCATGCAATCAGCCAGTGGCCAGGACAATTAAAACGCGCCAGACTCCAGAAGGCAGAACAACCACGGGGTGGAAGACGGAGAAAGCTTGGGCTTTTCAGTAACACTAAAAGCAAAGGTAACGGGAGGTGCGTGCTTATCTCATGCTACGAGTAGCTATGAGGATTACCGAGAGATGGTGGAAGTCTACGTTCAAAGCAGATGGACCTCCAGTTAAACACATCAACACTGAGCTTGGTTGGTTCTCTCCTGATCAGTGTTTTACCTAAAGAGCCGAAGATAGCAGATAGACAAAACAATATAGCAATCAGAAACGATGATCTGGAAAAATAACGATTCTTCCACATGCAGCGAAACGGAGCAAAAGGCTTACCGCGATCTACGGTAAACGGCTTCAGCCAAAGTGTGGGAGTATTCAAGGAGATGAGAAACGCATCGTGTTCACCAGCGTACAAAGTTGGATCAGTGGTGCGTGAAGCAGCGCTCGACAGAGAGGCGAATTTTTCGTTCGCCAACAGGGATCGAAGAGCGAGGGAAGTTTTGAAAAAGGCCACGGTTCGAAATTCCGGGGATCGCTCTTTGAAAAACAAATCCTACATGAGTGGGGGTAAGTGATTCGTACAGACAGTGATAGTTAGATGACGGAACATAACAAGTGGTTGATGAAGACATGAGCTAGAGTTTCGAAAACATTTAATGTTAGTGTAAAGAGTGCAACCGAATCAAACGAAGACTGTGGACAAACTACACACACAAAACAGACCGAATCAAATAGACTCACAGGTACGAAAGATTGAGACGGGTAGGCAAGTATCAGTTATTGCTTTAAGGCACCGAAAGAGGAGAAAAATTAGCCCGGGGGATAAGTGCGAGGCGAAGCGATCATAAAATACCCTAGTTTGGAATCCAGAAACGAAGTGTGGGGAAAACATGAGAGAATTTTACCTGATCCAAATAGCCCAGTTCGGCACCCATCCTGGCTATTGTGGCGTAAATGAAAAGTGAATCCCCGCTGCCTGTAAAGATAGCAAATGCAAGAGGAGAATGCATCGGGTCACCGTGTAGGATCACGTTGCCATGACAGGGGTACAACGAAGCAAAGAGAGCCACGCACTTTGAATGGTTTCCAGAGGTGCATCCCCAGAATAACGGGTAGAACGAAAGCGTAAATGTGACGGACGAGTAGTAACCGGTCCGAGTCTGGAGCGTTCGGAGCCTGCGTGATGAGTCGTCGAGTAGTGTAGCAGGTCCGAGGCCACGCCGGTTTGTGAAACACGGTTGGTTAGCTCGACATCGATCGTCTTAGCCTCCAGCTTGATGGCACCACTGCGCGTAGTCGCCATCAGCTGAAACTCCTCGACTCGAATTCTGAAACGGAGGTCAATTGTAGGGGACGGAGTGTAAACGAAAGGCATTGATCATGTGAGTAAAAGTAAATTTTTGCAAGAAAAAGATAAGTTGGACTGTGAATGGAGGCTTCCAAGTCGCTTCCGAGTGGTCTAGAAGTCGTATGAACCATAAGCTAAACGTAACTGGATTATCCCCATCGAATGGACTCATAACTGCAACGAAGGTGTCAACAAAAATGTAGCTCGGTTACACAACCCTGCTTCAAATGACTTAACCCCTTGAAAGAAAACTAACCACTAAATTCGAATAGAGTTGAAATGTGTCTGCAATGTGGTGGTTTTCAAAAAGTAATAGGAGTTCAGAAATGACAAGTGAAATTGTTACATGCCATCACCAGTCTTAAAGCGCGAAGTGACCATGGGTCTGTGTGTTAGAGGAATTACACAGTGGAACAAAAAGCGGAACTGGGAATCAGGAGGAACATACAACCAAACCTGAGAATCTTGAATGAAATAAACTGCGACGTTATGGAGAAAGCTTCAACTGTTCATGAGCAAGGGATGCGCACCACAGATGAGTTCTAATAGGACGAAACAGTTGTTTAACGCTTCTGTGGGCGTATAGAAGATTATCTGCCTTGGAAGTTACTACGAGAGACCCTAAATTAATGACATCAAAAACCCATACTCAAGGGTCTATCAAAACAATGGTACTAAAAGCCTCTAAATGCCATGGCTGACAAAACTGCTGTTGTGAGAAGTCGTGACTCCGGGGGACAGTCCTGCTTTCTTCCACATTTGTAAATTACGTTAGTGGACGATGGGTCGCGCTACATCGTCGCAGGCATGTAAGGCTTAACGCCCAACCGCCGTGCCCCATGATCTAGTAACACAGTTGCTGGTTAGTGATGCAATATGCTAGTGTCGAAAGGACGTGGATTCAGTTCCTGATGGAGCCTGGGGATGCGCACTGCTGTTAGAGTCCGAATAGGATGAGATGGCTATTAGGCGTTTTTCCTGATGTGTCGTTATCCATCTAAACTGGAAATTACTGTGATGAACTCAATAACACCACATAGAAAATTTGGGCTCAACAATAACAATAAACGATGGCACTTTGTACTGAAAGTAGACCACAATATAATCATAAATTAAGATAGTTGACTGCTAGTCTTTTCACGTAATGATGCCAATGATTTTTCAATCACCATCAATCGTGGAGTAAAGACCCCTCAAGGTCACTGGGTTGTTGTGCTCAAATTGCAGGTATCCGGCTGAAATGAATGTGCTTGAAAAAGAGCTATTGCGCGTGTAAACCTACCTGACGGTGAATTTTGCCCTTCCTCGTACAGTCTCAGAGAGCAGCCATCCTTGGTCCACGTTACCCCGTTTGTCCGCGGGGGATGCCATACGTGAGGGCAACAAAGACTTGTGACGTGATGCATCCGAGTGTTGATCATCGCCGGCCATTTTTTGAATCACTTCTTTGATTTCCTAGAAAAAAGAAGTGGGTACTCTTGTCAACATAGGTGGGACACTAAAGAGGAACTTCATTTGTTTCGCACATTAGCTGGCGATGAGAAACAGCTAGTGTTGCAGTGAGAAGGAACCAGGACCTACTCACTGGTAGGTGCAAGACATTACACCCTTTAGATATATAGCAACAAAAGATGATGCGGACGTTAACAAGATACTAAAAAAAACTGACATAACCAATTAAAGGTAACAAAGGCGGCTGAAACAAGCGTAAATGGCTTTGTTCTATTTGTCTTGCAATTGGATGATCAAAAGAAAAAAGTTGGGGGATACCGAGGACAGAAGCATCTTGTGATCAGACCCAACCCGAATGGAAAAGCCGCTGAATAGGTTGGGGTGTAGAGAACGGTGTGGTTTTTATAGGCTTTTTAAAGTCAATACAACACAGTTCAGTGGAAGATTGTAGGTTCCGAGTCGAGGCGCGGTGAAGTCAGTTGTTTTGAATCACACGTCGACAAAAGACCAATATTAGCACAATAAGTTTAAATGGTGGAGGGACAAGAATTAAAATCAGCAAATGGAATTGCTACCATTCTGCACTACTCATGGATGAAGCGCAAGTGTCTCCCATTCGATAGGATATGCAACCATCTACATGACCGGTCAGGAGGACCCAAAGCTATAACGTGATGGGTATCAAGGCAAGTTAGTTTTTCCATGCACGTTTCGTTGTGTCACTGACTAACCAACTTGAAGCTTCACCCAACTAGAGACACAACGTTAGTAGATGACATACGCTGAAGATTGGTAAGTGGAGAACATGGTTGATACAAGTGCAACAGAAGCAGCAATAATGCCACCGAGGGCCTAGTACCCACAACACTAGATAACAAACTGCTGCCAGACACCTAGCTGGTGATGAACCTCAGTATTACTGAGCTGGTGCTCCCGCTGCAAATGCAAGCAACAATGCACAGACATTGGTGGACAAACCCCAGCAATTTCCTAATATCTTCATCACTATCATCATAAGCACACATAAAGTATTGTGCTGCAATACAAAAACCAACAGGTACTATACTGCTTAGTAACACAGCGTGCACCAAGTCCGAAATTACGTTTGGAGGGGAAAATAACCGGAGTGAGGAGGGATAAAGAAACGCGCCAATAGCTTCATGCATGCCTCCGATCAGAGCATTGACGAGGATTACACTGTGGCGTTGCATACCCTCCAATTGACAAATAAGTATACTTCCCACTGTTTTCTTAAGTGACTGAGACTTATAGAAGCCAGGAAAATTTTCCCAACGTGTGCGTCAAGCTCTTCGGTACTGCAGTCACATGAGATACAGACAGGGTAATAAACAAACCGATAGCTCTGTTCCGTTGGCCGTCTAGTTACAATAAAAAGTGGTGGAGTTGCAGTCCAGCAATGTAGCCGTAGTATGTTGTTTGAAGGCGCAATGCATGCGCTGCAGCATGTGGTACTACGTGTCAGCCTATACAGTAGCTCATGTAGAGCCGTTGAGAGCGCTATGTTGTGAGCTTACTCCATGCTCGACAGTGGATTATCCAACAGAACCGTTGCCTAAGAAGAGGTTGAAAGCAGCTCCGATGAACTACGCTTGTTCTGATGAACTCGGTGAAGGAGACAGCTTCCTGTACACCGTAAGAAGGGCGTTGAGAAGAATGATACAGATTCTAATGTGAGGTGAAACCGTAAGGCGAGAGAGATGCAAATTCGATTGCGCACGACCACGTTAGTACTAGGCTCGACACTTGTCCGCAAACCTGTGATTGCCCTTCCCGTCGCTGTATTATCACCTTATATCATTATTATCAATATTATATATTATTATTATCATTATATTATATTATTAGTATCATTATTAACTATTACCACCATTAATTTCACTGTACAACTCTAAACAATACAATGAGAAGACGTGCGTTGAAAGATAATAGTGTTTCGTAAGATAAGAACACACGGACACTAGCAACATGATTAACGATCATGGAAGCAAAAACCAAGGATTCGATTGTTATCAGAAAGGAGGAGAAGTTGAGGCATGACGCGACACAGGCTGCAACAGAACAAATACCATGATCCCTAAGGAAGCTTGTGAGTGACAATGAGCTGTCGATGCACACAAAGGCCAATACGACTGCGATTAATGGCCACCGACTCAGCCTGTGGTGTGTATTGCTGTAGACAATCGTAAACACCCAGATGGCTAGCCGAACAACCTCCTTGTGGTGCCAGCTGGGTGGTTCGGGTTTACCCCCTTCCAGCAAATGGTTCGGCGACAATGTTTCAAGACGTGATGGGTTTTCGCTTGGCAAGCGTTCTCCCTATAAAAAGCCACAAATGTATGCTTAATAAAACTGTGAAGTGGCGGTCGTGACTAGTCACAAAATAAAGTCACAGCACCGTGGATATCTGGATAATCTTCTCTAACCCACGGACACCAATCATCCCCTCGCATATCGCCCTCGCAATATTGTCAACAAAATTCAAGAATAGAGCAACATAATTACAAGCACAAACTAGACAGCTACATACACACACACTAGTACATAGTTACATACCCCTACACAAACGTACACTGTTATGGCAAACATATCGGATTTTTGCACATTCTTGATCACGCATTATGTCAAAATGATCATTCCTGTAAAGGCGTGCCTCGTCTTGTCGAGAATAAATGCGTTATTTATGTATTTATTTAATCAACCTGGTCAGCTGTACTGAGGTGTCAATAAATTGACGAAGCTATAAAGTTGGAGTCTGACAACGGTCCCCCTGCCTGTTCTGTCACAACGGCAGCAGCCCATTACGGAATATGCTTTCCGATCCGTTCCGCTCACGTAGACATCGATCTGTACAGCCAGCGTAATTAATTCCGCAGCGGAGTGGTAAGCACAATGTGTTATGGCAGAGATCAGTTAGAAAATCTTGACCAGAGACGTTGACAAGTTCTTGGCTGTTTAAAAAGGACCAAGTTTAGCAGAACTGAACGTCCGTCAAATAGTTGGGCACTTGTGGCATTGTAAAGGGTGTAAAGTCCAAAGAGAATTTCGAATATTCAGCCAAACTGGTTTACCTATTGAGGGCATAATATCCCTTTTTCCCAAACTTTTCACTTATATCCTTGCAGAAATGTATACATGTTTGCTTCTAACAATTGCATTATGAAGTACTTTACGCTTTCATTTCGCATTATTAGCATATCCTTGGCATCTCAAGGTCAAACATTTCATCCTTGACAGTTAGTTGATTAGCAAACTACTACGCTGTACTGTTTTGCCACGCCGCCGCACGTTTGCCAGTCTCTGCCTTTTCCCACTGCGATTACCAACTTATTTAATTTGTATTACAGGACCACGGTAACAGGAATTGACGTTTTAATTTCTCTGCCCAGACCGTGCGTATAGTGTAAGTTGACTACCCTATCGTTTCTTGCCCCATCTCGCGCGACTACCTAATCTGGGCTACGGATAGACTTTGCAGAGGGTTTGCTGTTGGTTATCCTCCATCGGGCAGGCGTGAAACATAACAAAGGCTGACGGATAGTCATTCGCTCGCAGTGTCTGTGCAATGAAGTGCAACATTTGAGCAGAAGGCGCGTAATGATATCCTCTTGCAACATACCCTGTAATTGTATTGGCTAGGGTAATCACCTAATCAATGTGAATTAGTTCAACTGGGAAACTCGCTAAATAAGCGCAAAGAACGCATCTAGCTGTGCGTACTACTAATGAGTAGTATGGGAAAACGAGAACGCGTGATGAAAGCAGAAAGTACTCATGAGTGGGGGATTTTGATGTAATTATGTGAGGCCCATCGCAGCCAGTTTCCAAATCAGATAGTCGTCCACATGCCCGGAAAAGCACTAGACTGCAGTTTCAGCCTGTTGGGCATCGTCAGTAGTGCGCATCCATCGGATCCGTCAGGATTCGAACCCATGACCACCAGCGGCTTGAACCGCCAGTCAGCAGCTTATGCCACTGGGCCACGAGGGACAACTTCGGACCGTCATGATTTACAAGCTAACTGCGATATAGCGCGTCTTATCCTCCACTGCCATGCAAGTTACGAACGTTGCAGAGGACAGGGTTGGCCCCGAAAGACACGACGTCCACTAACAGTAACTATGTACGACATAGCATTTAGAAACTGTCAGGGCGGATATAATTTGATGTACTCATGAGTAGGGGATTTTGATGTAATTATGTGAGGTTCATCGCAGCCAGTTTCCAAATCAGATAGACGTTCACATGCCCGGAAAAGCACTAGACTGCAGTTTCAGCCTGTTGGGCATCGTCAGTAGTGCGAATCCATCGGATCCGTCAGGATTCCAACCCTGTCCTCTGCAACGTTCGTAACTTGCATGGCAGTGGAGGATAAGACGCGCTATATCGCAGTTAGCTTGTAAATCATGACGGTCCGAAGTTGTCCCTCGTGGCCCAGTGGCATAAGCTGCTGACTAGCGGTTCAAGCCGCTGGTGGTCATGGGTTCGAATCCTGACGGATCCGATGGATTCGCACTACTGACGATGCCCAAAAGGCTGAAACTGCAGTCTAGTGCTTTTCCGGGCATGTGGACTACTATCTGATTTGGAGACTGGCTGCGATAGACCTCACATAAATGAAATCAGAAAGTATCGATCACTGCGGATGAAGAGCGTGTTGTGCATGAATTAACTATACTTTTTGGATGAAAGTGCGTAGCATAACGGACAATTAAAACGGCGCCACGAATGAAGCGCGCAAATGACCCGGACTAGTCTGTGTTGGAGCTATTATGCCATCAAAATGTGCGTGCTGTGACGCGTTGCGTCCAATGTGCTGGGCTGGACACAACGCCGGTAATTCAAGCCGCAAAAGATGATGCAACCGACGCGGAATGACCGAAGAGCCCAATCGGTAAGTGCAGAACTGGGTGTTGGAGGTCGTGGGTGCAACACCCGGTGTGGGCTTCGATTAATGAATTGTGATCTGGGAACAGGGATGAAGCTGATTCAGTCGCCATGGGCCACATCGACGTGACATTAACAAAGCAAAAAGAACAATAGAAAAGAAGAAATATGAAATGGGAAGAAACACGGAAACGGTGCCCCTGATCTCACACAATCGCGCAGTCACTGATATGATCTCTATAACCGGCAAAGTGGTTGACTACGAATTGGTCCAATCCGGTGTCTTAAAGGATACCTCTGCGGGGTGTAAGGTGTACAAGAGGCTGTGGAGGAAGAATGTGAGGGAAACAGACAACAAGGGGAGAGAGAGAGAAACAGTGCTAGCGAAAGTCTACACTGATAAAGGTAGCCAATTTAGTAGCTTGCTTACTTTCATGAATAACTTCACCACAATCACTATGTAATTGAGCATATCCGTGGTCAAGGTTTGCTCCATAGTGTCCACTTTGATTTGAACGTAAGAGTACAAACCTTGTTCGGCAGTCAGACCATGTGTGAGTGCCTGCTCCTTACGATGACTGCGAGAGTAGCGCCCACCCAGAGATTCGCGGCGGAGGACAGTTGTAATAATCCGAGGTAAACCAAGTCGAATCGAGCGAGGAAAGTTACCCATCGGTTCCTGGGGAAGGAGATAGGTGAAAATTCGTTAGACAGCCCAGTTTTAGACACAACCCAAACAGTGAGGTGAGAAGTACTCACAGCTGACTTCAAACTGAGAGAATGGTCAGTCAAGTTGATCTCCACGTAGCCTCGGGGCCCCAGTTGACCGGCAAAGTAGACGGGATTCAGCTGCAAATGAGAGTGACATCGAAAGAAGGCATGTATAGAGGCAGCGAAAAGACCTTGTCGTGTTCACATGGCGAAAAGATTCACCGAGATATCGGACAAGATTATACGGATCACAGTAGACGAAAGTGCCACGTGTAACTACAACAAAAACGGATGGACCAGAGTAAGCATAAAAACGCGCAAAATGTTCAAGCCCTCAGAAGTAGGGGAACATCGTGGGAACAGGTTGTGGGGTCACAAAGAAGGCTAACAAGAATGTTTGGCCCGGTCCGAACAAACTAATCCAGATACCCCAGAGAAGCGAGAAGTTATACTACAATGAGTCCAACCTTGTCCTCTACACGGCAGCAACGCGTGTAACTGTGGGGGTCACGCGCATTCCATCATTTGATCGTTCTCTCGTGCCTTCTTCCCCGCCCCCAGCTATCTAGCGGTATCTGCGGCTATCAAGTCGAAAACTGTGTGCATTATTGATAAAGCAAGAAGACACGGCCGTGCAACCTTCCCACCGAGTGAAGAGTTGTCTAACTGAGACAATTTGCATTTCATTTGAACATATTTATTCATGGTGAACATGAAGTTTATCATAAATGATTAATTAGCCGTAATTCGATATAAGGAATTCGGTAAAGGTGCGAGATGAAAACTGTCAAGAGGAACAGAAAGTACAGCAGCCGATACCAACAGAGCGTTTGACTGAATGCTCCCAGGTCAGTAGGGAACCCAATATCATTCCCCTTTTTCTACAATCTATTAGTATATATATATATATATATATATATATTCACAGTCTGTTAACAGACATTGTGTCATCAGAACCATGGCAGAAGAAAAAAGGTGAGGAAGATGGGAATACTAATGCGATTAAAAAATATGGGAAACGATTTTTTTGGTTTTACACACGCCATTTTGTATTTTTGTTTTGTTTTGTGAGTTTTTGTGTGCATCAAAAGTATGGTGAAATTGCAGAACAACATTGACGCCACTGATGTCTGTTGCGGGCCATGACGTCTAATGTTTCCAACCACTGCGATTCAGCATCTCGTGGTCCCCAACCTGGAAGGCGAACTGGTCCGACTGCCACCAAACTTGAGGTTGCCTTCTTCATACTCCTTCTCCACGTCATCGGCTGTCCACCACGGCACTTTTTCCAATGGCTCCCTGGGAGTGCAAATAGCGCTCGACATGGAAGGCGATGGGCTGGCCTGCGCAGAACGTGCCCGAGCCAACGCATGCGATGTTGGAGAATAACGTCCTGTAGACTGGCACTATACGCCCCAAGCACGCGGTCTCGCCCTTCTGTGTTGGTTACGTGGTGTTTCCACCACAACCGAGCAATCTTCCGTAGACAGCGATTGTCGAAGACTCTCAGCCACTTCATATCTTCCGAGCGAATAGGCCAAGTCTCACAGCCGTACAAGAGTACTGCACGGACGGAAGCATTGTACAACCTGCCCTTGGGCTTGAGGCTGACATCACGACGACGCCATAGGTGTCTCAGTTTGATGAATGCAAGGCAGGCCTTTGCAATCCGTTGTGAGACTTCATCTCCAACACCGCCACCAGCCGTGATGCAACTCCCTAGATAAGTAAGGCAAGGGACTTGCTCCAGAACATGTCCAGCAATGGTGAGCGCGGGTTCAAGCACCTGCCAGTCCTGGAGCAGCGTTTTACATTTTCCCGGAGTGAAGCATAAGCCGTACTTAGACGCCTCCATCGCCAAGCGGTCCAAAGCACTCTGGACGGATTGTGGGTCGTCCCCCAGTAAAGCGATATCATCGGCGTAGTCCAAGTCCGTGACTCTGTCTCCAGGGAGGAGCTCAACACCGCAGTCCTGGACACCTTCCGGTGCTCTTTGAAGAACATCTGGGATGGCGAAATTGAAGAGGAAAGGTGAAATAGGGCAACCTTGGTGAACACCGCTGGTCACAGCAAATGAAGAGGAGTGCGTGCCGTAAGCCCTAACTTTGCCCGACGTGTGACTGTAAAGTACTTTCAGGATGGTTACAAACTTGTCAGGCACACCTTTCTTCAGTAAACAGTTCCACAACGCAGATCTATCTACGAATCAAATGCTGCTCGGATGTCCAAAAACACTACGATTGTTGGCCGCCAGTGGATGTGACGATGTTCGAGAACTTGCCGAAGCGTGAAGATTTGGTCGATGCAGCCGCGGACTGGACGAAATCCGGCTTGTTCTTCTCGGGAAAATTCCTCTAGTCGTTGAAAGCCAGCCAAGTAGGACCGACACAAAGATTTTGGATGCGACAGAGATTAGGGAGATTCCGTGGTAGTTGCAGCAATCGGCGCGGAAGCCCTTCTTGTGAATCGGAACAATGACCGATTCTCCCCATGAGCTCGGAACCTTCTCCTCGGTCCAAACTTTCGTGAACAGCGATAGGATTTCGCTGACAAGTACGCTCCCACCATCTTTAAATAGAGTCGGTGGTAGGTTGTCGGGACCCGAAGCCTTGCGGCGTTTCAAAGATTGGATTACATTTCGAATCTCTGCTTCATTTGAGCGGGGGGGGGGCTGTGGAGACAGGCCAAGCATCATATATTGGGGCTGGAGGTGCCGCGGGGGGGTGTGCTGGGTGGTTGAATTGAAGAGCGAAGTGCTCTGCCCAGCGACCCAATCGCCTGTGAAGGTTGGTGATCTTCGTGCCGTCTGATTCACAAATCGTCTGGCTGATAGCGTGGAAATTGCAACCAGTGGCCCTGATGATGTAAAATAGACGGCGGAAGTTGCCAGCTGATGCAGCGGCTTCCATCTCACCAGCTTGTTTTGACCACCAAGATTCAGGATCAGAGTGAAGACTTGCTTCCAGTTATTGCGTAATAGACCGGCGGTTTTCGTTGTACTCTGCGCCAGCTGGTACCGCCCGTCGACGATCCAGCAATTCTGAGGATCTTCCCGAGATCCAGTATTTGGGAATGGAGCGAGTGAGGCCACAGCTGGACAAACCAGCCGACAGCAAGGCTTGTTGCAGGCTTGACCAGTGTTGATCAACATCCAGAGGGTGAGAGAGAGAGCTTTTCGCGAAGCTTTTGATGATACTCTTTCTTCACCATTGGGTCTCCCAACTTGTAGATGTTCAGTCGGGTGTGCTTTGACCTAGGCGAACCACCAAAACGCATGCAAACGGTTGCACACACCAGTGCATGATCAGTATCGACGCATGTAGACCAAAATGATCGGCAGTCGCGTACGCTGCCGCGCCACCTGCGACTTATAGCTATGTGGTCAATCTGTGACCAGTGCTGGCTTGATGATGGGGGGCGGAAAGTGGCGTACTGACTTCCAGGATGACGAAAGCTGGTGCTGGAGAGGAATAGTTGATGATCAGCACACAGACTGAGCAGTTTCTCTCCATTGTTTGAGCGAACATCATCATATGCATGCGGTCCTCCGAGGTGGCGCTCACATGGCAGCAGACGACCGACACGCGCGTTGAAGTCACCTGCCAAAACAATGATGTCTGTTTTAGGAGCCCTTAGGAGCAGCTCATGAAGGTTCTGGTAGAACTGGTATTTGACGGTGTCTGAGCTACAGTCAGTGGGCGCGTAGGCAGAGAGCACGAAGAGAGCACGCTTTTCGACTCGACGTCTGCTGACTTTACAAGAGCCATGGAGCCTCATCGCACAAAGACGGCTATTGATCGGAATGCAATCAACCAAAGCAGTCTCGGCTCTAGCACTGAGGGCGATTCCAACACCAGCTTGCCCAGATGCGGCAGACTCGGCGTCACCAGAGAGGCGGAGATGGAACCGGGTGCGGGGTGGAGCGGTGACACCAGCTGGTAGACGGAGTTAACGTCCTGGAGTCGTGTTTCAGTCAGACGGCAGATATCAATTCCAAAGGTCTCTAGCGTGCGTGCAAGTCCAGCTTGCTGACCGATCTGCAGTACACACTCAGCAAAGGGCTGAGCACTCCGTAGGACAGCAGACAAACCATGTGAAAAAAAACTAGACAGTGGCAGCGTTATACTAGCAGCACACACTGAGATCAAAGTACACAGGCAGTTTTATCTGTCTATTGGAATCAGTGCTTTGACACGAAATATGTGAGCGGAACAATGGTAAGAAAACAGTAAGGAGACGTGAGACGAGGTCGTCGTTATCGTGCGGATAGTGCCTCAGATAAGGACCGCGAAAACGCATAGAACCTAGCCTGGCACACAGAAGTCTCTCGTGCCGCAGTGTGAACCCGCTGTGGTTGGTTGATTAGTCGTATAGCATACGAATAGCACATAACGCGGAACACAGGGACAATTTGGGGACATGTACCATGTGCAGTGGAGCTAGAGGGAGACCTTTAAACTCTGAAGTAGCCCAGACAGTCTATTGAAGCAAATACGTTCTCTCACCACCATTTTTGAACACGTCAGTCAAGGGAAGAAAGAGGGAAGAAAACCGGCCATTCGACGGTATCGAATAGCCATAATCTTAAGCAGACGAAGGGCGCCGAAGTGTAAAATACAATTGTGACCCTCATCAAAAGCTTGCTCGCTGTCTGAGGCTTAACGACAGAAGTCGGATTTGTTCGATTCAACCACTCTGGCAGCTGCATCAAGTGGCTACGAATGTATGGAAGTCGAAGCCAGCTACGCATAGCAAAACACAGAACCATATTCGTAAATACACAATGTCTATAGTACCAGGGAAGGAAGTCATCCGCTTCTATATACAGGGTGGTACTTTTCATTAGGACGGTGGCCATGAAAGTTGGAATGCACCAACTTTGAAAATGGATGTCGCTGAAGAGTTGAATATATACCGTACCTCCAGTGCAAGCTGAATCGATGGCGTGGGTTGATACCCAAA